CTCTCCATGTCATCCCCTACTCTCTCCATGTCATCTCCTACTCTCTCCATGTCATCCCCTACTCTCTCCATGCCATCTCCTACTCTCTCTGTGTCTTCATTGTTCTTCAGTATAATCTGAGAGGAAGATGACTGGAGGGGGGATGATGGGAAAAGCATCTTCAACCCAATGTACAGTATGTAGGTTCAAATGGCAAAAAAAAGCAGCATACAGATGTAAACAGTAGTTTTGTGATACACTGAAGGGCTTTTTAATTTTTTATTTAATAGTTGGAATCACCCACTGAGACAATCATGAAGACAGAATTAGTGCAGCCCTCTTTACAACTCAGAACATAACCTCCTCTGCATCAGGTTTGTGATCAGCATTAGTTTTCTCAGAAATATAGCCTGGTTTGAAGAGGATCTCCTTGTTTCAGAAATGTCCTGCTTACCCATTACTCTCACTATATAGTACACCTCTTAACTTGTTCATTCTTTCTGCATCTATACAGAGAGACAGAAGCTGAGTCCCTCTGAATACATCTGAATACTGCTTTCACATTATAAATAACTTTGACTGTCATGCTGCAATTTATTCTGACACGCTCAGACAGATGTGTGTTACATTTCTCATGCATGTGCAAATGCAGATTGCAAACTATTTTTTTGGGGTACGGAATTTTTTGTCTGAACAAAAACAGAAAATAAACACAAACCAGAGAAACCAGAGATTAGCTCTGAATGTATTCATTAACATCTCTCCACCTGACAAAGTGGAGCAGAGCTGGACTAATGATGGGGCAGAGTGGAAATGAAAACAAGTCTGTCTGGAGCAGCACGTCTGATCTATGAGTCTGCATGTTGTTTAGCTGCTCAATATAACTCTAATAAACAGATGCTTTTCTATGGATGTAGTTAGAGTAAAAAAAAAAGAGCACATTCGGGAGCCAGGGTTGTCTGTGAGTGTGTCTGAGCGGCTATTAATATTTATTCTAGACATGTGAAAATATTTTCCATAACAAGACTAAGAGGAGGTGAAAAAGCGAAGTCTGGATATGGCCCGTGTAGCTCTTGTTGACGTTAACTACCATTCAAGTGTCTACCTTAAAGTACCTGCGCCAGTAAAAGTTGTACAGACTAACAGATGATAAAACTAAAAACAGTGTCAAGGTTTTTGGCCACGTTTTGCCACCAGAGCAGCTTCAATGCATCGTAGCATTCATTTTTCAAGATGGTTGAACTCTGATGGAGGGAGGGAAACCTTTTTTCCCAATGGGCGGTTGTGGCAGATCAGAAATAAACATAGAGCCTGGTTATACTGGGCTCTACACATAAAAAAAACAAAAAGCTTGAAATAAACTATTTCATTTAATAGGAAGCTAGTGCTTACAGGAAGTTAATCTTCCTTAAACTTTCTTGTAAGAACATTTAGGATATGATAGTGACTTGTTTTGCTGGATGTTGTCGACAGTCTTTCAGCAGCATTCTGGTCCATTCGTAGACGGTCCATGAAAACTTACTGTGGCAGGTGAAAGGAAAAATGGTGGACAAACAAAAGCTTCAGCTCTCACTTGAATGGTGGAACAACAAATCATTGCCAGCCAAATGCCCCCCACATAGCCAGCTTATGTCTCCACTGTAAGGGTAAAACGTTAAAGGTTTTTAATATGTCGCCTATCACTTTTCACATATCATGTTCCTTAGAGTATTCATTTTATTTTACTATCACACTCTCAGGTAGGGGTGCAATGAATCACAAATCTCTCGGTTGTCAATTGGATCAGGGATTTGTGTCACTGGACTGGCTTCATAATTGTAGACATGGTGGATGCATAGGCCTGTTGAAACAAATTGTTTCTACGATGCATCGCGGTGTGGGTGTGGAGGATTGTACATCGATGCAGTGACAGAACTTAAAATGGATTTTTGCATACTGACGTTGCGTTTGTTTTACAATTTAAAAACATTTATGTTGACATTGATTTCTAAAGCACTTTCTAATGAGTTCATACTTATTTGACTGATTGTCTTTAATGATCCATGTGCAGTAATATAGAAAATTGAGGACACAACCCATCATTACGCATCGTGATATCAAATCAAAAGGAATTGAATGGCTGGACATTGACAGGATAGAAGGGAGATCAGAAAGGATGCATTGCTCAAGAATATATTTACAGTAAATGTATGTCACACTATGATGATACATTTTCTATTGATCACACAGTGTGATCCGTTGCACCACTACTCTCAGGTTCTAATTTGGACACATAAGTAAAATAGTGTGTGAGTTTACACTAGCCTGTTAGCTAAGAAATACCGTCAGCACAAACCCTCCCCCTCCTCTATGTCTGGCCAGAGTCTCCTTATAACCAATACAAAGATAATACAACAATAACAACCCATTCACTAACTTTAATTCAAGTCATTTGAAGTTTCTTAAACTCTAATAAAGACTCCAAGACATTTAATAATAAAAGAAATCATCAGAAACCACAAGTCAATAGTAGAGTATTTAAGAAGTCCCCACATTAGTGCAGAGTCAATGTTTGCTGAAAAATGTGCTCCTAGAAGTGTTCAATATTTTCTCTGGACTTTGGCTTTCTAAATGTGCTCAGAACTTAAGAGGGGAAACAGGGATTGAGCGAAGGCTTAGTACAGCTTCACAGCTCATTTTTCCTCTAAGCTTGGCTAAGCTTTGCTTTCCTCTGGATGTTGCTTCATAAAACACAGACTCCTTTTTTTTTTAGACTGGACTTGTAATCGCCTGGACAATGTGGAACATTTTTTACTTTGTTATTAAGTCTTACACAAACTTTGCCTCTTCTTAATACAGTGCTTTACAAGACTTTCTCTTTCTTTTTGAAGTGATTTTTGAGAGATAGCATGGCTGTTTGTTCAGAGGATGAGACGGTACATTAGCACTGTCGTGTGTTCAAAAGTGTTCAAAATATCCACACTCTCATAAGCTTTGATTTTTATTCAAGCAAAGGACTACTTAGCTGTCAATTAACTTACAGGCTGCTGTACAATAGACACCTGCAAATACTTTTAAAGCAGGATTTGTTTTGTACAGCTGGTAGAGCCTAATGCTAAAAAAAAAAAGAAAAAAAAAGAGGCTTGAATTCAGTAAAGATTTAGGTTTTCTTTAAGGAGTTCAATTTCATACATTTAGACTTGTATGTTTTGTATGTCATAAAGCTCATACATGTAGCCTATGTCTTCTTTCAGATTGAATGCGCCACACTTCCTTGGAGAATATCACTGAGGTGAGGAACACAGCACCACATGGTTTAAAATCACAGCTGACTGTTTATTATTAGGCCCTGAAATTCAGCAAACGTAGTGACACAGTTGCAGCAGATGGCAGTTCAACATGAGTGTGGTACAAACTTTCTGCCTGTTCAAAGGACATTTTCCTTGCCACACTGCTGAATGTTTTCAAAGCGTTGCGCTATAAATCTTAAATCTCTGTAAATGATGTAGGCTATAGCCTATAGTCTTTATGTAAAGCTTGAATCTGCTCGTTTTGTAGTGCGATGGACTTTTTTGGGATCGAAAATCAGATCTATTTATTTCCTATTTGGTTGTTTCTATTTGAACTTACTCAACGTTGTCTGTTTCTGGTCTAGGCACACATTTATTCACTTCCCTATTTCACAGGCAACATTTCCATTTTTCTTCATAGCCTACTGGTGTGTGATTATTGGAGGCTCTGTTCATGCATGCCCAGGAAGATGATGGGCTTAGGTTGTGGGTGCTTAGCTAAAAAAAATAAAAAATAAAATAAAAGAACCACCCGGCTAATCAGCTAGCTACTGTACTAACAAAAGCACAACTACAGCGGTAAATTAAATAAAAGTGCAAATAAAGTGACTCACCACTGCACTACAGTTCGTGCTGCTGTGGCATCACTCTTAACCAAAGCTACAGCATTTTCACTGACAAGCTAATGCTAACAAAGTCAACTTCTTGCAAGTTCAAAGGAAGCTCATTTATTTGTTAGTAATATTATCTTAAAAGTGTCTCTTTTCCTCATAGGGACTTCAATTTGTATTTGTTGTATTTCATGCCTCCCTCTTTATAATATCATACAAACTGTATTAAAAACATTATCTAGCTGATTGTATGTAATGCTAGCTTAAAAGCTACAATGCTTCAACTTCTATAAAAGAGCACTTTTCCTAACCTGATGACTCAGAAATATCCAGTAAGCTATAGCATAATGTGTCTGGTTTACTAGGCTGGTTCGTCATATAGCTAATGTTTCATTAAGCTAGCTAATTACAAAGTAGCCTATTTTGCTCTGGTGTTTCTCCTCTGATAAAACACACACAAAACCCTTTGCCAATTACAATACTGTGCTGTATCATGTAACCCTTTTAATAATCTGGGTCATTTACATCATTCAAATAAACATGGGACATCCCATAGTGGGCCATTCTTATCGTTTTTTAGGATCCTTTATAAAAAAAAATAATTGTATATATTTATCAAATGATTTCAACTCAAATTAGATTTATCACCTGAGTGATGATAAAGACATTTCAATAAATAAAAAGCTTTTTTCAATTGTATTCCTAAAGAATATATTTTCTGAATATTTTTTCTCTCTCCAAAATATGGATTATTTATTCTCTTTTACCTCTGATAACCATTGAGTCAATTCCTTGCTCCATGATTGAGGGTGATCACTGGTCAGGTTTAAATTGAACACCACCTTTCAAGACTTTTCCACAGCTTTGCAAAGTCTCAAACAGAGAGTCTCCAGACAGATTATGTACAACTTTGAGAAGTGTGTTTACACAGCAGGTACTGTGTTTATACTTTGAAGCTTGGTGGTAAATTAAAAGAGGAAGTTTCTCTCATGTGGCTTCAGGTTTTTCTCCCCGATGTAGGATTTAAGGGGAAAGCAAAAGATTTACCAGTGGGAGTAGCTAGAGTCCCACAGCTGCTGCAAAAACCAACACTTCACTCTGAAATGAGGGAGACATCAAGTGTGCTCATAAAAACCAGACATTTAGATGCATGGAGGTTTATTCATAGTGCATATACTTCCTCTGCATTTCATAAAAATAGACTATTTGTGGTTATTTCTTTGTACAAATATATACTGCATGGAACAAAAACCAGAAAAAGTCATTTAGAAAATCAGTCGGTACATGTAAAAGAGGTTGTAAAACATGGAAAAAAAAACCGATTTGTCACATCTTCATGATGAAATTGCATATTGTTAAAAAGGCACCAGTGTTTTGTTAAGTGTGGAGTTGTTTTGAATCCTCTTAGCACATTGACATGATAATAAAAATACAGGCATGTTATTGGGTAAACAATGTTTCAAAGAGCTGCTGCAACAAAGAACTTTAAAATGTTGGAACAATGGCAAGAAATGTAACACGAAAACTTTTGGTTTGAACAGTTTTCAAATCTATTAAATACATTCAATTAAAGTAACTTTAAATAAACAATAACATCCTTCACAGTGTCCACACTTGTATTGCTCAAAGTTTGAAGTGACTTCCTGGTCAAGGTAGTCAAGGAGGATTTGAGTGTGAGGACTTGAGGGTACAGTCAGCTTGTTCTTTGTTCTGTATCAGCACCAGGCAGGTTGATTCAGCTGTTAGCACCGTGTGTTTGTAGAGAAACAGATAAAAAGGTTCACTCCAGGTTGATTTAATCTGTGAGGGATTTGGCCCCAGTGACAAAGGAATCATCCAGGTCTGAACTGGTAAGGTGTTTGTGAGGAGCTGTGGCAGAGAGAGGGAGGAAAATGAGAAACACAATCATATTCCCTGTCTATGCATTACCCAGTCACAACCTAAAATGTGGTGCATTATATTCCGCCTGTTACATGCCCAGACTGGACCTACAAAAAGAGATGGTGGTGCAGGCAGTAAGTAGGAAATTGGCTTGACCAAACAGAGAAGTGGGTGTATGGGCTTGCCAGAGCTGCAATGATTCCTACAGAGCAAACCCAAACCAGCAAACATTTCCTTTAGGCAAGGTTCCTGCAAATTTAAAAACGTCATCTCAAAACTCTCAATTTGAAGTGGATTAAACCTAATTTGACATCAAAGAACAAATAGCTAGACTACTGCCTCTGCCTGCATTACCTTTCTATCAATGCTATGTGTTATTGGATGTATTTACATTATCAACAAACGAGTGGAAAACAACTACGAGCAAGTAGAAAAGAGAAAGAAGCAGCTTCACCGTGTGCATGATCATCGCTCTGGTCGCACATTGGTCGCGGCATGTAACTGACCACTGTTTGCAGACCCCAGGAAGAATAACTTCTCGCTATGCTGAAGCCAATGGGGATCCAAAGAAACGAACTCCTGGTGAGTATTTCCTGCTGCACTCACCTATCGGCTCATCTCTACTTCATACAGAAATTTTACTAGGGGAGGTGGCAGGAAAAAGTCTGAGTGAAGTCAAGGTAAAAAATCCTGAGTTTGCATTCACACATGCAGCTCACCCCCATAAATGTTGGGCTTTTTCAGGAGTTTTGTGCAAGTGTGAAAACAGCTAATGTGTGATGTTATATTGCAAGACCTTATACTGGATAGTCAAGCCCTGTCACTGATGAGTCAACATCCCTTAACAAATATTTTGTGATTCTCACTTAATGTTTCTGTCACAGTTATCAGTTGTAGAATGGATTTTACTTTAACTGTCCTTCATTTGTTCTTTTGTTATACAGACCTGAAAATGACTTAATACAAAATCATACTTTGAAAAAGCTTTGGCATCAGATCCAGATGTTATTTCATTTTCCTGATGCCTCTAGCCCCCCACACACACACACACACACACACACACACACACACACACACACACACACACACACACACACACACACACACACACACACACACACACACACACACACACACACACACACACACACACACACACACACGCACACCTTACCCCTCTAACCACATCAGCCAACAGATGACAAGTATCTCACATAAGCGTGACCAGCCACTTACTTTTGAACCTTAATCTTTACACATTTCTGATGTGAATCAAAAGTAGACAAGTCAATCACAACAGTCCCTTCAGTGTAATTATATGACAAATAGTAGCTTAAAGATTAGAACCAACTGTTACTGCCAAATTGAATTGTATATTAACACTGGTGTTAAATAGCCATAGATATCTTTTGGCCATAGTCATTCTTGGAGGTACAACAGACACAGAGCCACAGAAAGTATTCTCCTCTCACACTGTGCCAAATATCAGTAAGCAGCTTAGGAAAGTGCTACAAGTGATTCTGGCTGCGAGCCACTGGCAGTGATACAGACACACTTCCAGAGCACTGATGGAAACTTTCAGCTCTGGGAGCCATGTTGAAATACTGCATGAAAAAAACAACTGTGCTGTAAGGCTGCCACAGTATAAATCATTATTATGTATACCACAACTATAGCTTTAGGAACTGCACTCTGGAATTAAGCAGTGCTGAAACAAAGACAGCAACATTATCCATTTCCCCGATCAATCCACATAGACAGAAACATGTTAAGAAAGAGACAGTATATTCATTAATAATACATATACCCTGAATTATAATTTTAGCAGCCATTGTTTGGACTTGTGATTCTGTTGAGAAATATTTCATGAAAGTCTCTGCACTCTTTTTCAAATGTTTTAGCAATGCAGAAAAACATGGCGACCGTCAAAAGCAGCAATAGGCTGTCAGGCTGCAGGTTTTGTAGCTTCAGTGTGGAAATACTCACACCGTGTGTCAGATGTCAGGGTGCTGCTCAGGAATGTGCTGGGGTCTTTGATGGAGGAAGAAAGAGCAGCCAGTCTCAGGCTCCTGGAGGTGGCGTCAAGCTTCTCGTCCTGAAAGACAGGAGGACACAGTAACTGACAGGGCTGAGGGCCTACAGCTCCGCTAGCATCAATGTGGAGATGTCATGCCTGCTGAGAAAAAGTTATTGTTTGAGAGCTTTTGAAATAGTGAGTGAAGCTTAAGGTTGGTGTCAGTATACATCAAAATAAAAAAGTGAGAACATTGTAGGACAAGTCATCTTTAGTTTTCTAGTGAAGTATCTTAACTGTTGGGGGGGGGGGGGTGTCGGCCATTCAGCCATTCATTCATTGGTTCTCCATCATGAATCTATCATTTTCATTGTCACCTTGCTTTGGCTTTGACTTTCAAAACAAAGGTCACTAAGATGAGTCGCAGCTGTACTTTGTGTTTTGTGGTAACTAGCAGATCTTATCATGCTATACATGTATGATGAATAGGGAATGGACAAAATATCCATTCAGCAATATATCCTTATCCTGACTTGTGTGATCGCTGATGTCAAATATGGAAAATTGCAATTAAAAAAACAAAACGTGTGCGCTAATTTGATTTCCTTGGCAATTTGACTGGCTGTGTCGCTCCTTCATGACTTCTCATGGTGGTGCATCCATGATTCAGGGCAAAGTAACAAACAGCCTCTGCTACACTACACTCATTAAGTGCCATCGACAGTCACCATGTTAAGCTGCCTGATAGAACTCTACTCATGATGTGTTGAAACATCAACAAAATGAATGTTGAAACAGGAGATGAAAGAAAATGTCCATCCCAGCATCAGGCCAACTGAGAGAAAAGTCTCATCAAAATAGCCATTTCCCTAAAATGGCTACATGTTTTTCAGGTAAAATAGCAGCACCAGCAGGTGTGTGAACACACATATGGTAATGCATTTTTTAGAGCACACACCAACTACACAAAATCATATTCGAAACACTTTAAATGAGAGTTGTCAGACAGATTTGGTTGCTTGGACATCCTAAGTGCTCTACTGAGTGCCACAGCATTCTGTTTGGGCAGTGAGTGATTTGAGTTCCTCTATGAACTGTATGCACTTGTTTGATAAAAGTTCTTCTACAGACATTTATTTGTCTGTAAACATTAAAGCCAAAGTATCCCAGTGTGAACAGGTCTCTTCATATTTTCTGATTCTGTTGCAGGAGTCGCCAAGTCTCTACTGTCGTCTGAAGTCTCATAGACACATAAAACAGATCTCCTTTATCATAAACATTACAGGTGACATGAAGTCAGGATGAGCACTGACCCAAATTATATTTGTGTCTGAACAGAGCTCCAAGAAGTGGTGTCTTAAGCGTAGAGCCACAAGAACATTTAGTGTAAGAGCTGTTTGTTGTTGTTTTGGCTTTGCTGTCTCTGATCAAGATGGAAGTCTTGTAAAGACACTGCATCCAGTCTTTCTCTTAAACAAACCCCGGGTGGGCAGCAGCTATTAAATTAATGCAATCACCACTTATCGCTCAACATGGGAGTCATTTGGCAAACCAACGGGGTAATCTGGCAGATTAAAACCATTTAAAAAGTGACTGTATTGCTGTTTAGGGGAGGTCGCAAACTGCAGATGGCAATCAGCTGTCAACAATGATGTGTGTATGGCTCCCTCGGCTGCTTTATAACACAGAAGGAGACTGTAGCAATTAACAGTGAGTGGTAAAATTCAGGTTTTGTTTGAGTGTCGTTGCTTGCACTTAATCCACTCTGTCCATCCATGATGCATTACCATCATGTGAAATTATTCATTTATTCATACAAGTTGCAAATTAGGAGCTCTGCACACATTGGCAGCGGTGTGGGCGAGCTAGACTCCTAAATGGCTCTCAAAGTCAGGCTACCCTGATCCAAACGACGACTGTTTGAACAAAGCAGCGCAATTAGTGACTGAAATAGAAAAAGTGTGGGTTGCTGTTTGGGCGTACAGGCCTCTGCACGGCACTATAAAGCCATTTTTTTCTCGAGCACTGCATCTGTCTGTCTTTGTGTGTCGTACTCTGTAGTCCTGGATTCTTCTTTTGGACTCGTCCAGCTGGTGCTGAAGGTCCCACACGATCTCTCTGTATTTGGTGTGGCGCTCCTCAACGATCTCCCTCTGTCGCTGTGACTCCTGAAGACACAAAATGAATGCTGTGTTATCATTTCTAACAAAATAGAACACTCAATGATCTCTGACTTAACCATTAATAGTCACATTTAAGAGAGAGAACAACAAAAGTGAAATAGCATTGATTTATTGGATAGTTCTGATAATGCATGGCTGGAACACTGACCTGTGCTATCACAAGTAGAGATGATGGATAACATTTGAGGAGAAACATTACCATACTAACCAATACAGGAGACAATATTGTGTATTTTTTACAGTGGACTGTGTAAAGATATGACAGTTCAAAGGACTAGAAAGGCTGCTTTCTTAATCGCACTAAAAGATGATCAACATTATCATACATTGTGATCAAAGGTTAGCCCTGACCACTGTCTGCTCAGCTGAGATGCATTAACGTCATGTGCTGCACACAGAACAGTGTTTCTCCATAACTATGTGATGAAACTTTCTAAATCAACCCAAGCATTATATTCTGCACCACATGTTCTGTGAAATACATTCTGACATCACTGCATATTGAAAATCCTGTACCAAGATGTGATATTATCCTGATAGACACACAATGGCCTGATCATATTGACCTACCAATATATACAGTATATATACAGTACGGCTGTATCGACATGCCAATGTCATCGTATTGTCTGGTGGTTTTCTGGATCAGTTGTTCCGAAGTGGTGGGTCGGGACTCAAAAGTGGGTCGTGAAGCCGTATTCAAAGGGTCACAAATGTCTGCCTGGGGAAAAGAATTGTGTCAAAAGGTCTAAAAAGTGCTCTCTTGTTTGTTTGTTTTGCTCTTTCTCTTTGTTCTGTCAGATGTTTTGTACCGTCTGAGATTCAAACTACCATTTAGATTGACAAATATCAGACATTTAGGTCGCAATTTCTTTGTAAGGTGATGGTGGTGGATCCTGAGGCTATCCAGTTGAGAACAACTATTCTAGATGCTTTTTGAGCTTTGCTGCACCACCAGGTGGTAATGAAGGGTTAATCCGAGGACATCTTAACCCCTGTATTTAGTCATTAATGTATTTTCTCATTTATAAGGTCTTTAATAAACCCACCTCCAAATCTTTGAAGTTCTCCATCAGACATGGTTTCTCTGGAAGTGACTCCAAGTGATCCAGGGCTACTCTTGTGTTCTGGAAACCACAAAGATACACAAGGTTAGTTTTGTTTTCTTCTTCACAGAGATTATTCTCTTATTGTTATTTCTGACTTTCATTTTAGGACTTCTTCTCCAAGTGGAGCTTAAACTTCCTTACAGAACAAACATGACAAACTGTCCAGAGAGTTAACTGATAAATCTTTACCATAAGGGTGTTGTGTTAAAAAAAACAACAACAGAATAATCTGAAAATTGTAAAATAGTAAAATATTGTGTAAGAAAGACTAGCAGGAAGTGGTCGCCCAAAGCACAAAGACCATGGATGTGGTTTTAGATCATGAGTTTCATTTGAAATGTCTTCTGTTTCTTTAAAAAACAAACATACAAATCAAGTTAAGATCCACAAATCATTCATTACAATGGACTGTGGAAGAGAAGAAAGCATGACGATGAAGAAACCACATAAATCCCAAAATAAATACTGGGGCTGAATCTCAGTTCCCTTAATTGTCTCGCCCTTTCCCTCTTGGGTCTTTACTATGTTTTTGAACACTTCTCACTAAAGAGCGAGGAAAAGATAAAAGGCAGAGGAGAGAGTTAGGAACAGTCAATGAAACGTACAGTCAGTGAAATGAGACATCTGTCTCAGTCAAGGGTCGACTTAAGAGCTGATTACTAATGACGGCTCACAGCTGTATCAGCTGTCTGTGGGACTTTAACTGCTCTGAGGCGCCTAGTGATGCCTTTGTTTTCGCTGAGATAATGGAGGATGTAGAATCCAGAAAAACAAAGGTGATAAGTTACCACTAAGAGTTCAGCCATGTATTATTAATGTCTTCCAATTTGACAGTACAGGCAGTGAAATTTAAAAGTGCATATCAAATGTAATGTCCCTTAAAATAAAGCTTAGAAGCATTTACAGATAAAAGTTTACAGAAACAGACTAAAGCAGGCTGTAATGTTAGCAGCCTGTCACACAGCCACCAGCAAGAAAGCCGAGGGCGTGAGAGCGAACGGAGAAGCAGCGTTTGAAACAAAGGTACCACACACAAAGAAATATCCACGCTTTACAACCTGTTTCTGTGTCCATGAAAATGTACTACTACTTAGTAATGCTAAATCCGAAATGTCTTCCTATTTGTACATTTACATGGCACTACTTAAATGCTGCCTTCAATTCACTGAGACTGACTCCGTGTCCTAACAGCACAGGGCGTCAGGGTAAACACAGCGTGTTGTGTTGCTCGCGGGCAGTTAGAACACTCCAATAGGAAACAATAGAATCCTGGGTTAGGACAGGCTGAGACTATAGACCAGAAATGTGTATATATTGATTCAAAAACAATCAAACAAACAAGAAAAACCCTCCAACAACCTGGGCTGAAAACCGTGATTTAAAAATGGAAGTACGTATTGAACCGTGGGCTGACTGTATAGTTTATCCCTAACATCCCTATCATCTAGTTTTAAAAAAAAACAACAACATTTATTTGGCTGCTTAATTCAGTAAAATACAAAGAGACTTACATATTAGTTTGAATGTATTTCATGTATGTCTGTTTTGTTTTTGTTGTGCATGAGGATGCTCATGTTGTGCTGTTAGTTTAAGTAATCAAACAGAAAACTATGAACGAACCAACAAAGTTAAAAGTTTAGTCTTTAAAAACACACTTGTGTCTCCTGTCAGCTCTGAGGCTTCACCACAATGATTAGGTGATGAATTGCAGACTAATTGGAATATACTGAAGACATGGATTAACTGTGGAGAAGATTACTGTGCTGCAGGGATCATGAGAATGTTGTATGAGGATTTGGACATTTCATTGAACTGTTAGGAAGGTATGCTTATTAGAGCTGCAACCCTCAGCAGCAGGTGAAAGATACACTGTAGCCTACAGCCCAGTATGTGATACTGGAATCCTATATGATCATTGTGGCATGTTTGCTTCATAGGACAGTAACTACAGGAGCGATAGACTGAAAATATATATAGAGAAAGACCGGGTCCATCATGAGAATCATATTTTAAATCTAAAGTATCCACCTTTATCCCCTGGAAACTGAAACACTGATAAGTGGAGCATTTCTTTTAAATAGCAAAACATCTGTCTGTTCCCAATATGTCCCTATCTTTGAATTGTAACAAACATTTTAAACTATTAATGAAAGATGTAGTGTGAATGAAAACTGCTATGCTAAAGCCCAGATGTGACCAAACATGATGTCATAGTGCCCGATGATTTGAAAATGAAATGATGATGTCAGTCTTATCTGTGATTCAGTAGCTACTTTGGTTGCTCTCCAATCGATTCATCCCTCCACTGTGTGTTTCAACAGATTTACCATGCCCATTCATACCAAGCATTTAGGCATCACAAGAACTGGTTGTTATGAAGCGTCACACTGATTGCCACACTGAAGAGCACGCTGACACACAAGTAAGACTGTGTGTTTGATCGCCACCACCCAGGCTGAGAGGAGGGGTGGGTCGATGCAGTCTGCAGCTGTGTTGTTGCACAAAGCAGAAAATATCTGACCTGAAAGTGGTCCGAGGTATTTCCTCTTCTTTTATCACAGCAGATAATTGAAGGTTGATGTGGACAAGCATGCCGCATAATTGTGATGGATGCACAGCACGCATTAGAAGGCTTCATTTATTCAATGCTTTTCAAGAGCGTGAAAAAGGGGCTTGGGTCAATATAACCTTTCAGTAGTGCTCAGTAATTTCAGCCTGACATCTCAAAGCTGAATGTTAACTGTTTGGATGGTGAGGTCAATAATGTATTGTCAGTACAGCTTGGCTATTAACCCCATCAGCAAGACGTATGATGATTTAACAGAGCTGTGAGCCTTGACTAAAGTAATCATTTCTAACCCTGTGTTGGCCTCTATGGGTTGCTAAATAAACATAGCCTGAGGTGAACCTGCCTACACGCCTGCATCAAATCATGCTGAGAGTCAACATGGTTTCTAATCATTTAACAACTGCAGGGCACTTTAAAACTCTTGGCCTTTTAAACCTGAATATAAATACATGACTTATTTACCTCGAGTAATTACTCTTATCAAAGAAATAAAACCTTACCGACTCCAGATCCAAAACACGATCCTGCAAAGACACAAACAGCAATATTACTTTATATGCATAGAATGTATATTACAGGTCACAAGTTTAAATAAGTCTCAGAGCACCCCAAGACATGTCTGTGAAGTTTTTTTATAAATCCACTCTGATCTTGTATTTCAGCATGCCAATAAACCCCTCTATTTCAGCCCTGTTCAGAACAGACTGTTTCTGTGCCTGTAGCTTTAAATGTAAATGAGCTGTGTACAACAACACCCCACAGGACGGGAATGCTCGGGCTTTCTTGCACCATGAAACATTTTTTTACAGTGAGAAGGCAGACTCAGAGGGCAGAAGAAACACCTAGTTGTGGGAGTGTCACCCACCAGGGGGAAGGGGTTACTGCTCTTTGTGATGTCACAAAGGGAAAATCTCCAAATGGCCTGTTTGAGCACACATTCTCCGATAAGTGGAGCAGGCAAAAGACTGAGAGGATGGACTTTTCAAAAACTAGGACACATACTAGGGACACATATTATTGTTAGACAAACCTGATAAAGTGTGTTGTGCATAATATGTGAACTTAAAGATATCAATAACAAAAAAAGGTTGAATGAAAATGATGCAGCAGGTGAGTTCAGGTAACTGCTTTTAGATTCGATGACAAAAAACCGGTGTGTGTGGGAGAGCAGTGACAGAGCTTTTCAAATATGTAACAAGGGAGGGGAATGCAGAGGCTAGGGAGAGTCTATAGCACACAACAGGCTTCTTATCACACACACCGACACTTACACTCCCACACACACACATACACAAAGACAAACTGCTTTCACGTCTCATCCAGCTCCTGACTGATGTTCCCTCTCTAACGATGCATAAGTGATGCTATGCCTCTTATCTGCCACTCAAACAAACACCTGCTCTCCTCACCAAAACAGATGCCTCCCCCTCTCCGACTGTAATGTATTGCTGCTGATTTGTAACAAGAGTACTTTCTTTTTCTTCAGCCCATCCTCCCAACCGTTTTTATTCTTCACTTGTATACATCCCTCACTCCGTCTTTCTCTCTCTCCTCATCGTTCATAATTAAAAGCTCGACTGGGTCTGAGAGGGCTGATTAATTGCACAGGAGCTCTGGCAGGTGCCGTCATGCAGCCACAGATGGGACCCTGGTATCCAACACAAACACACGCACGTTCAGAGGTACAAGCACACGTTGGGAAAGAATAAATGATTCGCCGACGTTCTAGTGTGTGAGCCAGAGTGTGCATTTCGCTTTTTAATGGCGAGTAAAAGGCCAGAGAGGCGCTGGGGGCCAGTCCAATCCAGACAAGGTGAGTTGGTGGCCTGCCAAGTGTAGATGCTGCAGTACAGAAAGACAGTAACAAGGCCTCCGGTGGCTTTTAAACTCCAAGGCCTCGTGTCTGCAGTAATTAGCTACTTGTCCAAGCAAGGCTGCAAGGAGTGTGTCAGGCCGGCGACCGTGTGCTGCTGTTTGTTACAGTGCATCACAGAACTTCGATGACTGAAGGCCAGCTCCAACAAAAACAAACAACAGATATGCAAACAGAAATAACTTAAAGGCTAAAAAAGTTAAAATAAGGGCGTCTGGATTTTTTTTTTTAAATCAACTATTTATGCAGCAGATTTACAGACCCAAGTGATGAGACAAAGATGAGTAAAGACTTGAAATGCTTACCTGAAGGCTTCTCATGTCTTCCTCCTTCCTGCGACTCTTCACTAACAGCTCTGAAAGAACAGCATTTAATCAGAGTTCCATATTCAAACCTGATATGAATATGGAAAAACCTGATAAACCTGATGATATCATATATCATTAATCCTGAGGGAGAAATTAAAACACAGGCTGAAATACACACACATGCACAAACAGGACATGGACATGCACTAATAGAGAGATGTCAGAATGACGGGGATGCCCACAGTGAGCGCTCCTGAGCTAATGGGGGGGGAGTGGCGGCGTTGGGAGCCTTGCTCAAGGGCATATCGGCAGTGCTAAGCAAGTAAAGTGGCACCTCTCCAGCTACCAGACAACTTTCCATATTTGGTCCTCATTGAGTGACCCTCCAGTTCCCAACCCATTTCATATGAAAAAGTTCCCCTTATACAGTGGATTTTAAGGTGCATGAATATCTTTTTTTTTACCAAAGATAGATCGATACCAAAACCCACAACCCCACATAAGAGAGTTTAAAGGTGAAGCTACAGCAGCACCAAATGATTTCTTATCAGCAGAGTTATAGTGACAGAGCGTGTTTACAAAGCCTGCACTGTACATCTGTATTATTATGAGATAATGACGTGCTAGTGAAGTAGATGGTGCCCAGGAGCTAAATCAACTACAAAGTAACACCAGCACACCGGAGAAGTGTATTAATCATGTGAGGAATGTTTGTCACATGTTGGACCCGTTCAAACAGTTTGCTGCTTGTTGGTTATTTGTATAGAAACAGTTAAAGAAAAGACAAACTCTGATTGTGTTTATTGTTCATAGGAACAACAAACTGTTTCAATCACTGATTGTTTGTGTAATGAGGTTTATTCATTTAGAGGAAAGAATTGATTGAGCATTAGAGTTTTGTTGGCTTAATGCCACAGTACCTACCTACATTATTATATTCTCTTTGGCTTTAAACTGAGCAAAGAAAACTGTGATCAAACTTTGAATAGAACAGTGATGAGTATAAGAAAAAAGGAAAGTCTTAAAGAAACGTTTCATTTTAATGTATCATAATGAAAAATGGTCACGATGTAATATTCTTCCAATAATGAATGTTCATGTGTTGATTTTAGATGAGTGTGTGTTTTAAAATAACTGCTGGACCATATAAGAAGGCTTTGAAGATGGCTCAGTATTACTAATAACATAAAGACCCTCACTTCCATAACACATCGGTTTCACAGTCACATAATCACAGTATCATACTAATACCACTTTTTCATTTAAACAAACATCTGATCACAGTGACTAATACACATGATTGAAATTCTTTAAAAAACATAATTTCAGGTTGTTATCTTTTAGGCTAGCAGTCCACTGCTGTTCTCTTCACTGATTCACATCCAAATAGACATACTGATATCTACACATGCAGTTTAGAGAGAGGCAGTAGAGAGTACCGGTACTAAGTAACTACACATGAAATGAAATCTCTCACAAAACAGGGACTGCTGGGGGTACAGGCCTAGTGGTAAGTTTTGCGGTTCAAATCCAACTTGTGGCTCCTTTCCCGCATGTCATTCCACTCTCTCTATATCTCCCTGATTTTTGACTCTATCCACTGTCCTATCTCTCCAATAAAGGCACAACAAGCCCCCATAATAAATATTTAAACAATGATGAATAAATAAAAAATACAAGGACTCTAGGAAAAAAGAAAAACAACAACTCAAAACCAGATTCTGTTTGGTTCGGTAGGCAACTACATTATTCACATTATTCACATTATTCATATTTGCAATGAATTGTTAAAGTTATTACATTTATATCTGTAAATACATTGTAGCATTACACAAGATAAGTGTCTAACAGAGGCTCTGTCTGGGCGCTCTGGCTCTAAAATGATCAGGTCAAAATAAAACAATGTATCACTACAGTTAGATAACTTCCTTTGTGTATAGGGGTCTTACATTTCCATGTCTCCCTTCTCTCCCTCTTTTGTCTCACTGCTTCTTTACACCCTCTTATCTCTCCGTTAATGGAACACAAATTAGGCTCATTTTCTTGTATTGTTCAAGAGATGAGCTCAAAACAAGTTGTTCTGCCTCCGGCGGTTACAGCGCATTAGGAGACACTGTTAAGAAAGGGACCTGAGACAGTAAAATAAGTCCATTTTCTAAAGAAGTCTTAAATATCACACACATTAAGACTTACTTAAATATATGTAACCATTACCAGACAGCGTACGGTCTATAAGAAAATGACTCCGATACTCAGGCACAAACTGGACAAAGAACACTCACACCGATATTAAGTCATTGTGCTAGTTCTTGCTCTTAACAACTCTGTGAATACATTTAAATTACTTTAAAGAGCAACTGTCAGCGACTGTGATTTACGTTCACACTGATTTTAACATGGTCAATTCAACAGAAGGATTTCTTGTCCGATGTGTTTTCATATCAGGTATTACTAGCTGCCTCATAAAGATCACACAGTCTGATTAGTCTCACATGATTCTGTGCTATAGCATTTATTATGGAGCGGGAATGTGACTAACTGGCCTCCTTTGATGACATCAGCACAGTTGTTTAAGCGGAAAACACCACACACATCCTTACCCACAAATCCTACGCTGCCTTCCCACTTGCTTCCTCGGTGTGGGTAAAATAAGGATGAAAGGTCTTTCTCTAATCAAACAGGGTTATTGTACCTCTCTTTTCAGTGCTGAGGGAGTGCAGCAGCTTCTCCTGTTGGTCCAGGCGCAGCTGGAGAGCCGCCTGCTCCGAGTCCCGGCTCTGCCTCAGGGCCTTGAACTGATCCCTGGTCTGCTGATGCTGCTTCCTTTGGCGCTGTTCTCTGGTGTTGCACTCGCGCACCTCCTCACACAGCCAGCGTAGCTTTGTCTGGTTGAGTAGATTAAATCACAATCAATGCTAAATTGTTAGTTACGGTAGTTTAGGGTTTAGTAGTTTTTGGCAGTGGTTGTGTTGCTTTGTTGGTTGTTCTCTCTCTCTCTCTCTCTTTAGTTCATGGTCTTTGTTTTGCCTCCACAACACCACACACATTCACCATTGCGGTCACCACTGATTTACAGACTGCAGATTCTTCTATTAGGATGTTTTAACTTAGTTTTCAATAAATGAAAATAAATAAAACTGTGTGGTATCCCTGTTTGTCCAGCTCACTCAGCCTGGGTTGTGCCACTTTGAATAGAAAAGGTTTTATTCCAATTTTAGGGAAGTATGCAGGGCGATCAACTTTGTGGGTTTTAAAGACGAAGGCCTCAAATCCTATCATGATACTTTTAAGTTCAGACTAGTTTCTTTGACATTTCTAACCGTACATACAGCAATGCACTCCAATCTGGTTTCTCTCATATCTGGTAGTGATGGGAAAAGCAGTTCTTTTCAGAGTACTTAATCAGTAGAATCAGTTCAGTAAAGTGATTTGTTCAAAAGATTCGTTCACTGAATCGTTCAGTACTTCTCTGCAGCTCTGTCTGTGAATCAGAATTTAATAAGCTAAAACATGGCTGAACGTTTAGTTCTGCTCGCGATCGTACTGAGAACAGCCGGTGGTGAATAATAAACCAATGAGCTGAGAATTTAGTTGGATAAAGCTACAGTTTGCAAACTGAAAGCTGCTAAAACAATTACATATATTTTCCCCGACCGTTCTGTTCAATACGTTCAGTACAAGAAGAGGAAGAGTGACCCGTTCAGTGAACGAGAGCTCCGCTCTTCCTCTCAGTTCGTTCAGGAATGAAACACTGACTGAACGTGAGAGCGAGACTGCGAGTCACCAGCTTCAGTCACACACACACTGTACTGACTGAAACACGATTGTTAGTAGATGTTAAAACAGTCAGCTGAGTGAAATTAAGTTGGATATAAAAGCCGTTGCAAACTGACAGCAGCTATAAAAAGCAGAAACATTTTCGCGACACCTAAATGTTAAATAATATATTTGCTACTTCCTCAATTTTCGAGACGAGAGGGAGAAGTAGGGGCGAGCTTTAGCGACACAGAGCTACCGACCGACTCCGTCCTGTTGGTTCAGTCAGTACGTATCACTGACATGAAAGAGAGAGGGAGGGCGGGATTTGAGCGACTCTTACGGTCTGGTGAGAGAGACACGAGACGGGAGAGAGGAGAGCGCAACTGAAGTTGAGAAATGAATGACTCTTTTCAGTAAGTGATTCAGTTCAGTTCGTTCACCCAGATGATTCGTTCGTTTTGAACGAATCATTCACAAACTACACATCACTAATATCTGGATGCTTAAAGGTGCGGAGGGATCAAACAGGATTTTGAATATATACTAAAAACTATCTGGTACAAGAAAATCATAATGGAATTTCCTTTTTAAAGGGAAATCATTGCATGAAACAATTTACATCTGAATTCCTCTGCTGGGCTTTCTCCTCTAGTACGGCTGAAACTGCAAGTTAAAATCCTCTTTAAATCCTTTTGAACATAAAATATTCTCACCATTACTTTTTTTAAAATGAGTATTTGGGGACTCTGACCTTGTCCGTGGTATGAAGCTTAAGTTTAGAAAAAGACAAATACAGCAACACAACTTAAGAAGTGTGGAGAACAGTGTTAATTAAACCAGTAATGTAAATATGCTTACAGTGTTGTATTCAAAGGCTTGTAAAAGTCATTAAAATGATTGACTAAATGGGAGTTAAACGTGCTCCTTAAGTCTGTACATCATCTCGAATTTACCAACAAACTGCTTACATGGGAGCTAATTATTGCTCTTGTTCTCTCGTGTTTTATTCCTGGGAATGCTTTGTGCTCTGAATGCAGTTATGACAGCAGATATATATTAGGCTGATAAACACCAGGAACTGTGCAAACACAGTTTAACACAGTATCATGGATCATCGCCACAGCCATAATCACATGTTTCTTTTACACAAAACATCATTACTATACTAAATGGGTGCTGATGTGTCTTTGATAGAAGAAAGAACCATTATTGTTGAAGAGGAAATAAGACACAAGAACGCATTAAGAGAAAACAGCTTCACAAAGTCCCATCAATTAAAGAGCCTCACTGGAGCATCACAACCTCCATGATGCTGGCTTACATGAATGACAACATGTGAAATGATGTAGTCAGATCTAAAATAGCCCTTTCCCTTATGACCATTATGAAAAGACATTTTACTGCAAATCCCTGAACCTCATGATGAACACTGCTGGCTCTCACACATCAGTGCTTAGATGTACAAAGGGATTTATTCAGTAGTTAGTGCTCCTTTCTGAGAGGTCATCAGCCACTGTGTTCAAACAAGCAACAATACAACATGGCACCCATCGCACAATCGTTTTAAGTTTGCATTAAAAACTCGTTGATTCATATTTAAAGGCAGGGTTGGTCATTTTTCAAAAAAACTAGCATGATTTTGAAAGTAGCATTCCCTCAGTGCTCCGTCTACACCCAGCCCCTTCCCTCTGCACCACATTGTGTAGAAACGACATTGTGTCATTCAGCGACAAGTAAACACTAAACTTGATCATAATACATGTTTAAAAAAAAGTGTCTATTTCACTTCACACAAACTCACAGTATAAACTCCTTCATCTGTGACGCGCTTTTAGTGTTGACTAGTGCACGTAAGAGGTAGAGAACGAGCAGGGAGACAGGGAGGCCTGATTGGTTCATCAAATTGGTTCCTCGTATTATGACATTGGTCAAAGTTTTTACATCCAGAGAAAAAATCCAATCTTGATGTATCGGTCGATAACTTTCTTAGATCTATCTTCGATCTTTAAAGATTGATAGATATAGATAAACACATTTAGTGTGTTGATTCCTCAAATGCAGTTATCAAACACTTGTGGAAATATATACAATGAAGACAAGATGGTCAGAGTGATAATGCTCGTTATAATCTATACAGCACACTCCGCTGGTGACAGCCTGAGAGAGAACTGCTAGTGTAATATAATGATACTCAAATGAAATGCTATTTGACTGGTGAATACATCTAGAAATATCAGCGTATATCTGGAAAAAGCCATACCCTTTATTATTACTTTAAATATGAGAAGAGTTTTATAATCTTATTTATGGCCACTTATTGTCTGTTCTGTTTCTAATATCTGTTGTTGCGTTTACATATTCTTTCCTTTTGTGTATTGAGGGTCACCCCTAAATGATCTCACGTATAATTCAAAGTTGACAACAATGATGATGATTGTGATACCGGGTACAGTATTAAAAATAGTGATTCATTCATCTTCTATACATTGTTGGCCAGTGAGTGAGCATGATGTTCAGGATAAAGTGTGATATGCTTATCTCGGGTTTTCTCATTTATATAGTGAATTATGTAGACAAATCCCAGCACTACAGCATGTTCTCATCATACTGTACCTTTGTCTCAGCCAGCCAGCGGTGAGGGTCTTTCACTAATCCAGGTTTCTGGGAGATGGCCTGTTAGAAACAGAACAGAGATTCATACAGATTGGAGTCTTTGTTAGCATGCGTAGTCAAAATTCAGTTCTTACTTCAACTCCTTAAACAAATCCACAATAAGAAGTGCAAATCTTAAGAGATTTTCTAGTAGAGGATCTCAGAGTGTACAGTTCTTTGTCTTAAAATACCCCAAAAGATTTATAAGAGGTGAGACAGAAGGTGCTATCAAAAGTAAAAAGAAAAAAAAGTGATCGAAATATGGATGGACAAACAACAGGATGAAAATGAGAAAAACAGCCTCTTGTCAAACCCTTAACTTTTGTGAAGAAGTGCCTCTGCCAACTTAAATTGACTTGCATGTTTGTTAAACTGCCTGTGACAGTACACACACTGGTGTGTGCGCACACACTCGCACGCGGAAGTTTTATGTGTGTGTCATAAAAATGAGCTCAGGGAGTATGTTCCATCCTTCCCAGACAAGCTTGTCAGCATCAGCAATACAAACTGACTGTCTGCCAACTCCTAATGACTGCTGACGCACACAGACACATACACACACCATAAACACTCTTAAGACAAAAGAACACTAGGATACACAGATAAACAGTCAGATAACTAGATGGCAATCTGCTGAAAGCACACCTTAGCAATAATTCACTGTTGACATATATGTCAGCTCCATGTATCGAACATACGCCAAAGGTTAATCAAGTATTCTATGCATCATTACCAGCTCTGTTCACATGAAGAGATAAACATGTGGTTGCCACTACCTAAAAGTCAACAAACAGTCACACAATGCAGCCAATCAGGTCTCTGTCTGTTCAGAGGCCATTAGGATTGCACTTTAACTACTGCAGCATTGAGCAGCAGGTCATTATTTCCTATTCTTTCAGAGAGTGACACTGTTGAAACCAAGCAGCAACTTCTGGTATTAAAAAAATAAAGCCAATGCGAAGAGTGTCCACTTGTGGCTGTCTGCAAAAACCCTGGAAGGTTAAAATACATGTTTTGACAGCAGAAATAAACCTGTAAAAAACAACTGTGGTCTGAAAAGCTCATGTCATTATTCACAGACACTTTATAAGGTGAATTATTTTTAATAACACATCCATTTGGTTTTATGAAGGGAAAGAGTTTTGCACAAATAGAGGTGTGACTGATATGACTGCAAGCAGGTGCGTTGGAGCTGTTTGCAAGGACGCTTCAGGCCTGGCTCAGCTCCTCGTCTCTGTTTGTTACAAGCTTGGCTGAAATTTAGGTTGAGACAGCATTTTCAATATGGCGACCCTCATCACTGAGCTTTAAAATCCGCCTTTAGTAACCAATTGGTGACTTCATTGAGACTATACGTCCATGTTTTGTACAGTCTATGGTTGAAATGAAGAAATCTGGGTAAATAATGGGGAATGACTGTGAATTTGCAACAAAGGACCACTGGGCATGCAGCACCACAAACTAAAAGAGGGGTTGAATCTAAAACAGGGAAAGAAAAAAGGCTCTTTGTCAGGTTTGGCCAATAATGGTGGCTTTCTTTCATTGTTTACTAATTGCTCACATAAGACTAGGAGTGCATTTACAGACTTTCAAAGAGAGAAGAAAAACAGCTGTGGGTGTGCTGCTTCAGGTACCAGAACAATGTGCCTTGGAAACTTGTCATGCTCTTCATTCTTTTATCTGTCAGGTTGAACAAAGGAATACTCCGTTCATGTTACAAAGTGCTCACTGCAGTACAATGACAAAAGTTGAGCCAGGTTCAAAGTCTTTACTGAATATCAATATATTGGGGGACTGGTTCGTCTGAACACAGGGTTAGAATGATCCACTAATACAAATACTGAGTGAATCTTAACATTCTCTTGAATCTTCTTTATCAATGAAACAGTTTGAATTTAGGATTAGTTAGTTAGAAAAAAAGAGATGCTAGTTAGTTTCTTAGCATCTCCACAGTCTGTAACGCTACAGTTGTGTCACCTGAATCTAACGCTTTCTTCTTGGGGGCAGCAGTAGCTCAGTCTATAGGGACTTGGGTTGGGACCCGGAGGGTTCAAGTGCAGAACAAATCTTGAAATTGGGCTAGTAACTGGAGAGGTGCCAGTTCACTTCCTGAGCACTGCTTTTACTAGGTCTTCTTTCTCCTTTTCCCACAGTAAACAGACCAACCTCAAATTGCCAAGAATTCTTTCAGCTGATTTATATGAAGACAGTCGGTCCTCTAAAGTCAAAGATTAGAGTCAGGTCCCCAGCAATTGTCCGCTGTTTATAGAAACTATTTGTTATTCTTAAGCTAGCTGGCCTATGAGAATCAAGTATTTGAAAAATGAGTGTAATACAGTGCAACTAATATGGAATACAGAAACTCAAAATCTGCCTTGCTTAATTAAATAATTGCCTCTCTGTCCCATGATGACCAAACTTTACATAAAGGATTGTGCACATCTTTCATAGGGAGGCATCCTGGAACCTCAATAAATCATGAACAGAGTGCAAAATCCACAATTCCAATCCAGCTATACGAGTAAAAATAAAATAAAAAGCCAGAAAGCATAACAAACAGTAAATTCATGCACACAAAAACAGCTGTGAACAAAGTCAACAAAAAAGTGCAAGTGTTTCTTCAAGTGCACCCTTGTGGCATGATGTTTACGCATGATCAACAGACATGGAAAGCACACAGCAGGATTTTTTTTGGACCTATTCAGTCCCGAGTCTCTGCAAACAACATTGTCACTGCACAGGTGTCAAGCAACTTTTTCAAGCTGTCACTCAATACCAGATCCAAGCAAACCGAATTTCCCAAGTTGTTGCTCCGACAGCTCAAAGAACAGCGACGGCGTGCTGCTGTGCAGAGGTCCCCGTCTCAGGGAGTTTACAACCGCACGGCAGAGCGTGTGACTGTGTGGGAGGATAAAACATGCCTCTGTGCCTCTCGCTCTCTTTACTTTTTGCTGAACCATCAAAGCAGCTCCGCACAGCAGCAGACAAAAAGGAGGTGAAACTGTTGAAAAACTGAACAAGTAGGCTGGGAGTTCAAAGTGCTGTCTGTGGGGTTGAAGTGAAAGAAATGCCACTATTTTCTCAGTAGCACAAGTAAGGAACCCAAGTGTCTGCCACTGGTAATTTAAACGCACGACTACATGGTTTGCATGCCTTTTACAGACAGCGAGTAAATCTGTGACTGTGTGTCTTTGGTTACAGTTTTGTTTGTTTCCCCTCCTGCTTAGAAAATGGCAAAGATGCAAACTTATAGAGTGAAGCACATGGTGGAGATTTGTAGACTACCAGCACCTGGGAAGAACCAGCAAGATGTTTTCATAGAGATAAGCACTGTGTAGAACACCTTTAAGAAAAGGGAGATGAGATATATTGAGGAGAGGACAACAATTGACAAATGTCCCAGGCTAGGTTCACACACCAACATTTTGCAATTACATGGTGAGAACTCAACTGAGCCAGTAGAGCCAGAAAAAAAGAGGACACGAAACAGGTCAAAAGTGAGAGAAGAGAGAAAAAACCCAGGGAAGTAATCCAACACATGGTTTCCCACATGATGTAGCAATTAGCTAACAAATGTAATCCCTTCAGTTATCACAAGGTGTAGCTTTCCTTTCTTTAGTAAAAACTGCAACAAGGCTCAAGTTGCATAGTACATTAGAAAGAAAGAAGACAGAAAACAAGGCACAGGCGAAACGACAGTTTGCTAACACAAACGTGCTTAGTCATGCTGCTAGCTTACAGCTCTGCTAGCTATCAATGTATTTAAATCAACTGGCAACAGCTTAAAAACTTACATTTTGCCATCCTACACATAATAACTCAACATAATAAAAACTTACAGACAATTAAATAGTAGTTGATCATTTTGCAGGAGGTGAAGCTGCTGCTGTCTGCACTTCACCGCTCTTCTGTTCACACCTCACGGGTCTTCTGTTCACACCTCACAATGCTTTTCATTATATGATTGTCTGGCAATATATCAGTTATCATAGTCTCTGTATCATGATATTATCATTATCGAGGACCATGCATCGCATCAAATCATAATTTACCCTGTGATTCCCTCTCCTATCCTCAGACTGTTATCCAGATGTGTATACATATCAACATTCTGTATTTTGTTAAGATATTTCCACTCGTTTAAAATCATTCTTTGGAGCTGATCTATTAATTTTAACATAAAGCAAACTCTCAGGACACCGCCTGTAGCCCTATGGTTATCCTTAACTCCTCATGCAGCTAAACACTGTCGTCAAATTTCATGAATTATTGCTTCTAAAGAAAAGGAAGGAGGCTACCAGGAGGTAACTGAAACCTAATATACCCTTTACTGTTAATGATTCCCCTCATTAGGCCGATCACTAGTGAGTTTGACTTCTTTTCAACATGACAGATTACAGATGAGGCGTTGGCTCTCATGTCTGGCTGCTGCACTGCTGGACCAGATTGGGGAATCTATATAAACAGATAAGAGCTGGCGGGGTTCATTATCTTGGAGCAGCAGAGGAAAGCAGCTTCAAGCAGGGAGGAGTGTGTGGATGAACCGTACAAGTGTGTGGGTACATTCATCGGACAGAATGTTTAAATTATGACTACCGTAAATGTTTTGTGACTTGGACTGACCATCAACTGTCACCTCAGTCTCGGAAAGATATGATCAGGAATTATGATGGATTTTTCAAACAGTTTTACGATCCATTTCATCTCAATCGTTGGTTATGTTGTTGTAAATGTGTTTTTTCTTGCAAACACTTATTTTTAAAAGTAGTTACCTATGTGCGGAGTTTATACTTGTGATTTACCATTTTGTAGTTTAGACCAGAGATTGCATTATTGACTTAAATATTGACTATATTTAATCACACGTCATTTCTTTATAATAATTAGGTGCAAAATTAAGAAAAACATAATACTTGATCATTTTGCCCTGACATCTCAGCACTCAAATGTTTGTATGAGTGCTCTGAGTGTTGGTAGATTTCTTTCTTATCTATTATCAAATCCAAGATAGTACAACATTGATGGGCACACCAGTGGCCTAGTGGATAGTTTGCACGCCCCCTGTAGAGGGTGCAGTCCCTGAAAGCGGACAGCCCGGGTTCAAATCTGATACTCTCCACTCTCTCTGTCCCTGATTTCTCACTGTATCTGCTGTCCTGTTCGAGGATTTTATGAAGATATTTCTTCTATGATCAGTTGGTGAGGCCCAATGTACTTTAATCAGAATGTATGCATATTATTAGGAATTTTATCCCAAAAAACAGTCCACTTTAGGGTGACTTATGGGTATTACATATGAAATAACTGAAATAAAAAAATGGTACAAGCATTGAACATAATAACAACTTAATAACAACAAGTTGTTGAACCAACTCTTGGGTTGGTTTGGGATGGAATATCAGTGGTTTGTTTTTTGTTTCATAATGAAACTCTTAATGCACACACACACACTCAGACACACATACACAGACCGACAATACCAGCCAACAAAAACTCTCTTTATATATGAAGTGTTATATAACTAATAATAATAATTGAAATACCTGTAGTTTGTCTTCACCGTTCCTTGCCAGGTTGCGGCAAGCCGTATCGAGCTCCATCCCCAGAGAGGTAAGGACTGCTTCTCTCTCTGCCTCCAACTGCAACACCTTCTCCTCCACCTTAACAAGCTCGGACTCTGAAGCCCGTCTGCGCTCACCTGACCTGACCTGTGGAGGAGTGGAGAGAGCAGAGTGGGAGTCATGAAGATGCATATTAAAAGCCATTACTGTGTTTATAAATATATAATTGAAATATTGCAAGACACTATAAGGACAGTAATGGCAGGAGATTATCTGAAGATGGATAGAAAAATCCAGGTAGAAGAGAGATCCAGTTCATGCCAGTAGTTGTTACAGTTTATTCAGTTACACATATGTGAAGAGATGGACCTTGGGCATCATAGAGCCATGAAGGTTCCTCTCACACAAACACACAGAGTTAAGTTTCCTTCTCTGGCCTGCACTGTCAATAGTTTCAGGGTCCCTAACAGGACACACGCACAATCAATATGTCCGAGGCACAGGAACCATCTGATCAGTGCTGCCCAGGGGCCGTGGATCATTATCCTGTCCCTGGGATAATACGCCACCATGTTACATTAATAAAAGCCCCCTTTCTCCCTTCACCCAATTTCAAATCAATACATGGATCCCCCCCAAAGAGCCCTAACAACTTATCAGGCTCCTGTCAGAGAGGTGAATAAAGGTTCAATAATTCCATCTGCTGCTGTAAAAAAAACCCTGAGGGCATATTGATAAGGCCCCTCTAAAAATAGTGCCGATGTTGCACCACTTAACCTTACGAACCACTCTTATGTTCATATGATCACAAGACCAGAAGAGATATCTTAGCTATGTATGGGAAGGAAGAGAGAGTCATGTTATTGTGGTACAGTGTCATGTATGATATTGCTTCTTCCTTTTGTAGCCATATTTTTTTTATCAAATTACCTGTTATCTCCCTTTTATCCCACACAGTTGTGGCAGATGGCTTTTAAACACGGCTCTGGTTCTGCTTGATGGTTTCTGCCTCTTCTTTGTCACTGTTATTTTGCTAAATGTTCCCAAACTCTGTGCTCATTTTGAATAAATGTTAGGTCTTGACCTGCTCTTTTTGTTAAGTGTCTGAAGACAACATTTGCTATTCAAACAAAGACTGGTTGATTGATGAAACATCTCCTCCTGCTTTCTTTAAACAGTTAAATGTATTTATTGTAATACCACTCCATAGTGGTTACAGATTTAAAAAAATGAACCCTTGACAATAATGTGTTTGTAGGTCATATAGGGTTATCAGTAGATTAACATTTCTGACTGCTCTAATAGAATAATTTGGTACTGGTGCATGATTGGTCAGGACCGAAAGTACTGTTGAGCTCATGGACAAACTGTGCTCATAATGTATTTACTTTAACAGTCAAAATAGTTTGGATTATCAAGTTGTGGCTCGTTTACAGAAGTATGCACCTCTGTTTTAAATCAATTCACGAGCATAAGAAAGATATCTGTCTGTGCGAGTGTGTGTGTCAACCACGACCCTCAGTGTGTGTGTGTGTGTGTGTGTGTGTGTGTGTGTGTGTGTGTGTGTGTGTGTGTGTGTGTGTGTGTGTTTGTGTGCAGAGTCTCAGCTAAAAGCAGACCTCGGTGTTCGATAAATAGCAAAAGAATTGAAGGAAAGAAAGAAGAATTGCATGTGACTCAGAGGACTCATGTTTATCACGGCCTGCTTCAGGAAACACTGAGTAAGTATTTAAAAGTTGTACTTATAAGCTAACCAGACGTGTATAGGCTTAATAAACAAATCAGTAATTTAACTTTATACATCACATCACATCTGTCTGGGTAAAATAAAAAGGGGATTATTACTATAAAAGAATTAGGCTTATTTCTGCTACTAATAATACGGGGGATTAACCGATACCTCTTCAACCTGCGGAGCATCGTTCAAACGAGACGGCTGTTACTCTGTCACTATTAACAGAGAGATGTTGCTTATTAACTGCGGTTATATAACTGAGGGTTAATACCTACGGGTTTACATCAGGCTTCAGGATTAAATGGCTCAATGTTTTTTTCATGTTGCATCAATAGTAAGGTTTAACCATAAGAGTTGGCGCGCAACTGTCAGAGTGTATCAGCTTCAAATTAAGTTATTTTAAATTACAAATGTGTCCTTGAGACGCAAACATAAAATCATCTCCTTATTGTGCTGAAATCTAGAGTTATATGTTTCATGTCTGTTAGATTTAGACATCTGCAATGCTATTATTGTTGTACCAAATCATGAATCAGCATTTCAGTATCGATAAAATTCTAACGATATCCATCCCTTTCAAGTAACCAATTAAAAGTTATCAAATGAGTCTTTAGTTCTATACCTGCACATTGAGTCAGGAACATGCGTCATTTCAAACTGAACTATAGCAGCTGCCGATAGCACTCATGTCTGTTTCTCTTAATTGTCCTTGAACTACGTCTATCTGTTAATTAAAAGAATCAGCACAATTTGAAAACTTCCACTGCGGAGAGATATCTAACTTGTAATATGCTGTGCGGATGCGCCGCCCTTATTGGAAGCATCACGTCATTCAATATTAGTCTCTCTGTTGGGAAACCATGGCAGAGGACGCAGGGCTTACTTTGTCATCCAGTTCCTGTTTGAGTAGCTGGTACTTTCTCTGGAGAAGTGCATGTGCCTCGTCTTTTGTGCTCAGCTGAGCTGCCAGCTTATCACACTCATCCTTCATCCTGTCCAAGTTGATGCGCAGTGCTCGACACAGCTCCTTGTCTGACGCTGCATCTGCCTAGTAGAGAGCGGATTTGTTTAAGGAATGACACACAGATAATACATTCAGATATATGGAGGTCTGATGATTTATTTATTTGCTGTAAAAAAACAAACTAAAGGCCATTTTTATTTATTTGATTAAGTCGTTAAAATGACTAAGAGTATGAGCTGATTATGTAACTTAGATATCAAATTGTAATTTCTCTGACCTAAATACAGCTTTGTGAATCTTATACACAGCAAGCTACGTTTGAAACATGACCCTAACGCTTTGTAAAGGATCTTAATTCACTACAGGTAGGTAGAGGTAAGGTCTGACATTCTGTGCAAACAGAGAACATGAAAGGTCAAGAGACTGGGTAAATCCCTCTGACAAGGCTCTAATATCATGTCTACAGTCCAGCTGAAGATTGCAAAAGCAAATCGTGCCTCACAAATTAGCCTCTGATCTATACTGATAACATCATTTAACATAGCGTAAGATATACTTGAGTCGAAAACAGCAATTGACTGATGACTTGGATTAACAGTAGTGACACATACAAAGAAAAAAATGGAAAAGCAGAAGCGCTGGAAGTGAGAAGAGAGGGAAAAACAGATGGGGAATGCAAAATTAGAACTGGAGGGAGGCAGTGAGAAAGGGATTAAGGCAGAGAGAGGGAAGATAGAGTGGAGGAGAAATCACGAGTGAGAGGACAAGGACAAGAAATCAGAATATTTTAAGCTTTTTCAGACAGTTGACTGTATCAAACCAGTAATACATGCTTCCGGCTATGCTGTGTGAATATTGGGTGGGCTTCTTAGGGACATCTGCGGTACCCGTAGGCTACTACTTAAAAACATTCCAGCAAACGCCCTTGTCCTCACCGCGCTCGGAAATGACACCATTACAATGAGCTATGTCAGATATTAATGCCATTCAGCACAGCTAATGGGCTAAACTCAACCATATCAGGGAGGACCATGCCCCTTAAGAAACAATGTTCCCAAGAGGGCTCATCATTGGAGATATTGAAGGGAGGGAGGGGGAGCAGGGCGCCCAGAGAATAAGTCAAGAGGAGTCCCCTATCTCCAGCACTCCTTGATGAGACTTCTGAGGTCTGATATCAGGGGTTTTTAAATATTCACGCTTTGAGCTCGGGAATGGCCATGAGGAACCACGGGGCACCACACACCATTAAGAGCGCAGCTATCCTCAATTCACCCACACTCAGAGGACACAGCCCCGGCCAATGAAGAAAATGAGTCTAAATGAGACTTTTGTCTGTGTCTCGCTGAGTCGGAAATATGCCAGATGTTTAGTGGCTGAGGCATGTTACTCCATGCTGAATTTTAAGTCTGTGCCAATAATAGTCTAAATGTCAATTAGAGTGAGGCACTCTGTGATCCATGCTGGTGTGCAAAGAAAACCAAATCTCCTTGGTTGGTTTATGACCTTGACATCTCCGAAGATTTGACACATTTGTCACATCTGATACATAATCCAAGGCTCAGCTCATCTGTATAAAAAAGGGGCCTGGAGGTACATTTAAAGGAACACTTAAGGATTATTGGATCGGTTTGCTTTCTTGTCATGTGTACCACTAAATGATTTATATCAACTCAAATCTGTATGATGAATATGTAGCTAAAGGCAACATCCTGTTAGCGTTAGCTTAGTTTCAAGAGTGGAGGAAATTGCTAAATTAGCTCTGTACAAAGGAAATACTATCCCAGTACTGAAAACACACAGTGGCTTTCTGGGGGTCTCTTTTAGTATATAGCTGTATAAAACAATATGAAGCAGACCACAAGTCATAATGCATACAAACACATTTTACATGCAAAAAAAAATGCAATAAAGGAAGGATTACTCAGCATTACTAAATTAAGATTTTCTCTGTTTCATTATACTACCCAACCAAAAGAAAATTTGCACACCTTGGACATTAGAGATGACAGGACCAGGGATGTGAGCAATTAAACGTCTGTCTTCAGCAGAATTACTACTCAGTTATACTAGTTATTTTGATTTTGTAATAATGTAGGCCACTTAAACCTTGTGTCCTAGCTCTGCTGCTATGATTTAAATCAGCAAAAAGAGACAGATGGCATATCCAGGAGCAGTTCAGGTAAACTGGCATATAACGATGAGTAACCACATTCAGCAGCATAAGCATGAACGAACAAAAAAATGAATGAATCTTTATTTTTGTGTCCGGCCGCTCAACAAGGCCCCCCCTTTTATGGATGTCAAGCCTCAAGGAGGACTGACGGCTGGTTCTTCACGCAATGTTAACTTTAGGCACACTAGGCAAACCAATTTGATGTTGTTTACCGGCAGAGTAATGCACTTCTCACAGTGTCACACATTTAAGAAGCATTTGAAATAGCCGTCAATTTTGTTTTTTAAGAAACAAAATGTGATGAATGGTTTGAAATAGGCTAATATGGTTTTTCTGTGTTCGCTGCTCCAGTAAAACAAGTCTCTAGGAAAATCCCTAGGGAGGACACTTAGCAGCAGACCTAAAGCCCATCTTTTAACGAGTTACAGTATATGTTGTTTTGTTCAGACTGTGACAATTCAAGTGTTTATTTGCTAGATTATTTCCTGCCAGGGACCAGCTGCAAGGAGAACAGTAAAGACTCTCAAGAAGTTACTGGTTACTTTGGTGAGCTAGCTCTTTTAAACCTTTTTTCTAAACTAAGCTAACCAGTTGTCGACTCCAGACATGAGTTGTACCGTATGATGAGTAAGTGCTGCAATATGTCAAACTCGTTCAAATACTTTACATTTCCTAAATGTAGAAAAGGCCTTACCTTAACCTCATCTAGATGTGCTTGCATTTCTTCACGCTCCTGATGGCAGAGTTTGAGTAAGTCCTGCACCTCTCTGTCCTTCTTCATCCTGCTGTCCTCCATCATCTTCTTCACACTGTCCAGTTCTTTCTGATGCACATCTCTCTCGAGATGCAGCTGCTGACCCAGAGCAGCGCGCTCCTCTTGTATTGCCTTCAGCTTGGCCTGTAGCTCTAAAGCACTCTTCTGGAGCTCCTTCTTGACACTTTCTCCCTCTGCTAGCCGCTGTGCTAGCTGTGCATGGGCTGAGGTCATCTGCTTAAGGGCGGCCTGGAGCTCGGCGTGTGCGTCCTGGTCTCTTTGACAACGACGGGCTTGTGTGTCAGCTCTTTCTTCCAGCCTCTGGTTCTCTTCTTTCAGTCTGGACTGGACCACAGCCTGGCGACGAGTCTCCTCCTCCAGGGCAGCTGAGGCCTCCCTCACCTAGGGACAAGAGCGCTATCAGATGATAATCAAAGCCCCTTTTTGTGGTTATGGTTAGACCTTTTTGCTTTAAAAACAAAATTATTTAAAATAAACAGTTGAACATGGCTGAAGATAAGCTGGGATTTTAACAAGAATGCTTAAATGTTTTAACCACTAAAAAGCATCTCACAACCTGTTAAACTTCAACGATTACATCATACTCAAACATAAAACTTTAAGCTGTTATTGTCATAAAAATATGTTATTCAACATTAATGCTGACAGACATTCTTTATGAAAAGGCCTATGAACTGGTCTTTACTCTCGAACTTGTCTCGCATAAGGCCTGATGGATTCTAATTGATTGAATTAAAACATATCATTTTTGTCCCTGCTGATTTGAAAGACACTTTTCTATTTCTGGATAGTTGACCCCCCTCACCTCCCGAATTTCCTGCTCCAGTGACAACTGGCGCTGGTGGGTCTCAGACAGCTCTACGTCCTTGCGGTGGTGTTCTTCTTCTCTCTGAGCCAAACGGCCTAAGATTTCAGCGAGCTCCCTGTGGGCCGCCTCAGTCTGCTGGCTCAGCGCCTTGAGCTGGGCCTGAGAGCTCTCCTTTTCTCTGGTTGCCTGGAGGGAGGAGTGGAAGGGGGGGGGGGTTAGTAAAGAGAGGGAAAAGAGAAGGGGAAATGAAGAATGACAAATGAAGAGGAGGCGGAAGATGGTGTAAAAAAAGGAGCTGTAACAATAACGATGAGAGCAAGAGAAAGAGTGACAGAGAGACAGAGGGAGAGAAACATATGCAGAACCAGCTCTCGCACTGATAGGAAAATGCTGGCACTCAGCTCTCTGATAAGGGACAATGGTCAGGTCTGTTCAAGGCAGATTGCTTCTAATACTCTGGCTTTGACTGGAATTTGCAAAGACTTTGCTGTAGCTCAGAACCTAATCATTTAATTGAGCACTTGATTCTCTCCCCTAATTCATTAAGGGGGCAGAAATGATTTTGTAATTAATTCGCGTCACGTCGAGTATGCCAGGTGGGAGTGGGTCTGCCTCTGTGTGTGTGAGGAGGGAGGCTGCTGACTGTGAGTTTGGAGGTGACTCACTCAGTTCAAATGGATGGAAATGACAGGGAGGTGACTTTCAAGCAGATGATAATAGTCGGTATTTGACTAAGAATAAGTGCTGTAACATACCTTGCAAAAGAGGTACTTGGCTTCATATTAAGTTACATTATTAAAAAGTTAATTAAAAAAAACTCGTTTAGAGTTTTGATATGAATGGTATGAAAAACTCTGTGCTGTTTTCATACAATTAAGTATTGGTTAAAATGTCCAGAGTAAAGAATGCTTTAGTATCCAATCCTTTTGTTCTGTCATCATGAGGATGCTCCATACTCTAGTCAGTGTAACATAGAGGAAGGACCACTGCATAGTATAACATCTGAGTAACAGAGTACATTTTTTTTTTAATGATGTGTGTGCTCAACTCTTCCAATACTGTGTGTCTGGTTTGTAGAAAGCTGTGGAAATCTAGTTGGTTCCCACTCATTCAAGTCGGTGTGTTGCAGACATACAGGGAGAGTTTAGTTCTCCTGCTGCCTTAGGCGTGCCTACAAATCATTCCATTACTGGAATTGAGAAATACATTTCAATTTCAGACATTATTATTGATTACTTTTTAGAACAAACTGTCAAAGTCAAAGCAGCAAAGCATGATTCAAAAAACTCAACAAAAATAGTCAGCTGTTGTTAACAGTGATGCCAGCTGGCTGGCCACTAGCCCAGCCCAACAGCGGCACACAGATTGTTTGAGACAGGCTAGCAAGGAGCCAATGAGTAGAGTTGACATGTATTTGAGCTTCAGGTACCAAACAGTGCCAGCTGATAACTTCTCAATAAGCTCCACTGTTACCCAACAATGTCTGTTTTAGTTTTGCTGGATTTTTTGCAACAACTGAGAACTTTTACTTTGTAAAACTAGATAAGCCGAAATCACTAGCACTGCCAACAGAAACAAGAAAATAGCAAAGTTCTGAGCGGTTTGATTGGTATACTGGCAGAGACACAAAGCCGTTTATAGTCTAATGTAAAAAAACACAACAATATGTTCTTTATATAATTATTCTGTGGGTCGAATGCTTATTGTGTTTGTACATTTTGCCATATGTTGAAATTAAACAGAAATAACCAGGTCAGACAATGGCTGGTAAAGAATGTGTTTTTTGGCTGCTGACAACACAGCACAGCCACCTGTTGCACCAGCTATGTTTAAGTTCTGTTTTAGGGTGCGGTGTAAAGTCCACACTAACCCATCCATTGGCACAAGTTGGAATGTAACTTCAATTGTGTCAGGATTTGGTTTTACCATGGAGTCGTTATATTTTTCCTCATTAGTGGAGTGTAAGCAGATATGACAATTTCACTTCCTGTTGCAAATCAGTGAAAAGTGCTTTTCTTAATGCAGTGTTTGTAGCTGTGTCACCTCTTTGCTCCTCCTCATCCTTCAAGTAATTCCACCAAATTATGATGCACCACGATTTACACCTACTAGGAGAGCTAGGTGTAAGACTGAAGTTCTAACTCAGACCTTCGTTGTATATCTCAGTATCTCAGCTGGAGCAACACCTTAATTATCATTAGAACTACCACTCCGACTTAAAGGTCACATATTATGCAAAATACACTTGACCATGTTTTTCTAACACTAATATGTGTCCCTAACCTGTCTATAACCCTCCCAATTATGAGAAAAGTCCATCCTCTCCATCTTTCGTCTTCTCCAGTTTTCAGAAAATGTGTGCTCAAACTGGCTGTTTCGAGATGTACCCTTCGTGACATCACAAAGGACAATAACCCCTCCCCCAAGTGGGAGACACTCCCACAGCTAGGTGTTTGTTCTGCCTCTGTGTCTGCCTTCTCATCGTAAACAATAGCAGTGTTTTCCCTACCATTATATTAGGGGGGCGGCCCGCCCCCCCCAATGGCACCCCCCGCCCCCGATGGTCAAGTTCATTTTATTTTCTATATAGCGCCAGATCACAACAGAAGTCATAAGGATACCTTTTCTATAGAACAGGTCTTTACCTCCTCCTTTTATTAAACAAACTAATAGCCTTATGTTATTTATCTTATTTACACAACGGCATCTCATTTCTGTCTCTACATGGTCACACTTTTACAATTCTCCTCTGCTCTCTGTGTCGTGCACGGCGGAGTTTCGCCCCAATGGACATACATACACACACAGACACGTTCGCACACATACACTTGCGCGCACACAAGTGAGCACACTCTCACCAGCGGAGGCCTGGGTGTGTGTGTGGTTGTGTCTGACGGACGCACACACAATAATAAAAAGTCCGTAAGAAGCATCAGAATATAAAGTAGTCGGCTTAGTTGACTTCGGACTTTTCTGGGCATGTCTCTCTCTCTCTGCCGTTACTCAGGGGATGCGCTGTTAGCATGCTGCATTCAGGGGTGCTCAGACAATGAAAGATGCACTCAGGTGCGCTCAGAAACCGGAGTTGCAGGAACAACTCGCAGGACCCCCGCCCCCCCCAGAGCTCTAAACCTAGGGGAAACACTGGACATGGAGCATGGAGTGAGAAAGACTAAGCCACACAAGCCCTCCCACAGACTTATTTAAACTTGTTGAAAAGGAGGATAATATGTGACCTTTAAATTAGAAATGATATTTAAAAGAGGCTACGTTTGAACTTCACATAGCTGGTGCAACCCAGTGCATGAAATACAGACAAGCTATCCCTGGGCTGTGGTGTTAAAAGATGTGTAATTAATGCATGTGCGTTAACTGACCTGCGAGGCCTTGTCAGTATGAAATTGAGCCTGGGCTCTCTCCTCCTCCAGCTCCTTCTGCAGTCTCCTGCACTTTGCCCTCCACTGGCGCACAGCCTCTTGGGCTCTGGTCTTCAACTCATCTCTGCTCCTCGTGCTTTCCTGTAGTAATGCCTCTGTCTCCCTCCTCTCCGCCTGCCCTCGGCTCTGAGAGGATGAGTGAGTATACAAGTGAGTCAGAGTTTCATTCTTCATAATCTGAATCAGTGCTTTTAAAACCACAGGATGGATCCTTAAATGTCTTGCAGACCTTATTCTGTGGATTATCATTACTGCATCCTTCTCGAGTCTTAACACAGTATTATTGTGAACTCACACACAATGTGCTCTCAAATTAAATTGAAATTGAAAAAGCACCCCCCTGTCCTGAGTCCTTGAAGGGAAATTACAACGGGTGAATAACAGTGGGATGTAATAACCAATAATACAATACCTGTATGTCCCTCAACTGTTCAAGCATTCGTTGCTGCTGTTGCTCCCGCCGCGCCAGGTCTGACGACAATTCCTGGTGTATAAAACAGAGAAAGGTCAAGGACGTGTGTGTGTGTTTTTGAGTTGCTTCTACTGCTAATGGAAGAGACAGAGTGAGAGGGAGGGGTGAATGTAAAGGTATGGGAAAGCAAGACAGACAAAAAAAAAAAGAGGGAAAAGAGCAGATTTTCAGAAAAAAAGGGCAGGTGTAGCAAACAAAGATGAGGACAAAAAGTAAAGACAGAAAGGTCAAAGAAGGTTGAGACATGGTTTACAAGCCCCCTTCGATTGGATTATCTGCAAGGCTGGTCTGGAAAAGCAGTCTGAAAGGAGAGTTCCACTGGATTAGCTTCATACCACAGCAAAATCACAATCACTCTGAAGTTTCAAGTTTGATTGAAGTCGAAAGAAAGGGTATGTAAGGTGAGCCTGCTGCAGTTAGGGTATTTATACTGAATACGGCTGTCAGTCAGCAGTAATTAGACATAGACTGATTAGTCATAGACCTATTACGCTCTATATAAATTCAGTCACTGAGAAATTGAATCTTCCGGCCTTTTCTCCTCATTATACTTCATCTTTGCTCGTTTACTGTTAAAAAAAGAAACATTTCCGACGCCTGGTTTGATCTTGACATGAAAACCATAAGAGGTGCCCCAGGTAATACACGCAAACACCGACTTCATCGCTTCACACCTACTCTGCAATGAGGGAAGCGTGGGAGTTTCAAAACCAGTCGGTGAAAGAAACATCAGGGATTAGAGGAATGTGCCAATGCTTTAAGTGCAGCTATTTCTACTAACGTTTTATTGATACCACCAGAGCCTTAAATTCCCCTGGTAAACTTAGAGAATCGAGCAAGTTTTTCTTTCTCATTTTCATGTCTCGTTACACTGATGGAAGTGACATATCGCACCAGTTTGACAAACATAAAGGACTGCTGGTTGACTGCTGATCTCCTATTACAACTGTCACCTCAATTTTAAGAGGATCAAGTGCTGTAGAGTTGGCGGAGAATACAACCACGCATGAGAGGGGGCCGACAAACTGAAATAACCACGCTCAGGGTGAACATCTGTAAAGCGGTTCAAAGTAAAAAAAGGGGTCAGTTTCTGAGCAGAGATCCTTAATGTTTCCTATTCAATCTTGAGAGCGCACTGGAAAGACAGCCGACTAGATGGCTAAGGAATGACATGCAAAGCCTTCTCTGTACCATTGGGTCTAATAAGCACCTTTCCTCTTACATAAATAACCACTGCTACAATGTTTTGATACACACCTCCACCTGTGAGCTTAGTTGGACTCTCTCCCTCTCATTGCGATCCAGAGCCCTTTTCAGTTCTTCAACCTCACTGAGGACTGAGGCCTTGCTGAGCTGGACTCTCAGCTCTGCTACTTCCTTTTCCAGGCTCAGACGATCTGTACACATGAAAACATGCAGGCAAGTAATAAACTAGTTGTAAGGATTGATTTTCACGTGTTGAATGAAGAAAGTAAATAGCGACAACATGGTAGAGCTTAACTCAACTCTCTGTTTTTCCCTTTTGAACAGTTGTGAATCGTACCTGGACCTTTTTTTTTTTCCTAAGATCTAAGCTTAGTTTCCAAGAAAGGTAGTCTGATATGAGGAGGTAGAGGTAAACACTGCAGACCACTGATTGACCAGAAGAAACCTTTTTTATTGACTCAATTCAAATGTCAAACAATGACAGTATGAAAAACATCACTGTGGTTATCTGACAGGCTGCAGATGTGTCAGATTTCCTAGGATGGTCGGCCAGGACACCTGCCAACATTGACGAGGTAGAATCTGTATTGGGGAAATTAAATTAGGAGAAATACCTGGTACCAATAGTGAGGAGAGGAGAGGAGAGGACATTTTTTATACCTGCTTACTCTGAAATTCTGTTTACCTCTTTACAGACTATGTTAAAGCTCATATGCACGGCTCACTGTCAATCTCCACTTTGTCACTTGGGGCAGACCAAGAGTTGATCGACGTGAACAGAATATGAATGAAGTGATGCGAATGAAGCATAAAGAAAGATGCTGATATACACGAGGCACTATTGGTGATGTCGATGTCTTCATGTAGCATTCCACCAGATTTTACCCAATCTCAGAGACATTCACATTTTTACAAATAATCTAGATCAGTTCTATCACATATTCTACATGAACCTACATTAGACCAGATCAGAGACTTTCTGTCGACTTCAAAACTTTCACTGCATGTCAATACCATAACAAAAGAACAGAAGATCACTTCTAGGTACAATGTTCAATACTTTACTCCTAGTAACACTCACTTCTTTCTCCTTTTGGGTTCACATATTTGACATTATACTTCTCCTCTCACTCTCTCTGCTATAGCTCAATCAATGATCTGGTCTCTAAAACATTTCACTTGTTTTGTCTTGACTCCAGTTGGCCCTGCAGCTGATCTCAAGGTTCCCCCCCTCTGTATTCACCCATTCTCCTGCCCTTAAAGGAAATTCGATCCAGCATTTGGCGAGAAAGTGTGCTGTCTGGAGATTTTCTTTGAGCAGGAATTGATACACAAAAATAGCTAAGAGTATCAGCTTTTTATCTATGGTTACAGAGTTGGCAGAGCAAACTTTTAACCCATCCATTTGACCTGCATCAAAGTCCTCTCTGCCTTCTCCGCACCTGTTTATCTCTAGAACTATATTCTGTACCTGAGCCTCCCTGTCCACCTCTTCCCTCCTCCCTGTCAGTGTGGCTGCCATGTGGCCGAGCAGCGGGCTGAAACGTCTCCAGCCGAGCCCTCTGCAGCTCATTCTTCTCCTTCCTTGTCCTCAGCAGCTCACCGTGCATATCCTCCACCTGGGGACCATCAGCCGAGTAAGCAGACACAAAGAAAGACATCACACTGTCTGAGGGCGGGCAAAATGGCTCTGAAGTGCTCTTAGAAGTGGCTGCGCTGATTATTGCTTTGTCTCCTGAGGTTAACTGAACATCTAAATATACAATTGGGTAAATTCTGTACAGACACAAACACACCTGTTGAACAAGGGACTCTCTGCTCTCCTCCGACTGTTCAAGAAGTCGTCTAGCCCTCTCCAGTTCCTGATCCATCTAAGAAGAGTCAAACGCATAGACAATACATGATGAACTATATAAGGTACTATTTGATGATTATTTGAAGACTTCCCCCTCCACAAGCGTGCAAACACACTGACAAATAAGAAATGAAATAGGAAACAGTCCTGTTTTATTTTTAGCCAAAGTGTGTACCACAAAACCCCCTGGAAAACATGGATAAAATAATGGTGGATGAACTTCTAATAAACTTACTTCATAGCACAGATGTTCTGTGGAAGTACTATCTACTGGGTGCCTCAACAGATTGTATAGTTGTTGAAAACTTGTGATAAAGTGGTTTGACCGCTCAACCTTATTTTTCAAAGGAGTCTCACACTGAACTCGTTAATGGCTGCAAAAAAACTTCATGTTTCTCTAGTACCAATCTCACAGTGTCACACATGTTTTACAGGAACCTGGCACTAAGAATTGGTAACGAGAACGGGTATTTTTTGGTACCCATACGTAATTGGTCAGTACCGAAAGTACTGCTAATCTCATGGACAAATGCTCATATCGTTATTTACGTTAACTGTCCATCTTCAGTGTTTCCCCTAGCATTTATTTAGGGTGGAAGCCCTTCCCCTCAATGCCACCTTTAACCACTCCAAGAGAACAGCATGGAGTACTTTATTTCTGGAATTTACCTCATTAATACACACTCACTCAGACACAATCACACTGACTGACATACATCCTTTATGGTTTGTGTTAGACTCAGTGTCAGGATCTGAATTTGGGGCAGTCACTGTGGATGAGATCCATGAAGGAGATATTGTAATCCTTTAGAAGTTGTCTGACTTTCACCTGCGGGTGAAAGTTGAATCCCTATCCCGCACTTGCTACCCACTCTGTCCTGTTAACAGAGCCCTCTGTCCTACTGCTGGACAAACATGACGTGCTTGAAAGCACAAGCAGGGCCAAATCCAGACTTTTTGAAAGGGGTTTGAAAGTTTTCAACATCTACACTTTGATTTGAAAACTACAACAGTGTAAGGAAGTGGCACTATTTAATGTGTATGTAGAAGTTTTTTTTTTTTATACTTACAACCTTTACTAAATTGAATGCCAACTACTATAGACAACTATATGTGTAAAATAATGCAGAAAAAGAGACAGGTAAACTTTTATTTCACTATCTGTACAATAATGAACCAAACATACAACTTTTTAAATACAAAACATTACTTCAAGACTTCATATCATTACCTTGAACTTCTCCCTCTCTGTCTTTAGGAACCTATCCGTCATGACCTCCTCTCTCTCATGGCCTTGAACTTTACGTCTTCCTGAAGTCTGAAAGTAAAAGAACACAATAAACCGGCTTCAGCCTCCATCACTATAGGAGCACACATATGAAAGTAGTGCAGGAGAGGTGCCATTACATCACAGCATCTGCCATCCCCTCTTCTCAGAACAAGTTACGGGCATGGTGGCATAGTGCTGGATTTTGCTCAGGAGCTTAGATCCCACTCATTCCGGGCAGACTGTGGTGATGAATTACCGGCTGCTAGCAATAACATCTACCCAAGTGACTCATCATCTATTTGATTCAGATCACAGAGGGCCCATCGGTGGGGAATAAATGTGCCCTCTGCTCTCACTCCTCTCCTGCTCTTTAGTAGTAAAAGAGATTATTTTCCTCTTCATTTCCTTATGCTTGTTTATTTACCCTTAATTTTTGGACAAATGCGTTATTTCCCATCGCCCCGGGCCCTGCTGGTGTCCCATTAGGGCACTACGGAAGAGAGGGATGCAAATGAATGGGTAGCTACTATCATTACACAGTGTGATGAAAAAAAAAAAACACATGATCAGTCTGGATGCAGCTACACAGTGCCCCTTTGTGGTCTTCTTATGAACTGCTGATTTTAAAGGGACTGATGTCATGACACTGATCAGCTCATACAAAGCCACATCTTCAAGCCCGTTAAGAGTTATCACTGCAGCTATTCCAAAGATGAACCGACAGAAACATTGGTGCTACAGTGACATACAGAGTGTCTAAATTGTAAACATAAAAGTAAGGGAGCAATATCTTCTTCTCAGTGAGCATGAGTGTATCTAGTAGTGATGTAGTCAGGACCACACTAACCAAGACCAAGACATGCCCGAGACCAGAGGGCTCTGAAACCAAGACAAGACATTTAGGGGTGGAGACAGAGTCAAGACCAAGACCAGAGCAGGGTGAGACCGAGATAAGACCAAGACCATAAATATCAATGAAAAATCATCAACTTAGTGTGTCACTCACTTAGGCCACAACAACTGATAGGTTGTGGACATAACCAGTGGAATAAAAATCTAATTATGAATGAATTGAAGTTATTCGTTCATTTAGCAAAGGGTGTTTTCCTTGTAGTCACTGTAATGACGTGAAATAATAGCCAATCAGAGGTTGTCTTGACCGGTCTTGATTTAAAAACTAGAGTCCGCCCAGTCTGAGACAAGGTCGAGTAAAAATGCTTTGATTCCGAGACGAGACCAAGACCTTCAAAAAGGGGTCTCCAGACCGGTCTTGATCTCAAGTCTGATTTCTTGAGTACTACAGCTCATGTATCTAGTGATGAGTCTGCAACACTAAAGTGCACCAAATGAAAGCTCTCACAGCATATTAGTACTTTAACACAAATGCATGAATAAAAAACGGGGGAGAAAATGATTGGCATTAAGAACAGAAAAGTAGTAATTACTTGCTTAGCGACCATTTTCACAGCATAAAAGTGACTGCCGAGCATTTTAATAGCCTCATAAAAGCAGAGCAGATGGGCAAGGAGACACGGAAGGAACACAGCACTTTACCAAAACAAAAAAAAGGTGTGCACTCTGAAGAGAAAAACCCTTCAACAAGTAAAGTTGTTATTTGCAAAAACCTTTGATGGACATCACTTGTCAACACTTTGATAAATGCAAATAGTCGCTGGTATGTAATTATGTGGAAGATAACTAATCACACCAATTACAGATAGCGGTTTTCTGTCTTTCCTGAATTCTTTTTTATAAAGGTGAACGATAATTATTTAGCAGAGATCACTTAATGTCTCAGCTTTCATTTTTCAACACCATCTTCTTCACAGCTGTCAACAAGTTATGCGTATGACTTTTTTTTTTTTTTTAAATGAGCATTCATAGATGAGTTCATGTTTAAATGTCAACAGCCAACAGAAATTTGTTGCTGCAAATCCCTGTGGTCAGGGTCCCAAATTAACTTTTTAGATCAAAGAATTTTACCGGCTAAAATAACAAATTTTGTTTTTGTGTCCTATACACATCTGTTACAGTGCATTTAATTGAGAAGGCATCATGTTCTGTTTAATCAATAACAAATTTAAGTCACAGATCAGGAAATTGAGAAATTGTAAAAAAAAAAATATATTTGCTGGCCTTTGTTTTTTTCTTAATGTATTATTTGTAGGCAGTAGTCCGGATCACGTGTTCCCTACTCGGGCACAGACATTACATCAGAGAGAGGAGCAGGGAAAAGTAGCTGCAGCTAGGCTACATCAAACGTGCTGAATACTTTTTATGACGTTTTGATAAAACATTTACCCGCCCTGTGGCGGATAGCCCTCTGAAAAGTACTCGCCAAACGGAAAATCTACCCGCATTTGGCGGTTGGCGGGTGTTAATTTCAGACCCTGCCTGTGGTACATATGCACGTTTGAGTAAAAAAGGAGGGAAGGTACATCGTCCAAATCATCAGGTGTGCATCCTCCTTCTGTGATGTTTCATGGATAAACCCTCAACATCTCCAGGGAGCTCAGCAGTTATCGCTGGTTCACCTTCTTCGACTCTATATCCTCTTTTTCATCTTTTCAGCTCAGCAGTTTTTTCTATCCTTATAATACAGAGCCAATTGCTGTTTTGTTCTGCTACATTTGACAAGAACATGATTTCTAATGGAGGGGGTAACAACCCAAATAGCCCAGTAGACTGCTGGTAGATTGAGCAGTTATTCTCCAGCATAGAGCAGCACGAGGAGGTGTCTGCTTCAGACCAGCATGGAAGTTTTCCCTAAGCCTTTTCATTTTCCTTTTATTGCACTCTGGAGCACTTAATCCTTTGGCATCAATGTTGAAAATGAAGCCTTTAGAAAAAGTGCAAACATGTTTTTCATGTATTCTTTTTGGATTGTATGTGAGCGTCATGCTTCATTCACACTTGTTTGTAAGATGTCTTTTTAGTCGTGTTATTAAAGGAAAAATGTGCCACTTTTTGATCCAGTTGACGTTGCTGTTGCGCACCAGCATGAAACCAAAACAAGCTGCTGTTTGGCGACACCTCGGCTACTCTGAAGCCTCTAACCCTTTCCTCAAGCGGCACAACACCAAACCCTCTGCACTCGCATTCCCACAAAGGAGTTATGAATTAGAACGCATAATAATTAAAACACAATTAAGCTCTATTTCTGTGGAAACAGTTGGAACATTCTTCCTTTAAGTTCTGATTATGTACTTTTGGGCATTTCTTTTAATAAATTTGATTTAGCTTATATTATTGACTCTTCCTTATGCTTCTCTGTTGATCTGTCTTCTTTCTTTTTTACGCCTTTTTTATGCTCCAAGTGTAACATTAACTCGCTCAGGGACTGATTATGAATATCATCTTGTGGATTTAAGTTGTCACGTTTATATCATGTTGATATGATTCAATGTGCTGTCACCGGTGAGTAAAATGTTTGGTATTTCAAGGTTCCATCATGTCTCTTCATCATCATCTCTATATCAAACTTGTGTGTCTTTTTTTAGTGTCCTTTAGTTAGAGAGCACAAGAGTGAAAACGGGGAGGTGTTGGATGGTGTTATCACAGCAGATGAACGTTTGGGGAGGAGTGTCACCTGCTGCACCTCATCAGGCACGGCCGCCCGGTGGTCGTTCCTCCTCTCTCTCTCCTCAGTGTGCATCCCTCTATCCAGCTCCTGCAGACGCCGCTCCACACGAGACATCACCTGCAGACAGGGAGACAGCGAACGCCCGAGGTCACGCAAACATCACCGGTGCAGGAATTGGTAGTGAGATATGATAAATGGAGACACCAGGAAATTAAAAGGGTGGATGACAAAAATATCTTTTAGAACTGACAGGAAGTATTACATTTAGGATGCAAGACTTCCCAAACTAATCAGGAAGTATCACATCTACCTGTGGGAGACAGCTAATACCTTTATCTCGTCGCGTCCACAGACATGACAAGATAAAAAATATTAAACATGCCGGCCGTCTTTTGGAGCTGCATATTTATCACGGCAGTGACGGTGCAGTGAAGAGTCATGTGCCCGAGAAGTATGCTAAATTATTTGCTGAAGTTAGACTTCAGATAAGTAAAATTCAAAGAAAGTGGATACCACCTATCTGTAGCTGCTCTCTGAAGGAAAACAAATTGCATTTCCCATGCCTTGTAAGACTGCTTTGATTTATCTATAACAGTGATTTGATGTCTTTAAATTCAGGATGCATTCACTTCTTTTCTGAAACCCACAGAGCTGGAAGGCCCACTTTAGTATTGATGGAGAAACACTCAGCTATTACTTACTGAGGCCTGTCTCTGGGATGTTGTCAAGTGCCCTGTGAGACCCTCCATCGCTCGTCTGGTGTCAATATCAGACCTTTAAAAATAAAGAAAATGCAGTGGATTGAAAACATTTATTCAGCAGAGTTCTTGGCCTTCTTATTCAAGGACATCATTGATCAAAATGTGAAGTCAGTAAGAATGATAATGCAGCTTCAGATGTTAAAATACGGTGCGCGTGTGTGTGTGTGTGTGTGTGTGTGTGTGTGTGTGTGTGTGTGTGTGTGTGTGTGTGTGTGGGGGGGTGAACTCAGTCTCGTCAGTAAACCCAGGAAGGAGGGAATTTTTAATAACGTGTAAATATCAGCTTCTAATTTACTCGGAAAGAAAGGCCATCTGTCTTTTGAGTCCAATTCACGGCGCTGTCTCTTTAAGTTTGAAAGAACACCTTAATCACGTTCTCATAAACAAGATTTCAGAGACCTTAAGTATTCTTTTAAAGTTAAGAAAAAATGATGATCAACATCCTGCAGTCAGACCCTTTAGGAAAATTTGTTGCAGAAAACAAAGTAGAAAGGATACTAAATCAGAATGAGCCATTTTACTAACGCTGTATGCAGAAGACATTCACAGCAGTGCCTGAAATACTTCTGAATAAAAAATAAAGACAGACTTATTTAAAACTGAGAAATACATTAATAAATCTCTGGAGTCCAATGGCTTTCAGACACCGCTCACTATGCTGATTAAATTAAATAAAGAGACTTTTCCAATGAGTTTTCATTTCAGACTTTTGGGCAGTTGAACAAAATTATATGACAAACATTGGTGTCTGTGTACACCTGTTGTGATGATTTGTATAACTTATTATTATCAAGCTTTGCAAATCTGGCAGATTTTTTGCATATAATTTACATTCATAATGGTTTATTATTTCTATGGCTGTGTATGCTATGTGTTAGGGAAACATGTTACGAGACATCATTTGGAGATTCAGTTCATCTCTAAAAACATCTTTCAAAATAGAATATGGATCAACCCGTGTATTCAGTCATAAGGTTTGGATTTTCAGACTTTGCCCCTCCCCCCACTTCAGGTACCTATTTCTCTGGAGGATTTCTCGATCCAGGTCTTCAGACAGTCTCTGCTGGTCACTGCGCAGATCCCTCAAGGATTGGTGCATTGTGTGAATCTATAAGTGACAGCCAAGGATGGATACAGAATCCATAGCAGTATATACAAGCACAACACACATACATTTAGCTCTCTTCTTCTACAAAGATGAGTATTATTATTGAAGCCACCACAGAGTAAAGTCAAAAATAAATACGGACTCCTGTACACACTGCATTTATATTAATACATAGACAATATCTGATGTGAGTTCAATCTTATCAAGATTAGCGCAAATAAGTTCCTAAGCACTGTATGGTGCTGACTCATTATGCCCTCTTGTGGAAACTTTGTGTAACTACTTAAGAAAAACAAATAGCACTGATTAGAAGTAGGTCTATCTCCTTTCCTTACATCCTCTCCTGTCAGGTTGGCTTCTCTGAAGCGCACACTGGCAGACTGTGACCGCCTCGTTCTTCTTGGAGTGCTTGTATAGTCCCTCAGAGGAGAAGTAGGATAGAAACGCTGGCCCTCTAGAATAACAGATTAACAAGTTGTTATAAAGTTTTACTAGAGAGCCGGAGCTTCAGTAGGGTGATTGCATGGCATTTTAAGATGTAAGGGTACTTTTTGTGTTATCACAGATATAATATGCAAAAATGTCAGCAGTGTCTCTGTGTTTCATCTCTTTGAAAAACTATCAAGAAATAAGCCTACAATTAGAGGCAACTGACAGAAAAATAATTATAGTATCTTTCTATGCTTTCCAACCTGATCCCGAGCAGGCCTCCAGGTCACTTGTTTGCAGGGTGGAGGCTGAAGCAGAAGCAGAAGCACTTCGGGCCCCATTGGATCTGCTCAGCCTCTGTGTCTGCAGTTGACTTATTGACTCCTCCAGGTTGTCCCTGAGCTGGTGCAGCAGAACACAAAAAGGAAAAGACAATTAAAGAGAAAGAAACAAAAACTGTTGGAGAAGAGGAAGAAATAAATATTCACACATCCCTGAAAGATCTGGAGAAAGAGAAATAAGGGGATGACTTTATGCTATTACAAAGCACCCACGTTTGTATATTTTTGTCCTTTAACTGTTATGGGTACATTGATGATGGGGATTTTATGAAACAGATGTTAAAGCATCACATTGTCCAGTGTTTCCACTGCAACATTAGGGGCAAAAATACATCTTTTCAGATATTTTATGAAACCTTGTTGCTCCAACAGCACACATATGGCAGCAAGGTGACACCAGAACATGGCCATATATGTAGTGAAAAGACACATGTCACAGGTCTGCATCAGTAGTTATGGGAAAAGTTTATGACTGATTAGTAGAAACTGTGTCTAACCACTGCCATGGCTTCAGCTTGATCGTCTGTATGGTCCCTGTACTGACCCAGCATCCGGTCCACTTTGGTCAAGTTCCTGCTGGTGTCCTGCCAAAGAAATGTACATGTAAGATGACAATGAATGGCACTCAAAAATATTATACAAGCCAGAGCACAAGACATGTTGATACATAGGAAAACAAAACAGATGTATATTGTGTATTTGCATAAATAATCTGTGCTCATATAGGCTGAGTGTCTGTCTTATAAAACAGAGTCAAGTACCTGTAAAGTATTTGCCAGTGTGCTGATCTTCTCGCTGATGTCTACTGCTCTACCATCACTCCCACTGCCCCTGTCCCGACCAGGTCTGCGGTGGGCTTCACGCCCCCGGGGTCTGTGCCCCTCGTACGTCAGGTCGTACGAATCCGACTCGCTGGATGTATCCATAGTTTTGGACAGGGCGGGTTTAACGACGACAAAAGGCTGAAAAGTTAATCAGATTAACCATCAGCTGCTTCTGAACAGTTATGTCGATGGATGTTTTAGTCATAGTTAAGAGAGATCGAAAAAGTTTCATTGTTACCTTTACAAGCCGTGGGAAAGACAGCTACCTGCCCATCACAACACAACAGTCCAGACTCTCCTCTTCCCTGTAAATCACAGTGCGGCTCATTGTTGTGATGCTCTCCCAGCTAGCAACAAGTGGAAACTACTGTTCACGTTAGCTAGCTAACCAAAAGGTTAGCCAACTATTCTAACCCCGTGACATTACCGACAGAAACGGGAAAATGGTGTAAAAATCCAACGGGAACAGAGGAAATAAAACAACACTGGGTGTGTATACTGTGAGCAACAGAAGTTTGTTATTCGCGTAACGAGTCACCGCCGTCAGCTGCACCGCGCTATGGCAACTCAAACTCGCCGCGTCTGAGCAGGAAAACAACGGCTCACAGAGCCCGCAAAGCATGCCGGGAAGTGTATGCTCCCGATAAACATGCAGCGTTGGAATGTGTTGTTTGTGAACTACATTGTCCAAAGTGATGTGTTTGCGCCAGTGCTGCCGCTCTTCAGTAAGTAAACTAATGCAACAAAGTGGAGGGGAAAGAAAGAACAACATAAATGTTAACAAGAAAGGGGGGGGGGAGAAAGTGCAGTTAAAGTAAGTTAGGTATAAGAGTAGTAATGACAACATTATGTTGTGTTCACCTATCATTTAAATTATTTTCTGGAAAAATAATAATTTTCTTCATAGCTTAATAGCCTACATTATAATATTAAATGATTAAAATAGTGGGCCTTAAATGTTGCTTGTGAGACCTGTAGTTTACAACGTACAATGCACTACGTGTCGCTAAATTGAAAAACATGGTTTATGATTGGAAAGGAGAGAAACTGTTCTCAAGTCTAACACAAGAGTGCCTCAGAAGTCAACCCTCCCTTCGAGTTGAAGACCACCTCCAAACCCACCACAGAGCTGCAGCTGTCCGTCCTACACACAGCATCCACACCTTCACAACCTCTCACAGACTTCTGAGGCCCTGCAGAGGAAACTTAGCTCAACACTGTAGTGCTGCCTCACTGCATCTACCTGCGGATTACAAACCACAAACAATGATCTGAGCCCAGGCATCCTGATTGTGAAGGGGAAACTACTGGGTTTTTTTTACTATTAAGAGTTGAGACTGAGGTATTAGGGGACAGAGCCGACCCTGACAGCGAGCAGCTCTCCAGCATGCAGGTGATCGCATGTGCGTTGTTTACGCTCCTCTTCCTCTCTATCAGCGCCGAGTCGGAGGCTGACTTCTGCCCCAAGGGCTGCAAGTGCGAATGGACGACTCTCACGATCTTCTGCATGGATATTGATATTCTCCCCAGGTTTCCAGCAAGCATGGAGACACTGTAAGTAGGCGTACAGAACGCATCTGTAAAAACGATTCTGCTGGGTGTTTTTCATGCATTTTGAATGTAAAATGGCTCTTAACCCCGAGGAAAAATCATTATAATCTCATGAATATTACTTCAAAGTGCTCCCAGGGGGACCAAGGCTGTCTGTGATGTTAAGTAGTTATTCCATTTGAAGGTATTCTTTTTCGTCTATTATAGTATTACTAACAAGCTGTGTCCCAGTTGTCAGTGCGACTTGTATCCCAGATGAAGTGTGAGGATATAGGCACACATTTACAAATAATCGTTAATATTGACATGTTGTTTTAATGACATAATGACTTATTATTGCCATTTGGTAAAAGATGAGTTGAACAATATATCCATCATTATGCAAACGTATGTAGGCCTGACTAAACAGAGGAAAAACTTTTTTCAAACATAACATTTATGATAATCATTTTTTAATCTTCAGGCCTACCTGTCCTTGACCAATACACATTTACACAACAAGAGTTAAAGTAGCCTATTAATTGTCACCATTTCATGCAACAGAATTAGTGTACTGAAGATACCAGGATGATGGAAAGACAGCTACAGGGAAGATAGAGGAAATACTTAGAAAACAGACCTCCAGTTTGAAGACTCTGAAAAGGCTGCAGGGTATTTATGCCAGTGCCCATTAATATGAATATGCACTATGGAGACAGGAGATATTTTAAACAATCCAAGATAAATAATTAGATTACCTTATTTTTATTCTAATGCATAAGCTTCACTTGCCTTAACATTTTTTTCCAGCAACAGTCATATAACTGTATAATACTACAATCAAGGCTGCACCAGTGATTATTTTTAGGATTAACTGGACACTCAGTATTTTTCAAATAACTGCTTAGTCTATAAAATGTCAGAATATTGTGAACAAATTTCCTCATGATTTCTGAGAGCTCAAGGTGACATCTTTAAGTGTCTAATCTTCTCTGACAAACCCCAAAAATTCAAAGATGAAACCTACAGTAAAATGCAGAATAAAGTGGAAAGAGCAGCAGGACGTTACTTCTTCTTTCTCTCATGTACAGTATAGATGATATATTGTGGATCAAAGATAAAAACATTGTTAATACCATTAGAGTGCAGTAGAGGCTATTGTGTTTTTGAATCCTTAAGCTTAGGGAACTTAAACAAACAGATATGTTTAAAAAGAGGGGGTGATCTGTGTGCATCTGCCGTCTTGTTATCTTGAGGCCCCAAAGAATCTGTGAAGAATCCTGGGAGCCGACATGATGTAATATGTCAGGGTCACGTCTGAAAAATGTAGCGGCGCTTTTACACATCCTAAATTGCTTAAGTACGGCGCGAAAATTATGCAACAGAGTGCGACCAGTTTGCTACGGCCTTGAGTGATGGAAACACATGCCCTTCAGAGGGACTCCGAGGCTTGTGTCAAAACATAGAAGTGGAAGAGTTAGAACGGGCATTTCATCAAATCCTTCATTCTTGGATAGTAACTCAGACAGTGTCATTGTAGAACCTGAACCTTGGGTGAGGTTATTGGAGAAATAATACGGCTTTCCTTAATCACACTTATTGAGCATTTTACCCTAAAGATGTAGCAGTTTGTCATAAAGGGAGAGCCAGATGTATTGCATTGCACATTGTTCTTTTTCCACCTTAAATCTAAAGATATACGTTTGTTCATCTGCTGGGCAACAACAACAAATGTTCCAGGACGGGGGGGCTTGACTAATGTCAAATAGATTCCTTTATTAAAGGTCTTGACATCATCACATCAACATTTCAATTTGTCCAATACTTCGGTTTCACAAATAATATTCCCATCAGCCTCAGCTTCACACTGTGTTTAGTTCTAGTTCAATATTTATGAGTCAATATATTCTTACTTATTAAGTGCCAAAACAAATCAAAACTTTTCTCATGACAGTTAACATTACGAGCAGGTCTATACCATACTTCTTCTTTTTAACATCATTTACTGTGCCGCTTAATCCTAGTTTGAATTATTTTTTTTTTTTTTTTTTTTTTTTAAGTTTACACATTTTAGGATGCTAGTAAGCTAAGAATCCAAAAAGGAATGTGCTTTAAGTGAGTTCCTGCAAGCTTTTCAGGATGCTGATATTTGCTTTGCTGTAGCAGGGCTATCTTGTTAAGAGGGAGTGTTTGTGTAATAGTAAACGTGGAATTCCCAAATTATCAAGTGGATTACAATATTGACACTTGTTACTCTTTCACAGACCTCTTCACTTGCACTGCTGTTTGGCGTATTAATTAAATATTAAGGAGAAGTTGAAGGTCACAAGCAATGTAATGATATTTTTCATTTCTGTCTTAGAATTTATTGTATCACCCTTTCATCAAACACCTCTTTGCATCACCTCCAACAGCACCCATCACATGAAATTATCTCCCGATCACTGCTCCGATTCTGTGCTCTAAAATATGAACTCACATTCCTGCCCAAAGTTTACCTAAAGCCCTGCAGGAGGATACAGAGACATGAAAGCATGCCACCAAGCACTGGGTTGTCATCCCTCCCGAAAAAAAAAAAATCTGCCCAATAAACCCGAAATAGACTTTGTATTGAGTGAGATGTCAGGTCAGACGAGGCATGAGGAGGTTAGGATTGTGCTGAACACACACACACACAGAGGAATGGATGACCCTCCTGCCCTCACCAGGCTGGTGCAGAGCAACTTTATTCCTGACAGGTCTTGCTGAGGGCTCATTTGTGTTATTTGAATATCAGCTCATTTTTTTCTCATTACAGAATTCCATGAACTGGACAAATAAAACATCCATGAAGTTTAAGCAGGGACAATAACTGGTAATCGACTGATTTAGTAACCATACAAGGAGAAATAGATATTTTTGAAAAGGCCAAACTGGAATCAAAATCCACCTGATTGGAACTTTGTCTTACGGTCAAAAAGGCATGAGAAAAGTTCTACGTTTCTAGAAATATAATCTAATTTCTACAGCAAGATCCATACCTCTCTCAGATACACAGTAAGTGGTTTCATTCTTAACTCTCTGCCTGAAAGTCATTCAGTGCAGTTTTCAGAAGTGTTGCTCGTGGAGCTTCTTTTTGTGCTTTTTGATTTTTGATTTTTTTTTTTTTTTTTCGATACAATAGTTTACAAATTCTTATATTACGGGAAAAAACGTAACAAATCTAATTTTGTTATTGGAGAAAGATAATGTGCACAAGTGACCTTTTTGTAGTAAAAATATGGTTCAATAAAAAGTGAATGCAAAGCAGACATGTGTGCGTGTCTGTGTGTGAGTGTACATATGTGGACACTTAGCATTTGGAGTTCTTTGTGTGCATGTGTGTGTGTGTGTGTGTGTGTGTGTGTGTGTGTGTGTGTGTGTGTGTGTGTGTGTGTGTGTGTGTGTGTGTGTGTGTGTGTGTGTATACTTGTGCAGGTTACTCCATGTGTCACTGGGAGTCAGGGAGGTGGAAAGGAAAGCACAGACACGCTTAAAAAGCCTGCGTAGCGTGACTCGTGACTGCGTCTGGACGTTGCATTCAAATACAATATTTACCTTTTACAGCACATTTCTCAAACACCCGGAGAGTTCCATTTGAGAATAATTAAGAGGGGAAAAAAGACTTCAAGGGAAGGAGGGAAAATATACAGCGGTTCCAGTCTTTTAAAAAAAACCTCAGAGTTCTTGGACCGATGCTTAAACACGTGATAAGTCGTGATATTTGCTCTCCCCTGACCTCACGTCTCATAAAACTGACTGATGAGTGAAATTCTCATGCTGTTTTCTGATTGGTTACAGATGAGGACTGGGATTAATTGTACAAAAAGAAATGGGGACGTTGGACATCATGAGATGAAGCTGAGATTACTGGAAGTACTGACAGTTGTCCAGCTAATAATTTGTACCGATGGCTCGTGTAATGGAAATTATTACTGTTACTTGACACTCTGCAATAAGTACCTCTTGTGAGAAAACGATCTGATTTGACATATTACCTATGATAAAAAAAAATTAAAGATAAGGCATTGTGCATACACTTGTTATACCACTTTGTTTTTTCGTCATTTTGTTTTATAGAATATGAGATCAGAACACAAAAATGAAGAAAAAAAGGAACGGTGTCATGCATATCCAAGCATCCTGCAGACATATATGATTTTTTAACATTATTTCTTCATGCCACACAGAATCATACTGGAGAAAGTTGAAACGTGCTGCAGAATATGTAAGCGACCCTCTCTACTAGTCACCACAGACCATTACAAATCAAAATGCGACCGAGCCCGTAGTAAACACAGTTACGTTGTGCTGACAATGAATATTATGAATTATGTGGTTTCTACCCACTTCAAACTCAATATCCAACCTGTTTGTTTTCAAAGGTTTCTTTCCAAAATGACAAATTGGAGGAGTACTTTTCTCTTCAAACCTCTGAGATCGGCTCATTGGTCTTCTCCACACGCTCCAGAGGGAAAATGCATGCTGGTTATTTGGGTTTGAGCGTGGCGGCGAAATGCGGCAGTTCTTACAGAGGGTGTTTGGTGTCGAGGTCTGCTCTGTCTCCCTGTGTTTGTTTGACTTTGTCAAAGTGTATGCAGGGTCCCGTGCTCCTGTGTCTCCCGACTGACCCCCCACATATGAGTGAGATTTAGACTCAAGGGGTCAGATCTCAGCCTCTGAATTAGTCTGTTGTTCCCCTGAGAAACGGATGGTGCATGAGGATGGTAGCTAAGTCACTCTTCTATCACTTTTTTACACATGATACAGATGCTGTTGTGAGTTGAGAAAAGATGCAGTGGAACAAACTCTGGTTGTGCATCCTGCTGCAGGGTGGCCCTAGAATTCTACATGAAACCCTTGTGGCTCTCATCTTAATCTCCACACTATCATTATGCTGGGATTCATAAATCCACCACAACAAAATCTGAAACATGATAACAGGAATACCACATTTTAATTTTGAGGTTCCAGAGCCAACATTGACCATTTAAAATAAAGGCAGATTTTTTAGATACTCTTATTCTCTTTTGTTGATGCGAGTTAGACAAGAAGATAAATATCACTAATCATGTCACTCACTAAATATAAATAAACAGTCATTAGCCTGTTAGCTTGAGTTAAAAATGAATAAAACTGACAACATATGGAAATTAGCTAGCTAGCTAAATCTGGTACAAAGTATCTCTTCTCTTCTGAGACTAATGTTTTTTTTTGTACACTGTCCCTGATTCAAATAAATTAATAAACTTATCAGCATGTTTGATCTTGTTTGGTCAAATAATTCATGTCTTCATGGGTAAAAACAACAACTGCCAGGCGGTCAGCGTGGACTCAATAAAAACATTCTGCCTCTGACCAAGAGTGTCAAACACTAACCTGCGTAAAACAACAATTTGATGTTTTAGGGATTCTTGAAATAATATAGGCCTATGTGATAATTAATTAGTGATAAAAGTGTTGGAAGAAGTAATATTTCACCTTTGGACGGTGACAGGCTAGTTTTTTCCACATGTTTCTAGACTTTTGCTAAAGGCTTAGCAAGAAGGAAAAGAGTAACAAACTATTTTTTTATTATTTAAATTTCATTTTTTAGCAAATGATAATAAATAAATAATTTTCAGCTTCCTTCCCCCGAAAAAATTGCAATCTGCTAAAAGGTGTTTTCCTGATGTTTTTATTTTATTTTCATTTTAAAGATTAACCTATCAACATACAACTTCACATTGTTCCTTTTATAAAGAGTGGGTATGAATTTTGTACCTTGGACAGGTTCAGGTTAACATCTCTCCTCTGCTTTTTTAGGATATTTATGCTAAGTTAAGCTAACTTGCTCCTGGCTATAGCTCTCTGTTGACCTATTGCTCTTCTTCTCTGGAAGATAAAAAAAAGACCTCTAAATTCCCCTGAATAAAAAAACGAAATGTTTTAAAGCACGCTTTTGTTTTATTCTGAAACACTTTTTCTTGTTTGAACTCAAACACAGAGGTTTGACTTGTTCATATATTGATTACACAAAGAAAAACAATATTTTAATCAGCAAGATGTATTTCCCTCTTTACCTTCTCAGTGACAAACCACTTTCAGTATCTTTGAACCTCTTATATTTTTACAACAGGCTATAAGGGGGTAGAGAGTCAGAATACCTGATTAAAAAGGTTATCTCCATGGCAACAAAACCTGTGGTATTTACAGTGAATATGTGACAGTGGGTAATACTTTTCCCTTAACTTTGGGGATGTGTGTGTGTGTGTGTGTGTGTTGTGTGTGTGTGTGTGTGTGTGTGTGTGTGTGTGTGTGTGTGTGTGTGTGTGTGTGTGTGTGCTCGCGTGTGTGTTTGTGTGTTTGTGTGTGTGTGTGTGTGTGTGTGTGTGTATTTGTGTGTGTATCCCATGCTTATGTCCTAACTTTACTATCTGGACCATTGTCCTAAATAGACACAGACCTTGTTGTTCTTGGCTGCCTGCACAGGTCCAGTCTGATCCAAGTCTTTGTTTCTTTCCCCTCAATTCTAGAACGGGGGGGGGGTCTGTTTTACCAATCTCATTTAGAAAAAACAACTTTCATCTTGCTGAGATTGAACAGTGGTGCTTTTATCTCTTCCCCCTTTTTCTCTTTTTTGACCTTCTCTTTGTCCTCCTCTCTCCATTTGGATCTGTCTGTAATAATTGGAACATTCAAAAGGCTAATATTATAAATATATACAGTAGATATGTGAAATCTATATTTTGATTACAGTCTTGAAATGCGAGGATAATCTTCAGCATTTTCACAATAAAAGTAAATTTATTCAAAAACATTTCTACAGTAGTGTAAAATTTGAGTGTTATTCATTCCGGAAATATTTAACATTTTGGGATATATCTTTAAAGACTTCTTGGCTGACAGAACAGAAGATGTATTCCATGTGACATAACCTAAACATTGTTTTAGACATCACAGACATAGGACGGTTAGCTTAGCATAAACCCCTTCAAACAGGAGGAGAAAGTGTGGAGAAAGCACCACATCTAGAAACCAGCACCTGTAAATCAATATATAATGACATGATTTCTTATTTGTTTAGTCAATTAGTAACAGGTAACCTGACATCGGTTAGGTTAAGTGCAAGAACAACAATTTATATTTCAAAGGGGGGTTATGTGACAGACTGTTTCTGGAGATCAAATGCAAGGGAACCAGCAGTGACTCCAGATATTACTCCCAATCAGGAAATAGTCTCTTACACAACCCTTAAAAACAGCACAATTTGTTATTATCTTACAAACAAGATCTACTAGTTTTGATAACAGAGCTGTTAGCGGAAAATTGTTAGCTTCATACTCAACTGTTTCCAGTAAGATAAGCTATGTAGCCGACCGCTGGCTCCAGATATATGCAGACTTGAGAGTGGTATCGGTGCTTATCTAACTCTTGGCAAAAAAAGTGAACATATTCACCTCCCAGGTCCGAAAACATCCAGCCAATGCTCAAAAAGTTTTGAGCAACCTTCTAATAACAAAGAGCCAAAGCAGCTAATAAGCGTAAAAATGTCTTCGTTAAGACTTAACTGCCTTTTTTTCGAACCAGGTGGCTTTTGGAGACTCGCCTCTCGTCAGTGCCTGCAGATGCCTTTGCCAACATGGTCAACATTTCAAGGATGTGAGTAGCAATGTATACATTGGTATTAATCAACTCAAGCTCAGTACACAAGGTCAGGTTTTTAAACACAAATCCACAAATTTTCTTAAATCCACCTGCTTTCTTTCAATCGCTTTGCCAGAAAGTAGAACGTTTTCAAACTGCCCACCCTTTCCTTTCTGTCTCCCACCCAAGCAGATGATTTACTCTCTGTTTAGGATCACCACCAGCTCCTAATCACAGCTGGAAGCACTAAATACATTCCTTCAATAGGAATGTTGGTCATTTAACCGCAGCGGGGCTTGGACATCGACTAGGTATCCGAGCAGAGCTTTTTGGGTGTGTGGTTTTAGATTCACAGTAGAGGTGAAGTCTCTGTGTAGAGGTAAAATAAACACTTGATCCGGGGCTACTGAGTCGGACGTCTGCGTCCAAGTCATGCATGAAGGGGGACGGAGGTGGATTAGAAGTTGCCTGTAAGCCTCAAACAGCCACAAGTGCACAGACAAAATATTTCCTATTACTCTTAATGTTAGTTTTCCAGATAAAATGATAGACTGCATGGTTGAAAACCAACAAAATATCACAGGCTGATAGTTCGTGTGGGGGAACATTGAGTCGACTTTATTAAACGGTGAGTAACAGCTACGATGATAAAGATATGAGTAAGTCTTTTTTAACTTTGCTGGAGAGAGCTATGATCATGGTTTATTTAAAGAGCGTACTTCTTACCAAGTAAAAATAAATGAGAGCAGAGTGACTGATGACTGTGTAATGTAGATGCGGGGTGCGTACCTGTAAAATAACCTGCGACTTCGGAGGCTTAAGAACAAGGTGGGTTGATAAATTCAGGAAATGGTTGCAGGCTTAGGAACATTTTTAAAGAAACTTTAAAAAAAACAAATGGAATGTTTTGTTTGCACATGGTTAAAAAAAAAGCCAGATATTTGATATAAAAAGGCAGTTTGTACATTAGATTCTGAATAAGCTGTGTGTGTGTTTCTTGCAGCCATATATCGGTGGATGTGACACTGCAGAGGCTTGAGAGGCACTCGTTCTACAGCCTGAAGAAAATCACCAACATGTAAGTAACTCAAGGAGAAGGGCACGCTCTCTATCGATCATTATTGATTAGGCTGTTCCATTTGCCCCCTGGAGAAAGAAAAAGAAGCTTATGTTTTAAACCTTGAACAAAGCGAATGAAAGGGAAGGAGAAACACATTAGAAACTTATTTCTCTCCCACGCTCACCTCAGCTCACTGCTCCTCTTCAAAAGGGTTCAGAGAAGTTTGACCTCACTGACAATTCCAAAAAAAGAAAGAAGAAAAACCACCCTGTTGTGAGATTAGAACATTCAAATTAGATTAGAAACACTTCCATTCAAGATATAACTTATTTATCTGGCACATTATTACTACGCCTGGGTTAATCAGACAGTCAGTATTTGGCCTTTCTCCTCGACTTTTTATGTTGCAGCTCTCGTTGAAGCAGCTCAGGGGAAAAATTCGAGCAAGGTGCACTCTATTCTCAATTATGGGATAGAGATTTATGGCTGAGGTTCCGGGTGGACCACACACTTTCCAGCAGAGAACCTTCTAGCACTTCATATATTACTGCAAAGCTACCTGACTATGTGAAAGATTTGTTTCAGCTTCTTGTAATGTAGCAGTTTGTGTGTTAGCGGTTTGTTTCCACATTTATTACAGCATTAAATGTGGGAGCGAGCAGCAGTTTGAGACAGTAGCTATAATTTACATCTTTAAGAATTAATTTGACATGACTTAATGAATGTGTGCACATCATTTGGCCGTTTTTTTTAATTGAAATTATGCTTCCTGTAAGTCTTTTCTTATTAGCTGCTGAATTCCAGACATCCAAATACAGACAGAAACAATCATTCAGACTGCTCGCGGAGGGTTTTATCTTTGTCTTGGTGGTGTATTTTGGATCTCCGGGGCCCATTTGCTTCTGATTGGTGTGGTGCAGTGCCATACAGCAGATAATGGCATCTCTCAGGTTTCCTTCAGGGTCAGACACAAATTAATGCTGGGCTTCCTGTTGGCTGCTTGAGGCCGACAGCAGCTGTGGTTCAGGGACTGCAGTGGGAGCAGAATTCAGAGGGGGCTGGGTGAAGGTTGGATCATGCCAGCATCAAGAGAAACCACCAATGTCAGGAGTTCTGGTCTTTCTTTTTACTGGGAAGCAAAAACTGACAGTTTTACTAGCTTAATCTAAGTTTTGGTAATATTTTGGCATACAAATAGATGCAATAATTATGAATCTTTATCATGTAGTTATGGAATCATCAATAGACAAAGATTTATTTTCATAATTGATCATGTGGGGAAAATACATTTTTGTGTGTTTTATATTAACAGCAGCAGCAACAGAATTAATTAATATCTAGATATCTAAATATTATATAGCTGTGGTTGTGATGGGTTTGAGTTTGGCCCTGTTTCGAACAGATGACATGTGGAAGAAGCAGGTGGGTCAGGACAGTAGGATGGGCTGAATCATGTATATCAGCAGGAGAAAGTGGGGGGCAACATAAAGACCCTTCAGTTTGCGGATGGCTGACAGTCTTTGATGGCTCCTTTTTGGATGCCACTGGTATGCTGGTGGGCTTTGTCATCTGACTATTTGAGGTAAAGGATATGGGTAATGGGCTGATGCAGTAATTGGTGTAGTGTGTGTACAAGAATGTGCTCAATACACATCCCTGTGGTGCTCCAGTGTTAGTGGCTAGAACAGGTGATTTGGTTGTGCCGAGCTGCACTGAGGAACATGTGAATGAGGTGTATCAGGCAGGAGGAGGTGTTGGCCTGATGTAACATGGATCATCAGAAGCCTCTGGAATTGGTTTAAAGCAGAGCTGAAGTCCACAAAGAGGATCATGACAAAGTGACATGGGAAGTCCAGGTGCTGAAGAAGGAGGTGCACGAGACAGGCCAAAGGGTCCTATGTGCCCCTCTGAGTCTTGTATGCAAATTGGAGGGGGATCCATTTCTGAGGCAAAAAAAATGGCAGAATGGGATTCAGCAGCAGCTTCTCCATGTACTTCATTATTAAGGATGTGAGAGCAATGGGGTGGTTGGGTTTATTGGGCCGAGGTTTTTTGGGTTAGGGATTATGGTAGCAGTTTTCCAGAGAGTAGATGTGGTGGCAGTGTGGTAGGATTCACAGAAAAGGTTCTATGCAAAGTCTATGCATTTCACACGGGTTTAATTGGGAATTGACTAATTTTGGAGCCAGCCTCAAGTGGCCAGTCAAGGAACTGCAGCCTATGGCACTTTCCAATTTCTTAGAACCCAGATGCTGCTAGACTTGATGACAAAATAGTTTTTTCTTGCCATTTACCTCAATGACTTTAGCATTTCAAAAAGACAAGACTCAAGAATCCAAACGTCTTTAGATAGATTAATTTAAATGAGCAGCCAAAGACACCTTTGCTAAAGAATAAAATGACCACCTATCACTCTAAAAAACCTTTAAGACTTTAAAACTTTAGAGTTGTGACAAAGATGTAAACTATTTGCCTTACCTCATGTGCTGCCACTCAGAAGTGCAGTTTGCTTGACAGACTATGTAATGGTTTTATTAGCAAATATAAATTTAGCTCTTGACATTTTAGTGTAGCTCTAGCCTTTTTACAGCAGCTCGAGGATGATGAACATCTCCCACTCAGAGACTTATATTGACGTCCGTCTGCTGGGCTCAGTGTGGTTTGCCAGGTGTGTGAAGAAGTGCCAACACACGTTTCAGAGAACCACATGTCTTCAGACAGCAGAGAGAGGTGTTCAGCCCAGGGCGGACCAGAGTAAACACACTAATGAAACACTAATTGGACTGTACTTCCGGCCCTGGCCGTCTACACCGAGTTTCCCCTCTTGCTCGCTGGCATGCACCTTGTCCTGTGCTGTCAGCAGGTTTCAAGACAGTGTGTGTTTCTAAATGAGTCTTTTACATGTGCTCCTAATTAGTTTTTGTTAATTTGCATCTTTAGTCAATCTTTCCTCGTCTCTTCTTTCAGAGAGCTACGCAATGCAAAAAGTCTGACCTACGTTGACCCAGAAGCCTTTAAAAATCTCCCAAACCTCAAATACCTGTGAGTATTTTTTTCTCTCATTGAATTCCACATACTGACACCATTATAGTAATCCAAAAAGATGAGTGGTTTATGCTTAAAATGCTTTAGTCTGGCAATAATTTAGACATTGCGATATTCTCGTAGCATTGTGCAGGAAGGACTGAGCTGTGCTTCATTTGAGTTTAATGCAGTGATACAGGTTAACTTCAGAAAACTGACTGCACACTCATTATGACTTAGAAGAAATTTGACGTGCTTGGCCTGAGAAGGGAAGTTGTCAGTCATCTGTAAATATTTGACTCTCTGCTACAAAATTATAGGTTGTTGTTTCCTTAATGTAGGCCACAGCTGTGTACTATAGCCCGATCTCATAGTTACTAAAAAGTCCTTAAAAGAATCTGAGGCTTGGAAGACAACTTGCTTGTTTGGAATCACAAATAAATATGCCAATAAACGAATGGAGATACTTTAAATGATGTCATCTGCAGAAATGTAAAGTTATTTTTGCATTTTCGATATGATCCCAAAAATTCACTACAACATAAAAAAATCCATAATTTTTCCGAACATGTGTAAAGAAGCTTGAAAAGCCTCCTTTTTGTTTCACAGATGCACTGACTGTTAATATACTCTTATTTTCAGGGGAATTTTCAATACCGGCCTCACTTTCTTCCCTGACTTGAGCAACATCCGCTCTAATGACCAGAACTTCATGCTGTGAGTTGCTGTAACTTTTTAATCTGAGCACATAAATCAGTTTTCATCCTTGCTGAAGACACAACTTGTAGCAGTTTAATGTCAGCAATGAATCGCCATATTAATTCAGAGCCATTACTCTGACCATCATAAACCAGAGAGACTGTCAGTAAGACGATGAGCCATGATTTTCATGATCTACATTGTATACTGTTTAAGGAACAGAGAGATAGATGGGTGTTCGATGCCAAAAAGAGATTTGAGGTTTTCATCTTTTTTTGCAAATGTCAAAAAGAATAAAAAGGGATTTATTAAAGAGGGACACAACATTGATTTGGGGGAAAGTAATCTCAATTTTAAGAAATACCACCGCTAACAACTACTTCCCTTTTTAAATTGTCTAACTTGTCTTCAACATGTCACATCAGCAAGTTTGTACTTTGTGTGTCTTCTTGTGTTTTTATCTTTGGGTCAGTTAGCATCTTCCTTGTATAACTTCCTCCATTGTCACATCTTTGTATCATCCCCTTAATGTAGGCCATCTTATTTATATACAAAACCACTTCATTTAATATATATGCTATGTGTGGTGTGTTTTTTTGCAGGGAAATTGCAGACCATCCGTACATCACTGAGATTCCAGCCAACTCATTCCGTGGCATCACGAGCGACGTGCTGACGGTGTAAGTAATCTGCAAAGCATCCACATTCATCTACATACAGACACGTATATTTCTACATTACGATTGAATGTCCCTTATCCCTAAATTGAACCCAAAGCCTAAAATAGCCAAATGGGCATTGGCCAAGATGACCTCACTTTAAAAGTATGTCCTCACTCTGAACTCACTTGAATCTGCCAGAGATAGCAAAAAAAAACAAGTTCACAGAGACGGTCATACACAACATGCAATCATGTGTTGCATTTAGGTTTGGGTTTGAGGGAAGAGGGATTGCCATTTTAATCCCTAAAACGGCATGTTAAAGGAAATATTGGGTTATAGACCGCAAAATTACACAGACAGATAAAACCTCATTTTAGAATGGGAAATAAGGAGGTCTTTATTTCTGTCATTAGGCTGAAATGGATGAGGCTCATGGAGAAATATCAGCGGATTGGTTTATAAACCTTAGGAAACCCTTTTCGAGTGATGCTAATCAGTGATGTTTTCTTATATCAAACATTTACATTTTGTTCCAGGATGTTGTACGGTAACGGTTTCAGAGAAATCCACCATCATGCCTTTAATGGGACAAGGCTCGATCAAGTGTAAGTAGTTTTTGTTATATGGACAACAGTAGCACCTTGATTAATTGATTTGGTACCTGTTAAGACATTTTAAAATATTATTTTTGCTGTCTAGTTAAGGGTTTGATGAAAGGACTGATACCACAGTTTTGTCTGATTTTGTCTGTTTTGCTAAATATGCCATATTAAGCCTAGCCTAGCTTAAAGAAAAACAGCAGGAAACAGCAAGCCTTTCTCAATCCAAGAAAAAACTACCTAACAGCACCTCTTATGCTGACTTACTAAGGCATCGAACCACATGTACTTTTTATATAATTACGTTTTTTTTACCAGGTAGCCTATCGCTTTTCCCTCTGTTTCTAGTCTTCTAATCAAGCTAGGCTAACATGCTGCATGCTGTAGCTTCATATTTAGCATACACCTAGCATCATCTAAACCTCGGGAAGAAAGCTAATATGTAGAAGCATTTTCTGAACAATTCTGTTCACTACGCGCTGACTAATTAAAAAATCTGCCATACTGCATAATATTAGCCGTGTTATGGCAGCGTTATGTGAATATTTTTCATTTGATTTGTTTCCCCTTCTGTAGCTTTCTTTCTTTGGAAATCATTTTTTTAAAGAGCATTTATTTTTTATCCAGTGTATCCAATATTTCACAAGGTCACCAAAATCAGTTGATTAAGAGGTCGTACATTTCTCCAAAAATTAGGCTGCTCTGTGTAAAGGCTGGATTAAATCGTTTCTGACATCTGGCATGTGTTTTTCTTTGCCCCAAGTTGCTCTACAAAAGAAGCAGGAACACTGTTGGGTCTATGCCGTCTCATATGTTCTCTAAAACGGCTCGAGCCCAACTCTTGATTAGTAAGCCGGAATTCTCATGGGAAAAATGTTTCCGATAGTGGGTATGAGGAAGTCTGCATTATGAGTTTGACTCTACACTCAGTGACACTGGACCCTCAATCTGTGTCAGACTTGAAGAAATCAATTTCACACTCATATTCAATTACCTCAGTGGGATAAATTATGAGACAAGGGTAAGAATGTCTTGCCTTCCCTCTTTTGATGCAACATGTTTTCCTTTTTCTTGTCTGGTCCTGGTCCAGTATCCTACATATTCAGGATATGAGATATTAATGGTATTACTTTTATTCTTTTGCAACACCTACACACATCGTTATAAGAGTCTAATTTAGCCATTGCTCTGTGACTAGTGAGACTTTGCACGTTGTTGTTTATGCTGGCTCCTGCTCTGCTCTGAGGAGAGAACTGATCCCAGTTCAGCCTGACCAAGAAAAACACACCCCTTACAGGTCTATTATCCTTATTAGATTTAAGGGATTGGGGGAGATGTGTAGTGAGGGAGCAGTGTGTTAAAGGAGTAGGCCACCACGTCGTACACCGTCTAATTTAAATCAACAACCTGGTTGAGACCTTATCTGTCATGTTTCACCCCTGAAATGAGAACAAATAAACAGAGAAATGTGCAGTGATGAGGGGTCGGCAGAATATCATGCCTCACCTCTGTCAGTCAGACTGAAATATGAAGAATAGCTTCCCTCTCAACAAACTTAACTTTTTTCTTCTCCAGTTACCTTCACAGGAATAAATATCTTACCAAGATGGATGACAGGGCTTTTGCAGACACCATCAGCGGCCCTCTGCTTCTGTAAGTACATAGAGGGTTTAAAATTTGAGCCTCTGTTATCAACTGCGTTTGCAATTAAATTCATTTATTACTCACACACAGGCTGCCTTAAACATATCCATTACACGGCTGTGTTGAATACTTGATTCTGATTGGCCAGTTATGCAAAGCAACGGTCTGCTGTCCCTCGATAGATCACCGTTGTTAAGAACAAACTGTTACTACGAAAACCAGATGGTTGCTAGGGACACAGCTCTTATCGTACACTCTTGAGGACTAACTGATATCATATCAATCCATAGAAAGAAGTCCGGTTAATTTGACATGAGTCTGTTCACTGATGGAAAAAGACAAAGGAAAGGATAATAACAGAGGAGAGAGGTTTATAGATGCTGAAGCTGCAGGCCATGACAGAAAACTCCACAAAACTGAAGATGGCACATGAAGTTAACAGGCAACAGAACATGCTTTGGGTCACAGCGATGTTTTTACAGACTGGTGAATAAAGAAAATGAACCGACTTCAACCATGATGAGGCAGAAAAACTCAGTCAGGTGCTTCGCTGATTCAAGATCTTGTCCACATTATCACTTCCCAATCTGTGGAAATTTTAAGTTTTATGTGAGTAATAAAATCTATTTTAGCTCATTTTATGAGCATTTTTTCCAACCCCTCTCCACTCGAATGAATTAGAACGAACGCACCATAATTAAGCACCGTTAAGCGCAAGCGGCAGACAAAATTGTCCTTTGCTCGAGCTGCAATTGCCTGTGGCCTGTATTGTTGTGTTAGCAGGCTAATGCTAACACACTTTGGTTAACTCATAGCTTCATATTCCACATAAATGTACACGGAATGAGCGTGATCTGAAAACACTTCCATGGCATCCATATAAGCAGTGAGAAAACTATTCTTCTTTTCTCTAGTCCTTGACTAAAACAGCTTTATACTCAAGGCCGTCCCGTCCATTTAAACATGATGTAAAACTGCCGGGACGCTTGCATCTCACTCATTATAGACAGTCATGACTCAGAGAGACATTTACATAGGATATACTTACATTTCTGCTGTATTTATGTGTCAAATGTCGAACATTCTTCCTTTAAGTAGCCGTGCAATAAACGGGGCAATATATTCAGCAGGTGGTTATTGGGAAGGGAACCCCAACAGACTAAAGACTGACACTAACTTCCTTTTCTCCTAGTGAGTCAAAGGGTTTTAACTGAGCTGCATTCATTAATGTGAAGCTTTGTGGTTCTTATCAGATTTAATACTTCTACGGAAAACTGGAATTTGTTGTCAAAATAGTATTTGTTTCGGGTCTTTGTGTTATCCATGTTAAGCTTATTAGTGGGCTTACTGTTGCTTTTCTTTACCAAACACAAATTAAAGTGGTATCAATATTCTTATCTTACTCCAAGCAAGAAAGCAAAGTACGATAGGTTTAATTCTAATTTAAAAACTCAAAGCCTATTTATTTAAAAAAAAAAAAAAAAAAACCTAGTTTGATAATAAGCTTCAAAAATGCTGTCATTACAAAAGTGCAGACCGCATAACTTGTATGCAAAGGTGGATTGTATATCATGAAAGGGCTGAAATCATTCCTCCGCAGCTGTGTCTTCGGCCAGGAAACCTGAAACACATTGTGTGCAAGCGTGTGAGGGACATTTCTTTGATACTGTCGTTTTTCTTTAATGCTCTGAAGGATTTCAAAGCTGACTTCCCGTTTTTACAGGTGTCTGATGCTGAAACCCTCTACCACGGCTATCTAGTTGCTGTGAGGACTCTGATGTAGCCATTAAGTGTCAGGTTTAGTAAATGTGTGTGTGTAGGACTTCTTCCTCTGAGCAACCTGTCCTGAGTTAGGTCACCTCCATGAGGTCATGGGCTAAACATCTGCGAATTACTAAATCAGACTCACACTCAGACTTTCAGCTGTTTTTTTTTTTTTTAAACTGCCTTACACAATGTGCCCCGTGAGAGGGGAAAAGGGCAGAGGACAGAGAAGTGAGGAAAGCAAATGGGACTAAAAAAGAACAATTGGAGCTCTTGGCAAATTTTGGATGGTTCAGCTTGTGTTTCTTTTATTTAATCAAATTAATCTGCAGATGCTATGACTAAGAGTTTTAATGGGTTAGAAAACTAAAGAAAGAAAGAGAATACTTGACCTCTGCTTGGCCCCTGGAAGGGGGGATCGACACAATGTCCTAAAAACAGAATCACACAGGATGTTGGTGAGATTGTCGATTCCCTGCATATCTTTGTCCCGATGAGGTTGAACTGGCTTTCGCATGACAGCCTAATGCAAGAAATACCACGTGTAATTGTTTAAAGATGAAGGAAGAGTGAGGATCTCACTGTAAGAAACAGATGGAGGGTGTTATTTAATCCATCTATGAACTCTCAGGTCTCATCATGTCATAGCTCTGCAAAAAGGTTTGCTGATGTTTATTGCAGAGCGTACAACTGTATGTAACACATGGACATAGTCTCAGTGGTATCAACCATTGGTTTTCTGAAGCGGTGTTATGAAGCCCTATGATGACAGTCGCCATATTGGTAATAACTCTATCTTACTTTATTTATTTGAAATAAACAAAAGATACTTGTGCCATAATCGAAGGATAAGTGCTTAATGAAAAAAAACCTTGAGTCTGCCTCTGTATCACATGGTAAATGGTAAATGGACTTCCAACTACTCAAAGTGCTTCTACACCACATGTGACACCCACCCATTCACACCCTTTCACGCACAGATGATTGCTATGTAGTATCATCCATCAGAAGCAACTAATGCCATTCATACACCGCCACTGAAGCAGTGGGAGAAATTCAGGGTTAAGTGTCTTGCCCAAGGACACATCAGACATGTTGCTCAGCAGGGGATTGACCCCTTAACCTTCCAGCTGACAGGCGACGACTCTACCAACTGAGCCACAGCTGCCCTTAGTTAACAGGGCAACCTGAACAGCACACCACCTTCATAAGACCCAGGCTCCATTTATGCGAGATAGCCAGGTATTGACACCAATACTAAAAACCTCTATCAGACCCTCCTACAGCTTTGACCAATAAAGAGATAAGATATATATGCGTTTGTTTGAACAAGTTTTTAAATGTTGATTTCTGCTGTAAAAATGTGGCAAAACTTGAGGAACTGCAGCGTTTTGCAGCTCAGCATTGGCTTCATGTTTCAACACCAGAGGTTGCCACTTGTTCAAGAGTCTTAAAAAAATGTTGGTTTACTTCTTCAGGTAGCTGGATGAAAACAAAATCATTCAGTATAATTAGTAGTGTAAAGTAAAAAGAATCTGCTGAAGATCAGCTGTTTCAGGGACCTCATTTAGATTTGTACATGGCCTCAGCACTCCATACACATAACAATTAGTCACATTACATTCCTTACATCAAGACAAAACCATGAACGGTACTCTCAGCATCACATAGACCTTATCTGTCTGCCATGAAAGATAAAATGTTCACAAGGGGCAGCACCAAGGTTACAATTCAACATTTAACAAACTACACTGACCTGTGCCTAGGCCTGCAGTGGACTTAACATTCATTGCTGCAATGATGAAGAAATGTAAGAGGCAAATGGTCTGTGTTTATACAGCACTTTTCTGGCTTTTGTACAGACAATATATTTACTCAATCTTCCCAGGGATAATGAGTCATTTCCAGTTATTTTCTTAACTTAATTATCTTGTACCTCCAGGGTACAGAATTGACTTACCTCATTAGTGTGGGCAATGCATGTCTTTGTCCGACCAACAAGCCTGTTGTTTTGTTTTCTAGATGGCCCAAAATTAGCCCGTTATCATAAGATGAAAGGCTTTGTTATCTTGAGATAACACAATAAATAAATATGTTATAATGGGAAAACCAGCTTTGTTATGTTATCTGGAGATAATGAGAGCAATAAGTCGAGATCTTGAGAAAATCAACAGGAAATAACTTGTTACCCGGGGACAATGGAGTAAAAAGGTGAGTGATGAATGCATGGTAGCTTGGTGCTATGGTACTTTAGACATCTCAAGACCTTTTTACTGTTCTTGTCAACATTCACAAAGTGAAAGTGCTGATCGGGACCTAAACACACCAATGCCTTCAGGAGCAATTTAGGGTTGACAGGAGTTTAATTTAGGGTTGCTGAATACACAGGAGCATCTACCTCTGAGCCTCAGCTGCCCCAAGAAGAGTGAAGCAATGCAGTCTGCGAAAGTATTACATTTCATAATTAGTTCAGATATTTTTTTATCTGGCAGAACACAAAGAAAGCAACATGCTGATGGACAACAGGAGAAAAACATGCTTATTAAAGACTAAGTCAGAAAGTCTTAGAGTAGACTTGAGAGTCATTAAATCAGGGGCGTCAATCTGGAGCCATTTTATGTTTACTTATTATATCCTCTGAGATGAATGTATTCCCTTTCTGTCTCAGAGACGTGTCCGTCACAGGGGTCACCTCCCTGCCAACCACAGGCATGAACTCTCTCAGAGAGCTGAAGGCGCGCAATGCTTGGGCCCTCAAGAAACTGCCTCCCATCAAAACATTCAAACACCTGACTACCGCCAACCTCACCTATCCAAGTCACTGCTGTGGCTTCAAAAACCTCAAGAAGAAACGAAGGTGAGCTTTTTTCAAATGTAATTCTGCATTATGTATTCATTACAGGTACTTAAGAGACTCGTAAATGTCAAGAGGAAGAAAGTGAGTAAAAGTCAAACAGAGTCAAATAGAAAGCTCTGGTAGTCTGTGTTTTCATTATATTTGAACAAACTACCTAAGTGACCGAATAGCTACACTTGTATGATGTGGATTTTGGCAAGGATTGGATTAACTATTTGCCCTGTTTACCTATAACTCCTTTCAGTGCTGCCATAATTAGTGTCAGTCATTGCTGTTATTTTAGGAAGAAGGTTGAGCCCCACTAATAATGACTCTCAAAACAGAAATCTCTTTTCCTCAACTGGATGTATAATTTATTTGCTTTGACATTAAGCACCGGCGAGGAAGAAGCCAGGTGTGTTTTTGTCTAATAAAGTAGAATAGATGGACTCAATCTTCTGTGTATTCTTGTGTGTGTGTTTTCAGCTTTTGGGATTACAAGGTGTGTAACCTGTCCGTTTTCCAAGACCAGCATCACAAGCGCTCTGTGGGACCCCTCAGCTTGCCTTCCCTCCAAGGGGACAGCATGCTGGAAACCGTCCCAGACGATGAGCAAAACGATGAAGGCCACAAAGAGTCCCAGCAAAACTGGAGGAGAGGCGACTACCATGGCAGCCTCCATTACCAGGCTTACTTCGGGGGCCTGCCAGATGAGGATGTGGGTTTTGGAGAGACCCTCAAGAACCCCCAGGAGGACACCAGCCAAGATTTTAACAGTCGCTTACTCGATTATGTGGTGTGTGATGAGGGAGAGGAGGTGGCGTGTGCACCAGTCCCCGATGAGTTCAATCCTTGTGAGGACATAATGGGTTTTGGCTTCCTGCGAGTTTCTGTGTGGTTTGTGAGTCTGCTGGCTGTTCTGGGAAATGTTGTGGTGCTGTTGGTGCTGCTCACCAGCCACTACAAGCTCTCAGTCTCCCGCTTCCTTATGTGTCACTTGGCCTTTGCGGACCTGTGCATGGGCATTTATCTGCTGCTTATCGCCTCTGTAGACCTCCACACACGATCTGAGTACTTCAACCACGCTATAGACTGGCAGACGGGTCCTGGCTGTGGACTTGCTGGGTTTTTCACGGTGTTTGCCAGTGAGCTTTCAGTCTACACATTGACGGTGATCACTGTGGAGAGGTGGTACGCAATCACCTTTGCTATGCGACTGGACCGTAAGCTACGTCTGCACCATGCGGCAGCAGTGATGCTTGGCGGCTGGATCTTCTGCCTACTCCTGGCTTTGTTCCCTTTGGTCGGGGTGAGCAGTTACCAGAGGGTTAGCATCTGTCTCCCTATGGACACTCAGTCCACAGTGGCCCAGGTTTACATCTTGTCAGTTCTGGTCCTCAACATCCTTGCCTTTCTGGTGATCTGTGCTTGTTACATCAAGATCTATTGTGCAGTGCACAACCCTCACTACCGATCTGGATCCAAGGATACCAACATCGCCAAGCGCATGGCTGTCCTCATATTTACTGACTTCCTGTGTATGGCTCCTATCTCCTTTTACGCCATGTCAGCTGTTCTGGACCGGCCGCTAATCACCGTGTCCAACTCCAAGATATTACTGGTGCTCTTCTACCCGCTAAATTCCTGTGCCAACCCGTTCCTCTACGCCATCTTCACCAAGGCTTTCAGGGGGGACATATTCATCCTCCTCAGTAAGATCGGTCTTTGTCAGCAGCGAGCACAGCTGTTCAGAGGCCAGACAGTCTCATCGAAGGGCAGCAGCGGGACATCTCAGGTCCGCAGAGACAAGGATAAGTTTAGAAAAAGTGGAAGAGGAAGACAGGAAGAGGTGCCCATCAACCTGAAGAAGTGCTGTGGACATACCTACCACCAACCCGTCTGCCAGAATACGAGTCATGAAGGGAACCAGAGGCTGAACACGTGAGCCAAACACCAGCTGGAGGTAGCTGAAGCAAGACAAGTTCAGGTGGGAGAGGAGAGGCCTTGAAGTGTTTGTGGACAGACCTGCTAGGATATTTAACAGGGACGTCCAGTATTCTGTATCTGCTTCAACTCTCAGGCCAAGTTCAGCTGTTTTTACAATTTCGGCTGTGACGATTTTATGATTCCAGTTGTCCAGTTTTCTGAAATATGAGCCGAACTTCATCTAACTTATGAGCCTTTCTATTTGAAGGGTCTGGCTAGAACAAAGCTATTTAGAGGACAAATTCTCAAGATAAAAACTCACATATAGGAACATAAGTATGAATAACATCAATCTTTTCAGCATCTTTAATTATATGATTAACTTTATCTTTAATTATGGCCACACAATATTGCATTGATAGAAAAGGAAATATAACAGACTTTTTATGGCTATAGTGAGGAGCCATATTTATACTTGGTCATTGTGTTTAAGGACAGCCTGCTGGCTCAGTGCGTTCATAGTGGAAACTTTATCAAATATATGGATGGATAAAAACACTGCACTTCCATAGTCTTTATGCTTAATAAATACACAGTAGTGTTTGGTGGTTTATGGACAAAAATGGTACTATTCTTTGTAGGGTTATGGTTCGTTTGTAGTTTTCTTTTTGATTTATAAACAATATAGCAGGGTATGTGATGTTGAGAAACTGTGTTATTATGGTGCAAATTATGTTGTGTATACCTTCACCATATTGATGTAAACCTTCTTGGCTATATAAAAAACGTGTACTTGAGTTTGTTTTTATATTACGATTTTTTTTTATGGAACCAAATGCCATTACTTTAAATGTTCACATTGATTTAAAAAAAACAGTTTAAAGAGCTACGTACTCATCTCCAGAGAGCAACAAACGTAAACACAAGAAATATTTGGATTATTAGCAATTTTCTACAAATTACTGACAGGCATGATAATCGCAAATATATACCGAAAAAGCTGTGTCTCTCCTCTGGAATGTCATGGTTGTTTTTCTTGCATGGTCGTGATATTTTTCCATCCTCTCACGGAAACATGTGACTTATACAATCAGCAGAGATAGCTTTGCCTTCACTGGGGGACCTTAAAGCAAATACAACTGAGGCACGTTTGAGTAGCACCACTTTGACTTATGCAATATTGAGCTATTATGAGTTAAAGGACACCCTCTTCCAATGGCAGCTTAACATCTGGTTAGCATTTCATCTTCTGGGTGACATTTTTCAAGGCAACATACAGATGAACTGGAGGGACTTTCCAGGAAAAAGGGATAATTTCAGACCTTTTTTAATTTTTCTTCCAAATCTGTCAAGAAGATATTTGACCAGACTGCAAGAGAGTTTGACTTGGTGTTAAGAAGAGGTACAATATTCCCAAATCCATATCACAATAATGCACTCTCAAAGCATCAGCAAATTTGGAATGGGGCAAACCTCAAGAATGGAAGAACTTAAATAACTTTAAAGTTGAAAATATTAAAAATGGCACCTTCTCGCTGTGTTCCAGACTTGACTCACTCTGTAAATTCTTAACAGACTAACAGGACATTATTTTCAGCTGAATGTTTTCCACAGCTTTATGTCTATCTCCTCCAATCACGCATTTACAACAATCCAGTGGTGACCCTTCAGATGCTAAGCACACAGACTTGGAGTAAGATGTGGCTGGCTGCATTTGTAAGGGCCCCTCCACTTCTACTGCCAGTTAGTCTTAACTCAAAGTTCATGCTTGTTTCACAAGTGTTTGTATGTCAAGGTTGATAAAAATCAAAATCACTGCACACTTACGTGGGATACTTGGTAAATACAAAGAGAACATTGGGAGTCGTGACATACTGGTAGAGGCGTCCAAGACTGATACTCCATTTAGAATTCATGAAATGATCAAAGGTTATTTCAAAGCCAACAGCATTATCAAACCGAATATCAATATTTAAAGGTTAAAAGCACATAGGTTTTCAATCTAACCAATAGTCAGAAAAGGCCGAACAAACTGATAGAGACAAGGACAGGATTTATTTTCACATTCATTATGTAGCTGATTCTCAGGACTGCCTGATCATTCCTTTCCCGGTATTTCAAATAAACCCATCCCTGAGCCATTCCTCAAATAAGCAGGGCAGGGCCAGATAATGCACCTCACCTCGCTAACACCAGATAAGGTTGCTCGAGTCAAATATGGTGGGAAAGGAATCATGAGAATGACTGAACAGAGTTTCCATTAGGAAAATTGAAAGAGCCTCTGCTGCTCAGAGGAGCTCAAAGTCAACGAGTATCCAGTCAGGTCTTCTTGTTGGAAATAAAAAAATCCCTGCATTTATGACGTCACTACTTGCGGTACTGCATGGACCAATAGGCATGGATGGTCCTCTTCAAGAGTCAAGGTTTTCTCTTATGCAGAAAACTCTTTAATGACGACTAGAGCAAATCAGTGTCCATGTCAATGAAAACTGTACTCCCTGTTCCGAAAGGGTTAGTGTTAGGGTGGTTCAACTCCTAAAATTAAGGATGAGAATATTTTATTTCCAACTGTCACCAACCATTTCACTACAACATAGCTGATTCATTATCAAAAGAGCAAGATGTATTGGATTTAAAAATGTTTCATGTTCCAAGTTTCATATATATATATATATTTCTGGGCCAGCTCATTGGTATTGCCCAGGTGTAGTGCATTCATGCAACCAAAACGACTTAATCAGAATGCCATATTGTTCATTAAATAGGCATTGGAGGAAAACCTGGCCGAAGGCCTAAAACTAAAGTATTTCAGTCACTTAAGTGTGCCAACTTTCCCAGTCGCAATTAGTGGCTAATTACTTGGGCACTGATGCTTGCAAAGCACTGTTCTTGCTACAACTTCCAAATAGTAAGCAAAAGATGTTTCTGCCTCAAGCAACTGAGAAGTGCTAAGTATTTGTTTACTTTGCATCTCAATATTTGTACTGTTTGAACTGTTGATCTTTGCAAAAGATACCCACTCACATCCAGATTTCTGCACATCATCTTTTTCCTACAGCACCTGTGACCTATCAGCAGGAGTGTGGGCTCAAATCACAACAATGTAGACATGTGCAACTTATAATACAACTCATAATACAAAGAAAAGTGTACACACTTTTTAGAGTGTTTAAAGCATACATAGTGCTGTTTCATTTCTACATTCAAAAAGTAGCAGAGGTTAAGCGTGCTTAGTGGCTCACCTCAAACGAACCAGTACATCAGTTTAGTTTGCATCCTTTTCCAATGGTTTGGAAAGGACGATTCAGATTCTATTTGGCTTTCCAGCAAGCACTTCAGCTGGAACACATCTACATTTGGACTGGACCGAATTATAAGCAAATCTACTTTAATGAGAACACAAATGATATTACTCAGATGTTTGCCATTTGACTTAAAAGTAATCTTCCTAAAACCAAAAAAGACAAATCTATTGTAAGATCGTCGTTAGTGAATGAGCTCTACACTTATAATGATGGATATACTTTCAATCAATCAGGATGCTGTACCTGGACCAGCATACATAATACCAGAAGCTTGAAACAGTAGCAGATGCATAGAATTCATTAATCACTCACTTTATCACCTACATCTGAACTCCACTTCAAATTGCGTACAGAAGGCCAAGCTGAAAGGAAAGGTGTGTTTGGCAAAGCATACCAGCAGACAGACAAAAAAACCATCCTTCTCCCATGTCTGTACTGACTATATTTATTATTGGACATGATAAAAGCCGTGAGACAATGAAGGGAAACCAGAAAAGGAGGAATCTCCATTAAATTGAATAGAGACTCTTTGTCCAATAGTGCTTGACATTTTCAGAGTGTATGGTAACTTGCCTTATAGCCAACAGGCCTGGCTACCACGATCCAATGAAGCCTCCAGACTCTGTTTGACCATGCAGCTGATTGGCAGCCACCATCAGTTAGCTGGTAAGTAGAGAAAGCTATATAGTCTTAGCTCAACATCTCCAGGGCCTCATTATAAGCCTCATTCTCCAGCAGCTCAGACTCTTATGTCTGAGTGCCCAGAAGTAGCAACAGGGCCCATTTCATCAGAAGCAGCCAGGAATACATTCTTCCTCTACTAGGTCTGTTCAGGGCTGAATAAGTCTTTGTGAAGCCTGATATGTTGTTGAAGTGACAGCCCGCCTCAAATCCATTTACAATCAGGGGCAAAAATCTCCATGTAGTTTCTGGTTCAGCTTTAATCCCAGACAGCACCACACCTTTATCTCATAATTACCTGCAAGGAAATACACAGGGATTGTATCAGTTTGAGTAGGAATTAGAGGAAAGACAGGGAGAACGCCCATGCTGTGAATACCCTGACAGCCATCCAGACGCTGGATTACATGGCTAGAATAGTGGAGTTTTTATGTCTCACATGTCCATGTTGCATTATATGTAGTGAGGCAGTGTTTAAAAACTAGAGCTCAAATTGTGTACCCTAGGAGGTACTTTTGCTTTAGCACTTAGCCAGATATTTTGACCTAGGAATTTCATAGTTAATCTTAAAAAAACATAGTAATTTAAGGGGCATTGGTGAAGCAGCGGTAGGTTTGTGCGCCCCATGTACACAAGCTATGGTGCTCCAAGCAGGCGGCCCAGGTTCGAATCCGGCCTGTGGTTCTTGACTGCATGTGGTTCCCCTCTCTGTATCTACCTGATTTTCAAGCTCTATCCACTGTTCCATCTCTACAATAATGGCACAAAAAGCTAAAAATAAAATAAAAATTCCATTATAACATTTGTAAGGTCAGCTATAAAACTTTATTGTAATAAAGTCAATTATTGCCTTTTTAGGCCAATAAATTAGAAAGCAGAATAATTAAGCTTGGATTAATAAATATAAATAAAAAATACACTAGCTACAATTGATGGATCGACAGTTCAAATATTAAGAAAAAGAAAAGTAGTAAATGGTTTAAAAGTTATCAAATATATACAGTTGCAAAAGCTAAAGTGGTTTTAATAGCTAAGCAATAGCTAAAATGTTACGAATGTTAGTTGAGGATTAAAATGAAGAGTTGGAATTGCTATACGCTGTAGAAATGCTAAACAGATTTAGTTTGGATAAGCTAAGGGATTAACAAATGAAACACCAAATGGTTGTAATATGAATAATAATGATTTATACTAAACAATTGGTTGGCTAACAAAGGTTAGCCTAGCCAACGTTAGCCTAAAGTAGTTGAATTAATGAACAGCTGGTACTTCACAAAATGTTACTGATTAAAATGGTTTGCTAAGAGCATTGGATACGCCTGAGAAGTTTGATGATTAGCTACAAGTAATGGAAAAAACAGTTGAAATAGTTATCTTATAGCGAAGTGGTTTAACTTGCTAACAAAAATAAAGGATGGCTGAATTGACTAAAATCTTTTCTTCTTCCCAAGAAGAAAATCAAAAAATCAAACAGTTGAAATAGAGTCTCACAAACATTGATAAAATGTTCAGCCTCTCTCTTAAGTTGACATCAAAAATCCCCTTGTATCCGCTGATACATTGGCTGTTCTTTGTGTGAAATAAATAACAATAACAGTTTTAATATGCCCATTGTTAAATTTCATCCACTCTTCAAAAATGTAAAAAAAAAAGTATTGTGTTTGTGGTGGTGTTAGTCAAACTAGTCCTAATATGAGAGCTGACAACTGTTACAATGAAAGGATGTGAATGATGTAAGGTGATAGAGAAAGTGGATGAAGACTTTTAATAGTTGCTAAAAGAGAGGTCCCACCGATTAAATTCATGCTGTTAAATGTGCTAATTTATTCTTTTTTTATTCAAAAATAAAATACAATGCATTACAATTCTGTGATTTCCTCCAAACTTGTTCTGATTAATACAATTAAATGTATAATTACATTAAATTACTTCATGATCTGAAAAGCAGCTAGAACACAACCAAGTGTTTGAACACAGGGATACATTTTTTTTTAATAAACATCCTTGTCATTTAACTCATCCATCATTTGTGAATATCCTGAAATAGAGTTCAAAAGGCACACGCAACATTCAATGACAGTTTAACTCAACAGAAAATGGTTTCTAGGAGCTGAATTTATGTGATGAATATTAATTTAGCGCTACTGGATTTTTGCGGAGATAATCTAGCACGCATGTTTTACTTTATTTGTGTGGAAAACATTCCTCCTGGCACTTTATTTATTTAGTGTCTTATTTTAAAATCTAATGGGGCAGCTATTATAAAGAAAATTCAACAAACAAAGATTTATACAATTGCTTTAAGCCAGAGTACAAAATCTGAAATGATCATTTGATTCAAGTTACATCAAATATATAACAATATGAGACACATTTTATATTTGTCCCTATGTGTGTGTATGGATTTCTATTGTAAAAAACAGAACTTGAGATCCAACCATCAAACAAGTCAACACAACAGTCAAAAAACACTGACTTTATTTCAAATTGCTGCAACAGGGGCACTAAAAACAAACTGCAGAGAAACACACGGGGCCCCGAGTTCAACTCACTTGGATAGAAAATATTTTCATTTAAAAGTTATGAATAAAATGAAAGCACAGGAGAACATATGGTGGACGAAATGATTTGGAACTCAGCAGAGAGCAGCTTTGTCCAGCCAACAGAAGAAAAGGAACACTTATTTGATTATAAGAGCACAGTTTGGTGCGGCTTTCCAACTTCTCCGAAAAAAGAAAGAAAACATGACGTTAAATTTCAGGTATAAATAAAAATAAAAATAAAAAAAAAAGAGGGGGGGATTTCATCTTTCCCTCCCAATCACCCCCCCTCCAAAAAAAAAGAAAATGAAATCTCTACTTTTGAGATTATGGGGTGTGCAAGTAATTAAACTAAAACATATGAAAAAAGCTGTGACAACACACCTCAACATACATACATGAACAATCCCTCACACACATACACACACACACACACTCAGAACAGAGCACGCTGTGGCTATCAACGCAACTGACTGAATTCACAACACATTGATAAACTGACAGTGCAAATCTTCAGACGGCTGCAGAGAACTAAAATAAGAGCGAAGAAGATACACCAACAGGACACACTTTCAAACATTTTGTACAATTCATAAATGAGTTCAGAGTTGGATCTTCCTTTTTTTCGTTACATTTTGGGAATCAGATGGAATGAAGCTCCAGAGAAGCCGGTGAGGAAATTATCAGTATATATTTATTTTTTGGGGGATTTAGCGCTCCTTAGAAGATTAAAAAAATGCCTTCAAACAACTATTAGTAATTTTTTAGGATAAATGTAACGATACCTTCTTTGTCTTAACCCTATATCAAACACGTTTAAAAAAATGTTTAAAACAAGACAATGTCGTTAACTACATAAAACATTCTGGAGCACCGATGTCATGAACATGAATCGTGACAGAATGATGATCCAAGAACGAAAAATTGAGAAGCCAAAAAGGTGATTCAGGCCGTTCTAAAGGCAGCGATCTCGACTGGTGGCACTAGTTTTGGGCTTAAATGTAGACGCATGCCAATCCAGTCAAGCAACTACAGTGCATCGTGAAGGTGTTACTCATCTACAGGGTTCAAATGAATGACGTCCGACCTCCTGAAGCAGGTCAGGTCACCCTGGTCCACTACACCTGTACGATGTGAAATGCTTACTTTCCAAAAGTGAATTCTCAGGGAAAAAAAAGGCAAGAGAAGCCTGGAAAAAAAAAAAAAAAAAAAAAAGAGATCACAAGAACGCTCTGCTCACAGGACTTCCCTTCCACCCCCCTCCCCCCCCCCGTAGGTTTCTCATCCTGCAAGGCTAGTGGAGTGTTTTTGATGACACCCAGATTTTGACTGTACCTCACAGTCCTTTGGGTTTACCAGAGTTCTCAAAGTCTCAGAAAAAAGATTTCCTGAAATGAGTCCAGTCACAGGATATGGAAGGATATTGAAGTGTCTGTTGACTGGATCGAAGGGAGTTACAGAGTTCCTGCTCCTGCTGTAGCTGTTTTTTTTTTTTTCTTCTTCACCATTCAGCATCACCAATGGCTTTGGAGAAGACATAGTCTCTCCCGTTTAGATTCATAATCCCGTCCTTCAGGTGGAATTTCCATTTGTTCTTACTTCTGTGAATCTGCACAATAAAGAGAGGAAATGAATGGTGTGGGCGTCGGGGACAGATGGACACTGTTTCATCTTACAGTGGATGTAGTCTCTAATGTCTTTAACCCATGCATGCAGAGAACTCAGCCAGACGCATGCATTGCCAAATTTTGCAGACAGCTCTTTATAAATTCTGAATTAGTACCACATAGGATTAAACTACACGGATCTAGACTAAAACTACTATGCCATGACTTTTGTTTATACTGTCTCACTGGTTATCGCAACAAAATGTAGTTCCTGAAAAACTAATTCCTTTGTATTTAAAAGCTACTGTGGGGAGTTTTTAGCCGGATATGAAACAGACTGAAATCAATACTGGCGCCTCGTTATGTCCTTCAAAAGCTATCGAGAACATCAGCATAGAGATTGACTATTTCTATACTGTTCATTTTAATGGCTGAAGCTACCGCTGCAGGGTAGGTGTAACAGCCTTCTTTTCCCAACCAACTTCTTCCTCATGAGTGATATATTAAACTTATTTTTTTTTGTTTTAAAAAAGGCACAGAAAAAAATCTGCAAATAGATAAGGTCCAGTATTTTCTACAGGGATGGCTCGTAGGACATTTAATTCAAAAACTGTTAGCAAACTTTCTGCCTAACTCCTGGGAGCACCGGTAGCCTAGCGATTATGTTGGGTGCCACGTGTACAGAGGCTGTAAAATAACTATGGGGCCCATAATGGGGCCTGAAATCATCCAGTGCGTAGTCAGCTTAAGTTGGTCAGAAGTGGCTGTTAAGTTTTCCCTGAAATAAGATCTTCTTACCTTGTCATACTGGCACACCACTACATTCTCTGTATCAAACAGCTCCTGGTCCTCCTCATCACTGACATCATCCCCGCTGTTCAGTGGCTCCTGGTGACGACAGCAAACCAACAAGTTTCATTTGTGCAGGTCTACATAATGATTCAAAAGTCTGTCTCAGGATTTCTGTCCTATGTAGCATTTACACACACAGCATGGCTGATTGTGGAGAGCTCATCTTGTAAAAGGACTTCTATTTATTATCTTAAGAATACACAATGTGATAATACAGTATTGTTTTGGCTTTATGTGTATGTGTCCCTTTAAGCCTTCTGCTGTGTTTCAACATGCAGGTTAATTAATGTGAATGAGGTTCACCTGGTCCGAGGCTTTTAAAAGAAATTGCTGGCAGTGTCTTGTGCCTCGAGGACGAGGATTGTGTGTGTTGTGTTTGATCATTTAAGCCTTTGTCCATTATTTGGATGTTATTTTTTTTTGTTAAAATAAATCCCATGGTCTGAGTGTTTTCAGGGGTTTTCTGTGATTTGTTTGGTCAGTTTGTGGGTTGCCGCTCTACAGGGCCACCTCAGGGTGGGATGTAACAGTACAACATCTTAGATTGCACTGCTCACTGTCCAGAACCCTGATCCACTAAGGGAAAATCTAAATGTTTAGGTCATATGTTTGCTTCATCCTTAGCCTACCTCTTCAACCTGCCCGTCCTCGCCCCCGTCCTTGTCCTTCTCCTCCTCGTCATCTTCGTCGTACTCCTCTTCCTCATCCTCGTCCTCTTCCGAGGAGGTGTCTCCGGCACCGTCCACCTGCAGCATCATGGGAGGCTGCTGGGTCTGCGGCTGCTGTTGAGCCTGAGCTTGCTGCTGGGCCTGGGGCAGAGCTTGGGCCTGTGGTGCAGCTGCACCCTGGGCCTGCTGAAGCTGCTGCACTAAAGCTGCCTGACCAGGCTGCTGCGCCATACCTGCTGCCTGCATCACCTGGACGGGGAAAGGGTCCCAAAAGAGAGAAAAATATCAGTCCCAGTAGATCGTTGATATCAATGTCTATCAATGCTAGAACTATTTGCAACAACAAAACAACCATTACAGCAAATGCTAACAAGTGCACAGCAAACTTCCTGAGAAGAGCGATCAAATGAGTTATGAAGTAACTGAAGAAGAAGAGCTGACCTGTGCATTGCTTTGGACTTGTTTTCCTGAAGCTAACACAATCTGCTGCGGCTGGATGATGACTCCTGTTTGCTGTGGCAGGCCTCCCTGCAGAGGAGTCAGAACCTAGAGAGAGAGAGAGAGAGAGAGAGGAAACAGGAAGAGCTCACATTTTACTAAAGGACGCTGGTGTTTCCCTCTAACAGAATGACATCTTAATTTCTCATTCATTTAAAGAACTATGTTATTGGCAAACATTATAGGTCATTATTGTTATTTATGAAACTGATGCGGCTTTCACACTTCGCAGAAATCTCCTGAAAAACTCCTGGTATTTCCCGGAGGATCTGTATACGTGAACGCAAAAAGCAAAATGTTTCGCTCGGAGTTTCTCCTGCCAGACCCCTCGTGTTTTTTCTGCAAGTCCGAGCGAGCTGATGTCAGAACGCCGCAGGATTTTCTCAAGAGACTTCAGCTCGAGTCAATAGGAGGGGGAGTGACGGTTATATACTGTGACTGATGCACAGAGTGTCTCCACGCGACCACTACGATCTCTCTGCACGTAATTAATCGGCTGCATTTTGTTTTCTGTTCATCAGTATGTTGTTCTCCTCTCTTTTGTGGATGTTGTCATTCCATTGAACAACACATAGCATTGATATAAAGGCAAATATTCTTATTATAGCGGTCTCTGTTGCTTCACCCACTACTTCCACTTTGTATTTTTACGTTACTTCTTACCACAGGAGACCCCCCACCCACCCCGTCTGACAGGGATAGTCTCCCGCTGTGAGGAGCATATGTGAACAGCAAAGGTCAGGAGAATCTCCGGAGCAGTCCTCCTGAAATTATCTAGATATTTTCAGGAGCGCATATGTGAAAACGGCTTCAGTGACCATAACATGTTATGGACCAAAACAGGATGTCAAGGGTTAAATACACAAGCTGTTATGAATCATTCACTACCAAAAATATAACAAGAAATATTTAGACATGTTTGTGGTGTATTCAAAAAGGCATTCAGTTCATCGGGTCAGGGTGTTCCTACCTGTGTAATGGGGCGTACCTGCTGTATGACCGGAGCCTGTACGCCGCCAGGCTGCATCTGCTGCTGCAGGAGGATCTGCTGCTGAGGCTGCTGGATGATGTACTGAGCCCCATTGGGAGCACGCACCACCTGCAGAATCTGACCTGAGAGACCAGGAAACAGAGGAGGCATGAGTGCTGTGAAAGGACATGCATCACTTGATTGCAACAGCTGATGGGAAGTTGAAGCACTAAAGCATGTATAAAAACGTATAGTATTGTTTCTCGATAACATGATGCACAGATAATCTCTTGTGTGAGTCTTTCACCTTGGCTGGTGATGAGCTGTTGGTATGGGGTGACCCCTGTGGGCAGAGCGAGGGTTGCTGCAGTAGCTGCTGCACTCTAGAGGACAGAAGGAGAACACACCAGTTGATGAAACCAGGCAGTGAGGTATTAATCTTCAGGCAAAGCTTGAGTCCACAGTTGTGTTATTCAAGAACTTGGAAAACAAGCTTGAAAGTGGTTTTGAAAGCCCTTTATGGTTATTACAAACACACACTAGGCACAGCACAGATATGTTTGACTCAGTTGTTAAGAACATTTCTCTAGAGAGATTTTAATATTTATGAAATACAGAACATCCTCATCATAACTTAAGTTCTAATTTTCATTTTCTCTCTGTTGTCCTGATAAAAGTATTTGCATTGACTCGTTTTCATCAGCGAGGCTCGGTGAAAAAAGGTTAAGGGTAAAAAGGCGTTTAAGAATTAAGAAAATAAAACTTGCAATAGTGCAGATGAAAAGCGTGTTGGTAAAGGAAGGGAGATGCGGAGACATTTTAAAAGGAAAAGGGAGGAGAGGGTGAGAGAGTGTGTGTGTGTGTGTGTGTGTGTGTGTGTGTGTGTGTGTGTGTGTGTGTGTGTGTGTGTGTGTGTGTGTGTGTGTGTGTGTGTGTGTGTGTCACAGGAAGATGATTTTACCCGGCTTGATCTGAACTGTAATCTAAACCTCCAGACAACTGTCTGAAGGTCCTTCCTCTATCTATTCTAGCATTCGAAGTCCCTTCCTCTGTCATCCTGTTCTGTGAAACACCTGCAGACACATACAGATCCTATTCTTCCTGTTTAGACTCCGGTTTTTGCCGTTTCCCTCAATACAAATATTTCAACATCGGCGAGAAGGAAAGTCCGGGAAGTTTATCTTACAATAAAAACAATAATAGAGTCATCTAAATTTGACATCTCCACACAGGCCAAATGGCAGAGTTCTGGCCAAACAGGAAAACACTTTGCCCTGAGCAGTGTGTGCAGGGACCATGTGTGTATCCATGAGTGACTCGCCTTTTGTCAATAAATTAAAGAAATGTCCGAGGATGTACCACAGACAGGGTTGTAGAGCTGAAGTATTTAACAGAGGGTTTCCAGAGTTTAAATAGTTTAATGTATTTTGTTCACTGCACCAAAACACGTCTCTAGTATACGTTCAGACTAATTGGCGGTTGTTCTGATACATTTAGAAACTATTCTTCCACCGGTGCTAGCTCTGTCATTAACAAACAAACATTTCATTTTAATTTTGTATGTCTCTGTATGAGCACAGTGTTGTTTATAACTAACTAGCCCTCTCACTTATATGTTTATATGTACATACCGTAAAACTAACTGTGGAGTTGTGTACGTCCAAACTGTTACTTGATATTGATTTGATATGATATCCACTCACCATCCCTGTTGCACTCATGTGCTGTAGAATCTTTGAATCCTGAACAATGACTTGCTGCTGGGGAGCTGTGGGGAGAAACACGTTCGAGTCAAACCAATAAACAGCTCCAATGAATACTTGATTTAATTGATACATTTAATCCAGTTTGGGCTTTTAATTGTAATCTATAAATAACGAAGAGGCTGTTTGTTATTAATTCAAACAAGCCCCGCCTTGTTCTTCTACACTTGATCTCTTCAGTGGGAGAAGATGTGAAGGCTGTGTGAGACATATTTACATGTTTGTAATGTGCAGGACACTTTCTCTACTACCGAAGTGTGACACACCTTGCTGCTGCTGAGGAGGCATGAGGACTTGCTGGGTCTGTGCTGGCTGGGCGACCTGCTGGACCTGTTGGATCTGCTGAACGTGCTGCTGCTGCTGTTGTTGTTGTTGCTGCTGCTGCTGTTGTTGTTGTTGTTGTTGCTGCTGCTGCTGCTGCTGCTGCTGCTGAGCGGCCTGCAGGGCTGCCTGTTCTTCTGTATGGAAGCCCTCCACTGCCTTCGACTGCAACAGTTTGTTTTCCCATAGCTGAAGCATCCCGGCAGAGGAAAGGAGGGATAGAGAGGCAACTTTAGTTATTAAGAAGGAGTGATGCAATAAGTAATCAACAGTGAAGACGTTCGAGAGACATGTTGAAATATTGTTCCAAATATGTGCCTCCAGTTTAAATATTATTTTAACACGTCCTAACTTTCTTCAGATCAATCCAACCTTTGCTGTACTGAGGATATCCTGAAATGTAAAAATCATCTGGTTCCTACAATACAGTGAAGTACAGCAGTGTTTCTGAAATGGGAGTACTAGAACCCCTAAGGGTACTTTGGAGAACTGCAGAGGGTACTTGAGATATTTTTAATCTTACTAAAGATTTCAGTCATGCACAATTCCTGATACAAGCATACTATGATAAGTTTGTAAACACAGGTGCACATGTACAATCTATTCTATAACTGGCATAATTTTTTGTTAATTTACTGCTGTAAAATGTTCACAGTCACAGCAAAGAAGTCAATCATCTGAAATTTAGTTTTGTGATTTACATCTTGATTTGGACATTAATTCATGTATGGTTGAAATGTAGCCGCAATACAGTGAAAAGATGTGTGTGGGGGGGGGGATCTGCCACATACATATATAAACATATACATACATACAAATATATAAATATTATCCCTATCCAGATATGCATAGTATATTATTGAAAATCATATTGAAAATGAATGAACATGGGGCTGAAACACACCTCACACACACATCTGTAATAGTGATATTTGATTGTACATAAGAACAAGCGTGCTGGGTACTGTTACCGTTTTCAGTTCCAAAAGCACTTGCTCATCCACTCCTTCGTCCAGGAACAGCTCTCGCACCTCGCTGATCACATCCTCTATCACAGACCTATAAAGTTTAGGCTACAAAGAAGGCAGACAGAGAACACATTTCATTATGTGGTGGGTACCTTCACCCTTCTGCAAAATAATAAAATAAAAACAGAAGAAAAAAAAGACTGGTATTATTAATGTTTACCAATTCATCCTGGCGTTTACATAAAATTTGTAAAAAGTGTTTAATAGGAAATCATTAGTTAACTTACTAACTATGCTGAACAGCATGTAAAACAGGATATATTATGAAACTTTTAATTTCCCTCTGCCAAATAAGCATGAAATAGTGTTATATTATAATATCTGGCGAATAGCTTTTGTACTTTGAAATATCAACAAGTCCTTGCTAAATAATCCCTGGGATTTAGCTATAAAGTATGCCCGACACAGTGTGGTGTAACACTAATCCATATGAAGCAGGTCTGTCTGTCTGTCTAAACTAGGTAAACAGTGTATATCCCTCGGGGTCCCCTGTCATGTAGGCTATGGCGCATAACAACAAATAATACAAAATGTCTACAAACGACACAATAGTCGCATTCACAACCGGAAAATACGATACAACGTACACCTAAAAGCGACAGACACGTCGGCCTGTCGCACTGCGTTGCATTGTCCCAAATGTCCGCAGCACGGACCTCGGTCTCTCCTTTCCTCCCCCTCGGCCTATCTGCTCCTCCACTATTTAAAGCTCAGTCTGGTGTTTATATGTAGAGCCAGTGACGTAGCGTCGAGTAGCACCTTCCCATCCCGGGCTAGTCTATATTAGAGAGCCAATATGGCTGTATAAAACGAGGCAGCAGCGAGGAGGAGGGCCAGAACCGGAGCGAGGGGCGACGTGGAGGCCATTTTACGGAGCGGCAAACTGCGCGCTCGACGGCCCTGTTTTTTAATGCTTCATGTGCCGGAATGTAAAGGATATTTCGGTGTTTTTATCGAAGAAGTGCTCTGCTTTGTAGGCTATACGTGGTAAATAGTCGGTGGGGAGAAGGGGTAGAGTCGTATGATATGGGTAAAGTGGTGGTGCCTTCAGGTCGTGGAAATGGTGGACAATGATGAGGCGTTCAAACTCAGCGTTGACGACTATCGGATCATTTTTGTTTTACTTTTAATAAAATAAAGCGCAACTCGTTGATGCGAAGGTGCTTGGCGTACATATGCGTTTGAAAGTCCATTTTAAATTCAAACCAATGTAAGCTTATTGTTATCTTTTCTCATTTTGTAATCGAAAAGCAACGCAAAGACCGAAAATCCATTTTATAACCAACTCACCCATGACTTAAAATCAAATCCATAAGTCAAAGAAACACTATCATGAACCAACCAAGCTGATGTAAGCTTCAATAACGAAAAGAGCCAATTAATTAACACCATTAAAATGCATTTCTCATCCCTACTCTGTCATTTCCAAGCTCTCTTTGCTTTATCACAAAACCTGCTCCTCGTCCTTTAGCAATCCCTCCAACCAGACGGTTCTCTCTCTCAGAGAACCATCTAGTTTCTAAAACTCATGAAAATGGCCGATTGACTGAACTTAAGTGTTTTATTTCAAATGTCAGTGAAGTGATTGTTAAAGCAGATTCTTTGTACTGAAATAAATAAAAATCAGCTCGTCGACAGCTCCCATTATCTTTACCCCATTTCCCCCGCTGACAATCCTTAGAGATTGATCCTTACCACTGGGTTCGAGTTTGCCGAGCTCGCCATTATACGCGTAGTGTAAAACCACACGGAAATAGGCGAGAAATAGAGCCAAAAATTACGAAAAACGACTTAAAACAACTGGGAACGGTATTCTAAAACAGCCGGCATTACTTTTGTAAATAAAACACAGTTTATACGGTCTTATTTACAATCCCGGGCTGCGACTCCCCAGCCGTCCTTCTTCCGTCGTTGTCCTGCTTTATATACTGAGCGATGGAGCTGCGAGTGCGCGAGACATAGGGCAGGGTCAAACCGCACATATCGCGAGATTTCGAGCGGAGTATGATGACCAATCAATTTGCCTGCTGCTGGGAAATGAAGTTTAAATATGGTAAGCTGACTGGTAAATAAATGTGAACAGATCGCATTAGCTTCATAATGCTCGGTGATCTTGTTTGCTGAATTGGACCAAATGTAAATATTACGAACCATTTAAATGATTTAACTCAAAGCTCCGTGAGCCATGCTTACTTTAAGCTTCAAGTTGTATTTAAATTGACACTTTATATTTAGGTTAAAATGTTTCGTCTACTTGCACTGTTGTTAATTTACTGCTCTGAGTGCCTTTGAATTGCCCCCCGGGGACAAATAATTTTTTTTGAATTGAATTGAATTCCCACACATTCGTTGGTAATTGGTCTTCCATGGGCTTCATAGAGTATACTGGTTTTTCATTGAAGAAGAAAAAAGAACATTTTTTGTTTTTATTTGTATTAAAATGGTCGTAATTTACAAAATGTGATTTGTGACATGGATTGTGACGTGTTCAAAGATTTGTTAGATTATAAAATTACGCCTAATAATTAGCCTATAGCACCACATTACAAAACAAACAAACAAAAGGACATATATAGGCTATATTAAATATTTAAGACACATAGGCCACACATTAACGTTTCTGTACTTTACACATTTCTTCAAGGGTTTCATCATTTTCTTGGTCTGTGCTGAATGTTGGTGATCACACTTGGGAAGCAGTTCTCTTTTTTTTTTTTATAATAGTAGGCCTATTTCTGTATAGTATTTTCTTATGGGCTCCGTTCATTGTAATGTGGTGTTTTGTACTATTGTTTATAAATCTACAGTCAATTGACGGCTGCTATTTCTTGAGTTTAAAATATAATCTTTTATTTCGAATGAGACAAGACAACTGTTAAATAGTATAAACATGTGGTAGTATGAAGATGTTAAAAAGAGCTCAACAAAAAAACCCAATGTAATTGAAAAGCCTCGTACACATATATCTTGCAGTATAATGCAAATGTATTGGTAATATATTAAATGATAACAGCCATTCATCTGCATGGTGAATACTTTCTTTTGGAACATCATTTGTACATAGCTTTGCTGAAATATCTGCAGGATGAATGCAGGATGTTTATGTGTAATGAAACACCTGATACAGGATGTTTATAAGTAACATGTTTTAAAAAGCTGCACGGGCATCACTGCCTGAAGTTGGAGAGTTGAAACTCTACTGACCAAAGCTTTAGCTGTTTGCCTCATGATGGAGTAACCATGAGCACACATGGCTTTTTATGCCATGAATCATCTATTTCTTTTCAAACTGAACTTATTGTTATGTATTTTTTTTATCTGGAAATATTTGGTGCCTTTGTTTACGTTTCAGTGGCACTTTTCATGTAGTAACCTCTAACCACCACAAGAGTGTGATCACACCTCATCTCTGAACTCCAGAAAACAAGCTCTGTTATTCTGTCTCATGACACACACACACACACACACACACACACACACACACACACACACACACACACACACACACACACACACACACACACACACACGCGCGCAACTGCTGTGGTGGTCATTCAGTAAAGGCGGGGTGGGGATTTGAGTCAATTTTTGAATGAACCAAATCTATAGGTTATATCTATTTAATCCAAAACAGACCTTTCTAGAGCAGCAGGGGTACATTTCCTAAAACAATAAAGTTTTGCAGAAAACGAGAGCTGACAAGAGAATGTTACCTCCACTTCTGTCTCCATGGAAACTTGCTCAGTGGTCATTCCATGGATATGGATGATATAGTCCAGGAAACACACCCCGCTCTGTGTGCATCAATCCACTTAACACTTCAGTGTGTCTTCTCCAAGATGGAAACTGATTTAATTCATCCTTATTTAATTTAGTTGAAATTAAAGGCCCACTTCAACAAGATGAGAATATGCATTTGAATTCACTTGTAACCTTGTTGTTTGACAAATATAACCAAGTGTTGTGAGATATTCTTTGGTGTCTCATGTCTGATAGGTATCTGTCAGAGTAAGAGATGTGATCAAACACAAAGCTTTGTTATCCGAGGCGTGTCGTCGCTACCTTTGAGTCTCACTCTCTGTAACTGAGTGGTATGATGCCCTCTAAAGATCTAGAGAAAGCACCCCCCCACCATCTTTCTTTGCTGTAGTTGCATAGCAACAGAGGAGCTGCTAGCTCCAGTTGTGTTGGTGGTGGGAGCGAGCTGCACAGGGAGGCACTGGCTCCAGATTAAGCCTGTCTCGGCTTCAATTATGAATGGGCTTCCACTGCCACACGGCTCCAAAATGGCACCACTCAGATTGATAAGGCATGGAGGAACTCTTTGGTACACTTTTACGTCTTTCCCCCGAGGAGGGGAGCTGAGTTTGACTTTAATCAGAAGTATTGAACTTAAATGATTAGAATAAGTAAATGAATAATTAACTGGCGGAAGAAGCACGGTTATGATAAGACCCTTGTTGATGGGAATATGCGAGGTTAATGATTGGGGTCAGCCTTGAGAGCAAATTAAAGAGTCTCCAGTCTCACAAAGCAGCCACTTTACCAGCAAATGGGGGGTTAGTGTTGTAGGCTGAAGTGGTGAAAATGAGGGGGCATAGAAAGGGTGTTGTGCTTTCTTGTAAGCCTTTACTAAATTTAACCATAATTTCTGAGAGGGAAAAAAAATTGTTAAATTGCTGCTTCGGTTAGCCCACATGCACTCCCTATCAGTGATGCTGTTATTAAATGTGTCATAGTAGTCAATGTGGGTTCTATTGTCTTTGATTACAGCCTTCATGTTTGAGCTCAGTCTAAAAGGAAGAGCCGTGCTACTCTTCTGCAACTTGTATTTTTTATTATTGCAACCAACTGGAAGACAATACATCACATAAACATCATTGCAGTTTTTCAGAAAATGGAAAACAAAATAAAACAACATTTATATATTTTTTGCCACGTTATTGGACAACGTTGATATTTACATGTAGTGATGAAATAGGTCTTGAAATCATTCTTTGGCAATATGATTGCACAATAAAGAGGAGAGTTGAACATTTACTGGAAAAACAAAAAACAAAACCAACACCTGGGTGTACTCTGCATCACATCTCACAGATCAATAACAGTTTTGCATTTTGACATCTCTAACCTATGGCTTTCCAATATTTAGCTCAGACAGTCACTGAAGAGAGAAAAAAATGGCAGTATTGTAGATAGTTTTTGTCAGAGAGAAAACAAAACAAAAAATGAAAATGCGCATTAAAACATCAGCAAAAAAATAAATAAAAAAATGGCGACATTTTTTTTCCGCTGTATGTTTGGCAGGTGTGAAGAAACACTTGTTTTAGGGGCTGCTCAGGCAGTGGAGTATACTTCTTTTGCTATAAAATGTCCCAGGTTCATGTTATGTGCTGCTCTGTTTTTCCACGACTCGTAGGTCAGGAGTTCATCTCTCCTGCATGTCACTGAGTGAGTCAGAAGGGGAAAAAAAGGTGGTTACAAAGGCAACACATCCCCCCCCTCTCGACATGCCTCTTGCCAGCTGAACACGTTATTAGTCACCACAACAGTGGATTGTTACCGCAAATACAGCAGAGTGCTTGACCCGGGGCCGCGGGGGCACTCAGACAGATATCAGACGAGAGACGGATGGCACACAACAAGAACACTGACAGCTTCTCCTTTAGCCTTTTTTATAAGTCGGCATGGATACCATACAAAATGCGAAGCCAGTGATGCATGCTACAGGTGGCAAAGGACTGTACCAGTGGATGGGACATGCATTTGTTTGCCCGCGTGGCTCTCTGACAACAGCTTTGAACTCAAACTCGTGCCCGACTCTGCTGCTACAAACAAACCCCGGCCTATGTTTCCCCCCAAAAAGCTGCTTTTAAATACCTTGCAACTCTGCAGAGCGATGTAGGGAAATTAATACTTGAATGCATTCTTAGTTTCAGCAAAGGCATGCCGAATCATGGCAGTGCAGTGTTTATATCACTTTTAATGCAAAGATGTCAAAACTCTGTGAATTTCATCAAGTCAGTGTTTTCATGACCCTAAGTGAGATACACATATACCTCATAGGCAAAATCAAAAAGAATAACCTCTGATCTCCAGATTGGGCTTTTGAGAAAAATATGACATCCATATTGGCAGGTAATTCCTTTAAAGAAAGGGTAAACAATACTGAGTGTAAATCAATAAACAAACTTTTTTTCATCATTAAAGCCCCTCACCTACATTCCTCTCTTTTCAATTCAACTCCCAAGTAGCCTTTTTTTTTTGGAGATATGAGGTTCTTTCAGGACACCTACAAAGTTTTCCATGCCGTCTGATCCACACAAATACACAAAACGATGCTGATGGAAAGTAAGGACACATGTACATTTACACACAGGAGAGAAAATAAACAATACTGTTATAAATAAAGACAGGTAAGCATGTCAGAGACATGACGACAGAGGTACTTAGGGCAGGCAGGCAGGCACAATGTTAAAGGGTGTGTGTTCCTGGGCACACAAACTCACACACTCTACACATGTGTTCGGAAATAACACGGAGGTTAACAATGAACACCCAAAAATCACTGTACAGGCAGAAGAAGACGGAAGCCCACCCCTAAGAGGAGATTCGGCTGGCCTACCCAGCCTGAACCCGAAAGCCCAGGGGTGGTACCCTAGGGCCTCTAATTGCAGAGTGATCTCCCACATTCCTCCCTGAAGACGTGTCTTTGAAAGCCCACTCAGAAAAAAACAAAGGAACCCAAAAGATTCAAAGAAACAAACAAAAAAAAAACAATTCCGATATAATCACGGGTATAAGAATTGGCGGCAAAACTTTTTTTCTTTCCTCTAGGATCAAGGTTTATATGAAAATAAGTCATGCTTCATGCTAAATACATCGTTTATCTTACATGATCTTTGAATAAAAAAGATTTGCTTTTTATCTTATTTACAAGCACCCATGCAATATAACTGAGAAAGTCCTGCAGGTCAAATTGCTTCAATTAAGAAAGGAAAAAAATAAAATATTTTCTAACCTTTTTACAGAGTTGTCCACACGGGACAAATTGCTTATATCTTTATGAGGGTAGAGTGAGGGTAGAGTGAGGGTAAACAGACACAAACAGAAAACTAAACCCACAGTTCATGTATATAGTTCTTTGACGTTGTCAAATGTTACGGAAGGTGTGGTAGCTGCTGGTAGCTATGATATCTATACCAGGTGTCTACGTCTATGGACAGAAGTACTGGGGAGGTTTTTAGGGACGTTTACATTATGCAACAACAACAACAAAATGAAGGAGATATTGCCTCAGACCCGGCACACTATCCATCTCTATGGTGATAAACATGACCTTTTTTTTTTATTTTAAAATATCTATTCTTAAATACTATGAGTGCTCTTGAAATAAAACCATGTCTTTACCCATGATGCTTCTATTATAAGTGGCGTTAAATAATCTTAAGTGCATGAATATATATCACATTGGGTTTTACAATTATTTTGACACTTAAGGTCGTTCTCCTCTTTACTACTATGCCTTCTCGTTTTTTTTTTCCTGTTTTTTTTTTTTTTGTCAGCTGTCGTATCGGCTACATGAAGCAACCTGGTCGCTTGTCTTTGGCACAGTCTCACATTTGTGCTCGTGGATGTAGGCGAGTGATGCCAGCGAGGGGGCCCAAGAGAGAGCGCTAAGTCTCGTTAAATAGTGCCCCTCTCTTTCGCCGCCTCCGCCCGCCGCCTATGCTGACATCACCGCTAGATTGCTACAGATTCACATAGAAACAAACAGGTAAGACAAACAGCCATCCTCTGTGTTCAGGTACTGTACGCTCCTCAATGTGATTCAGTTTTGTCGTGGTTCAACTTGTTCAAATTAGTGACAAAACATGCTTTTTTTATGGCTTTCATCCCCTTTTTAAACAACAAAAACAACAAAGACACATGAGAAATACCCATTGATGTTAGTGTTGCTGAACATGTAGGAAAACATAGATTTTTGATATTGCCACAAATAAGTAGGATTCACCTAATGCCCTGCAGATAGATAGAGGGAGATGAGACATGTCCGTTGAGACTTATGCTGTAGTAACGATACCTGTTGACCTATTTGTGTGTCGTATATGCGAGTGTGTGTTAATGTGTGTGTGCGTGCTTTTAGCTGTATACCGTCTGTGTGTGTTTGCATGACTATGTACTTGTTCTACGTGTGTCTTTTTAGTTTCTCAGGGCTTCTTTCTGCTCCTTCTGGCCCTTGGCGGTGCGGTTTGTGATGTTGTTGAGGCAGGCTCTGACGCCAGCCAGGTGAAGCAGCGACCCCGCCGCCTCCTTCATCTCCTCGTCGTCGCTCTCCGGTGGCTTTTCTACTGTCGCTGCGCGCCGCTTCTTCAGCGGCAGCGTGTCGCTGATGCCCCTCGCTCGGTTTTTGGTCCAAGGCAGACTGCTTCCTGCCAGAGTCCCAGCTCCCGCCCCTGAACTGCGTCTCTGTCCGCGCAGGGGCTGCTGTGAAATGTAGGTAGCGGCGGCAGTGGTGACGTGAGAATCCAGCGGGATCTCCCTTGGCTCGGGTTTGACGTCTGATTCGATCTCCACGGCTATGATGTCGTCGTCGTCCAGGGCGGAGGAAGCGTCGTCGTCCTGGGATGAACATAACCTGCTGGGGGATTTGGCGGTGCTGTAGTTATGGTCCTCTTGGAGGTCCTCACTGCAGGGCGGAGGAGAGTAGCAAGATGGGCTTACCGGTCCTCGGCTTAGAAAATCTCCCAGGGATGATCTGTGAGAAGACAGAGAGAGAATAAAGTACTCTGCTGTCACACTGCCAATAGTATTTCTTTTTTATTATTTTTTATTGATTTATAACATTTTGTTTTTCATTGTTGTGATTTTTTCAGTCTTGCAAAATTTCATCTCTTGATGTCATTTCTTTTCTTTTCTGTCTGTTTGTTGCTATGTGAGCCACTTTCAGCTGCATGCCTCTATTAAAGGTGACACAAATAAGAATTGTGTTAACTTGATATGAGGTGTCCACTGCAGCAGCATTAGCACATCTGCATTGGTCTTGAAAGCCAAAAGAAAACAAAAACATGATCATCTATCACCCTGAACACTCCCTGCAGGGCCTAATGTGCACATTTCTCCGCTCCGATTAAAAGCTCGTATCTCCAGAAAAAGTCAGCCTTTACTTTCAGAAATGAGCACACTCATTTTCACACTGCCACCTTTGCATTTTTTTTCAAATGACACATTGCATTTTGAGCAGCTCTAATGCTCCCTGAGGTTGTGAAACTTGCTCAGCACATAAAGGTCCTTGCGAGCTTTAAAGTCAAAACGCCTGTGAACGACTCGGATTCTGCAACAAGCCTTTTAACCGCTGTCCACTATACGTCAGCTTCTGCAGTTTGTTGCGACACAAATTTGGCTCCATTAGTTTGCAGACGCTATTCTCTGCTAGGCATGAAAGAGCAGAGGTGTATTCTGATAACCAATAAATCAAAGACAGCTTCAGCAGCCCCCCCCCACCCCCCTTAGATGAGAGGGTTAGCATATTAATATCTTATAAGAAAAACATGCACCTCTTACAGTGATCAAATATTCACTGCATACCTTTAGAAAGACTTTGGATATGTTTAATTCATTATGCAGAGCAGGCCATCATACTCTTACTCTGCTGTGATGGATGTGCATGTCCATACATGCTTCGAATGTTCTAAGAATCATGAGGCCTCTCCCTCTAATAAACCTGTTTGTGTGTATGTGTGTGTATGTGTATGTGTGCTGGTGTGTTTGTAAGACCATTATATAAACACACCTGGATAAAATGTTCTGAGCAGCGGGGAGCGTGTGAATGCCTCTGACTTTTGGACACAATAAAGATGTTATTATGTAAACTCGTAGTGGAAAATTCGGTGCGAGGCCTTTTTAGTGTGTGTGCTTTTTGTGTTTGTTTCAAGGCTACCGTATGTGTGCATGAGGGTGTGACAGTGTATGTGAGGGAAAGTGTTTTGTGTATGAACTGAGTCCTGGCTGATATTATGAAGGTAAAGGGACAGGAGCAGCGTTAACCCACCTGATGGCAGAGGTTCTGCTCCCCACAGGGCTTACAGGTAGGGGTCTGATGACAGGGAAGAGTGCCTGGCTCCTGACACGGGCGCCATTTTGGATCACACCCCGAGGAACTAAATGAGAGAAAACAGAGGACACAAGAACTTAAACATGGAATATCCAAGTTTTTTTTTTTTTTAGTCACAAACAGTCCACACATCAGTTTCATAGCACAAAGCAAAGACAGAGGAAGATTTTCAAAACCTCAGTAAGACATGGGAGCAGCTCGATAAGACTTCACTGACCGTCTGAGGAGGCCAACAGGGCAATATTGATGAGCAAGGCAAGGTTAAATTGAGCGGGAAAGCGTCATAAATGAGTTAAGGCCGCTGTGAATCATTCAATTACCAACGACCGCTGGGCTCGGCTAAATCCAGCCTGTTTGATGCTGAGGGCTGAACAGCAGGCAGCTGGGCCTGAAGAGGAGATGCCACCAATTTTCGAAATGTGCGATTTTACTGATTTGAGTGCAGAAAAATTGCCAAAGTTTTCAAAGCTGCAGCAGAATAATGGGCTCCAACCTTCAGGGGTAAGAAGTTTAGAATGACGAAGACTTCCCTAGAAGTTGTCAATCATGTCAACAACAAACGGGGATGACGATGGCCAGGGTGGAGAAAGAAGCCATATAACCATGCTAACCAATTTTGAAATGAAACTTGAGAACCTATCAGAAATATTCTATGGCGTTCCATCTAAGTGCCATTTACTCTGCTGAATAAACAGGCATATGGCAACCCACCTGGAGTTTAGCAAATAGTGCTTTCTCTGATCTAATGAGACAGAAATTGAATTCTCGAGTCTGAAAGCCAGGCAATTCAACTGGCAATAACCAGGTGCTGCTTATCACCTGGCTATCACCTGGTGTCCCTGCTCTGAAGCAGGATTTTGAGCACCTTTATACAAAATGAGCCAAACAGGTGCAAAGATTCCCCCTTCAAGCAACGCGACACCCTGAACCCCCCCACTTCCAGCGTAATGGACTGGCTTTAGAACAAATCCCTTGATGTCCCCGAGAGGCCAAAAGAAAGCCTGGACTTTAAACCATTTGAAAATCTGAGGGGAGAACTAAAGATCATGGTTTACCTCTGCTCATATTCCAATCTCAAAGCTTTGGTCCATGTCAACGCATCTTCAACCTACTGTGTAAATGTTTTAGCTTTCTATTTTAAATGCAATCCATCAAAGGAATTGTTTTAGAATGTTTTCTTGAGTTTTATGAGATTTAGACAAAAAAATCCCTACAGCTCTCATCTGTGTAGGAAATAGCAGCTTGTTAGCTTAGCTTAGGGTTACCACTGTAAAAAGTGATACAAAGTGTCATTTTTACTCCTCTTTTGTTTGATTGATTAAACAAAAAATAGATAATATGTTGATACAAGGACTTTTAAAGTGCAGGATATAGCCAGCTAGCTTTTTATCCCTGTAAACTAATCTTTATCTTAAGCTAAGCTAACAGGCTGCTAGCTAAAGCCTTATATGTGCAGCACTGGCATGAGTGGTGTCATTCTTCTTGACTACCTCTCAACAAGACAGTGAATAGGTCTATTTTTTACTTTGTAATAATGATCTAGGTTTAAGAGTTGACCAGTGGAAAAAGGGGCTTTAAGAATTAAGTGTGATGACATTGAATGAAAGGAATCCATTTAATGCATCACTGTGTCCACAGGCTTTCTGAAAATACTGGAACATTTTCTGGTTCAGAACTAACAATATCTCAGTACAAAGATACTTTGGTGTAAAACCAAACTAAAGAACACCCAAACAAATATATTTTTTTCTATTGTAGCCCAAGTTTTCATCAAGGCTACAGCCTTGTATGAGTTCCTCCTTGTTTAACAAGCTGACAATTACTGAATGGACTGAAAAAGGAAAATCTATAGTACGTATTTGCTCCATCTCTGCAACAGCTGTGGATCTACATCTTTATTCTTTGTGTTGAAGACACAGAGAGATAACAGCAGAGTGTATGTATACATCTGAGCCAAAAGCTCTCATTACTCAAGGAACGCTGCTCAGCACAGCCATCCCACGAAAACAGCTGTCATTCTCATCTCCAGGGTCAGTTTGCATTTTGCAAATGATGACCTGCTGTTTGCTTTATCTGCCACAGAAGCATTTGTTAAGGAGTGAATCCCAGTTACTATTCACCATAGCATCAGTATACTGAAGTTGTTGTTTAAATCTTGTTTGTAATCCCAATAAATGTATGATTAATGTTATGAGGAGAAATTGAACTCGCCCTGGGTTCCACAAGTTTTCATGGCCAGACCCCCCAGAAAAACAACCCAGAACATTTATTTGCTTCATGTTGTAACACAAAAAGATGAATTATGTTTTTTTTGTTGTTTGTCATTGTTGGAGTGTTTCTGTAGCCTCTCCCAGTCCGGCTGTGTCCACAGTAATCTTATTGACTCCAGTTAGTGCGGCTCTGCCCCTGATATCTCCAGCTCTGCTCTCCATAACCTTATAAGTAGGTCCCTGTACAGAGTCTCTTTTATAATCTTGATCACTCGCTGCATGCTCGTGTGTGTGTGTGTGTGTGTGTGTGTGTGTGTGTGTGTGTGTGTGTGTGTGTGTATGTGTGTGTGTGTGTGTGTGTGTATGTGTGTGGTGTGTGTGTGTGTGTGTGTGTGTGTGTGTGTGTGTGTGTGTGTTGTGTGTGTGTGTGTGTGTGTGTGTGTATGTGTGTGTGTGTGTGTGTGTGTGTGTGTGTGTGTGTGTGTGTGTGTGTGTGTGTGTGTGTGAGTGGGCAGTGCATTAGGTCTCCCCGGGTTGATGTGCAGTGCACCCAACTCTCCCTCCCTCCTTCCCAACCTCGCTCCAGTCAGGCTTTGGGTTGCCATAGCAACGCCTCCCCTTCCACATGCCACAGAGTGGTAGATCATGCATCAGCAGAGAAAGTGATAGAGAGAGAGAGAGAGAGAGATAGAGAGAGAGAGAGAGAGAGAGAGAGAGGGAAGGGTGAAAGGAAATACTGAGCTCTGTTTGACAAGGCCTCTCATAGCTCAGCGGCACACTCCTGACCAACACTGTTTACCCGACACACACACACACACACCATTTTTTTCTTCTTGTTTTTTTGGTTTGAATGTCTCAGCAAAACCTTTCTCTTTGTCTTTCTAATTCCGTCCCCTCTTGTTGATTTCTTCTCCTCTCTATTGATCTCGCTGTTGTTCTATGTATAGTGGTGACTCATATCACCAACTGAGCATGCATGCTGTCTGTGCAGGTAAAAAGAACAAGGAACATATGCTAAGGAGATGGTGTGACAAACTAAACAGGGGGAAAAAAAACAGGCAGCAAATCTTCTAAGGTCTGTCCTCTCTCACCAAGATTGAGCAATACATTTTACAAGCTGAAAGCAGTAAAAAAAAAAAAAAAAAAAAAAAAACTCAGATTGGTAGCAGAAAGCAGAACGAGCTCAGGAAAAAATGTAAATAGAAAAAAGAAAAGGTGTCTGTCGGAATCTCAGCCTTTTTCCTGGAGAGAAAATATCCTCTAGTCTGCCTTTTTTTTGCCTCTGTCTGCTCAGCTGCTCTGCCTTTTCTGTCTGCTTCCTACGTCTTCGCCCGCCCGCCTGCCTGTTTTCCAGGGCAAAGCAGAGCCCTCAGCCTCCCTCCCCTCTCCTATGCTCTCATGTGCCGTACACGCACTCCTCTGCTCTCCTGTTAAATGAGTTCCACATGGCCCTGCAGGCTGCACTCTCTGCACGGCTGGCAGACACACACCGAGTACACACATAAACACACACACACACATACACACACACACACACACACACACACACACACACACACACACACACACACACACACACACACACCCCTCCAAGTCCCACAAGCAGTCCAAAGGTCCAAAGGTCAAGCCCGGCAGACCTTGAGAACGCAACTGTTTGAAAGTGGCCTCTCGCTCAGTCAAAACACCCCCCTCCTCACACACACACAAACCCACACACTCCTGGTTATGTGCCTTCTTGGCTGCCGTGTGTTGAACTGAGTACAGAGTTTGAGGGCAGGATGCATACTAATGTTGTCTGACTGACTGACTGACTGACTGACTGACTGGCTGACTGACTGACTGACTGGCTGGCTGGGTTGCTGGTGGGCTGAGTATGCTGGCAGTTTAACTTGATGGCTAATCAGCTTGTCTATCCGACACTCCAGCTGAGAGTCTAAGTGGCTGGCTGACTGACGTGCTATGACTTACAGGAAGGGGGGGGAAGGAAAAATAACAGCAACACTTAATTACTGTAACTTAATCAGCTGTTTAAACACAGCGACAAACACAGGTCACATCAGGCTGAAGGTTAACCAGGACATAAACTTTGCACTTTAAGCTTTGAGTCAATCTTTTTTTTTCTGTCAATGCCTACATTTTTTCACATTTCCTCTGGTGAAGTATATTTCTGTATGTATGACATAAAAAAGATCAAATCAAATCAAAACTTGATGGGGTTCATCAATTTTAAAAATAATGTCTATCTGAATGAAAACAGTTTATTAAACATCGTCTGTGACTCTGAAAGGAGCTCGTCACATAAATAAAGCGTTTTCAAAGTGTGCCGGTTGGCCTAGTGGACAGGTTGCCCGGCCTGTCTACAGACGGCCCAGGTTCTACTCTGACCCTTGACTACTTTTCTACATGTCAAACTATTCTCTCCATTTTCTTCTGTATCCACTGTCCTGCCAACGGATAAAGGCATAAACAACTCAAAAATAGATGAATATTTTTCTCACTATCTTTTCGCTAACTGTACAAGTTCTCAGAGGTAATCAGAAAATGTTCTTCAGTAAGGATAAGATGTCATATGATAAATATGACACTAGTCCATTGCAACATCTTTGTATTTAAAATTGAACATAGAAACGTTTTTCTGTTATCTGGGAAACACTGTCTTTGCAGCTGACAGATAAATAAAGCCTTGGAGCAGGTTTTTAAATTACTGCATCTAAAAATAAGGTTATTTTATTAATGATATCAGGTGACCTAAGCACTTAAATGAAATAAGAACACTTAGACAGAGCACATCCTGTATAATTTAGCTATTAAATGATGAACTTTTGGGCAGTGGGTTGGATTAAGGACACAGCTGCCAGGCATTGTCCTTGTGTTGATCCTGAGCCGGTGCCGGGCCACTGGGAGCGGCAGATTTCAGCCCACATCAGCTCAGAGCGGAGCATTTCTGAAAGCTCTGGGAATGGGAGATGGAAGTAATAACGGAGGGCACTAACAGCCCCAAACTCACTCTCTCTGGCAGTCCAATCCCTCTTTCTCTTTTCCTTGTCTTTGCCTCTGGCTGTCTGTCACAACTTTTTCCCTTTTTTTCTGCCTGATGTCACGCCTGACCATTGGGCACTCTTCCTCCTTTCAGAAACACATTACACATTTAAAAAGTTTCCTTTTCCTGTCTCTCCCTGTCACAAGTCAGCCCTCCTGGCTGTCTTCCTCTATTCACCGTGTACACACCGTAACCATTTTCCTCTGATGTCATGCTTTGAATGAGTCGCTCAAATGCTGTGAAAGTCAGAGATGGCCGTAGTTAATCGTTACATGTAACTTTGTTAATTTGTTTGTACAAAGTTGATACTTTAAGAGGCCATGATGACTTGGAAAACTCAAAATTAGACAAGTGTCTGTGTTTAAAAATTTGAATGTAACAGAAATATTTTTGATAGATCACAACTGTCTTTACTCTAGTGGAGCTCCGTACATTTATGTTGGTCAAGCAGCATTTCATAATGAAAGCATCAGATCAGAGACAGGCATTTTGGCTTGTTATTCAATAAGCTCTTTAAAGTATAGGAGGCAGAATGTGCTTGCTCAGGTTTTTTTTTCAGGATCAGTCTTACCTTGTAAGAGCAGGGTTTGAATGTTAACGAAAATAATAATAAATAATCAGTTTTCAAAATCAATGCTCAGTCTAAAAATGACTAATAAAATTAGAGCTGATAATAAACGATTTACAAACATATGCCCAGCTCTGGTGATAGGATCGCTGTATTCCAGGTGGTGAAAATGCAGGGTGTCTAAAAACTAAGGTTTACTATGTGACTTTCAGAGTATTTGTCCAGTAGGTGTCGCACTTTAGCACCAGTCTCTCAAACCAAAACAAAGCTGGTCCTTCAGTGCACCAGTTCTATTCATCACTCCTCCTTCCTTTTGAGTTTTGACCAAGTGCAGATGTTTCTACGACTCATCTCCACTAACATTCGTTACCCAAAGATGATTTGGTACGTATTTCTTGGAAGTATTAGCCTACCAAAAATGTAGTCTTATCTCCTGTTTGGAAAGTCTGTCGGTTCTTCTTGCATGGTTCTCTTGCGACAAAACTGCGATTATGCCTCTACTAACAAGGTACCTGAGTGGGCGGGGCCGTCTCTCTTGGACTGGGATTGGTTCACGTGATTGAAACATGTTTGAGCCTCTGAGCGAAACATAGACAAGCTAAAGAAGCACTTTCCAGAGCTAGAGGGAGAACAACAAGCCTAGAGGGAGTTTGACAGATAATCTGGAGGGATGTTAGGCCTTATTTCAAGGTCAAACAACATTGTTTTTGAACCACCAACGGCCAGTTTTAGCATGTTAACACTTTCTACCAAGTAAATTACTACCTAGCGTACTGTAGGCTACACTAATTTAGCATTACATTAGCTATTAAGCTAGCACAGTTGAAATACGGCTAATAGCTAATGCATGGCTTGAAGGTAAATTCCTTGCTAATGTAATGTTCGCTATAAACTGCATCGACAACTTTCCTATTGTACTTATAGCATTATTATCAAGTCAATGAGCTTTTAGCTACTTTTAAACTAATGCTAGTTCTAAATATTTATTGGCTAAATGTTATGGGTTATCAAATATGTTGTCCAAACGTTCAAAAAGACCTCCAGATTTCCACTGTCTTTTCAGCAGCTGATTAATCGAGAAGCAGAAAAATGATTATAATTTTTGAGATAAACTTCAGTTTTCAAACTCACAACTTTGAACACAGCAGTTCGACTTCATCGCAGCATTTGGGCCTCCCACTCTGAGCATGACATCCACGGAAAATGTGCGCAGAGGGGTTGTCTGTCTATCCTTCAGTCTGCCTGTCCAGCCATTCAGACACATCACTCTCTGACTGTGTGCGTCTAGGGGGAGTCCAGGTTTTCAGACACTCTCTCCAGCCCCGGCTCCTTGACCATTACCACTCCATTATCAGCAGCGATGGAGGGCGCGCCGCAGACGCCTAATGTATCCATTTCCCCCTCCATTTAGGACTCGGCGGCCCAGCGAGCTACCGGAGTGCTCCCTGATTGGGATTGAATGTCCATTTAAACTGCTGTCCAGCCACCAGGGAGGAGGTCGAGGAGGTTGGGGGAGGAGAGGAAGGGGAGGAGATGAGAGGGATAATGGGAGATACTTGGAAAAGGAGGTGTGTAAGAGTTAAAGAGAGAAACTGCATGTTGTGTTGAATGGAGAAAAGGAGGCAAGGGGGATTGCTCCCCAGCCAGGGATTTTGAAGCTGAGATTTCCTCTCCCTCAATCTTTCTCGCTCTCCCTCTCTCTCTCTTGCTGTGTCTCCATCACTTTTTCTTTTTTTATTTTTTATCCTCAAACTTTCAAATACGCCTCCGTAGGAAAAGCATCCCTCCTCTGGCAGCGAGCCAAGTGTCAGAACTCAGCGCTCGGTATTCTCAAGGTGCGCTTCTAAAAAGAGGGATTTGGAATTGAGATGATTGGAGTTGGCACATCGGAGAGGGCGGAGGGAGAGTAAGAGGGTGAGACAGAGACAGAAAGAAAGAAAGAAAGAAAGAAAAGAGGTGGGGGATCACATACATACTGTACAGTACATCACTAGCGGAGGTGAAGTGGTACCTTGTAGGAGAACTCCTCCGTTCTTTCTGAAGAAGGGACTCCCCGACCACAATGGAGGACTAAAAAAAGGAGAGAAGAAGAAGAAAAGGAAGAAGAGAAAACTGGTCAATCATTTGATCATGTTGCAGCAGCCAAACCAACCCAGCAGGCTTCATCACAAGGCAGATAGCAAGGCAGGAATTTGAGCCCATAAGCCGGCGCTTCTGATTATAGTGATTAGATTCCCGGGTGTCCCACTGTTGCCATTATTCCCTGTGATTACCTCGGAGAATTACAGCCTCGCCGCTGTAGTCCATGGGGGTAATTTCTCATGACAACCCCCCATCGCTGCCCGCCACTAGTCCATTTACACACATTTAAAAGGAAAAAAAAAAAATCATCAACGCACACACTTTTAACACGCACTCTTGTCACAGGGAAATGTTTAAGACAGACTGATTTGCGTACAGTGTGGCGCATTAAAACACACACTTACACTTGTACTGCACACACACACACACACACACACACACACACACACACACACACACAAAGATGAACACACAAAACCGGGGACTCAGTTTAGGTGATCATTGCACCACTAATGAGGGAGGTAATGACGGCATTTCTCACAGAGATGGAGACATCTTCACTCATATGCACACACAGGAGGACAATAGAGACAGCGCTGCGGGTGAAGCCATCATTTTAAGGCAGAAAGGGAAGGATGGAGGGATGGGGAAAGAGGGGAAAAAGAGAGAGAGAAAGAGAGAGTGAGAGGCTGAAAGAGTTTTTCCAGGTTGAGTGGTCTTTAGCTCCCCATTAGGCAACACGTCTGACTGCTCTCTGCTCTCTCTCTGAAGCCAGACAGGCTGTTCTCAAACACAGTCACTGTGTGTCTGACAACATGGATCTTGGTCATATACACACACACACACACACACACACACACACACACACACACACACACACACACACACACACACACACACACACACACACACACACACACACACACACACACACACACACACACACACACACACACACACACACACAGGAAAGAAAACACCTGGAGACGCTGTGAACTCTTGAGAAAAGCAGCACACTCGTTCCCACTCATCAGGAGAGTTTCCTTTGTAATGTGAGTCCTGTTTTATGTGCTGCTCAATGAGAGGATTTGGACGTCTGCACTTGTGATGTGGCTCTCACCTCAACAGATGCACGCACACACAAACGCGCACACACACACACACACACACGCACACGCACACGCACACGCACACGCACACACACGAACACAGCAATACGAAAAAAAGCAAAAGCAGCAAACGCAAATTTCAGCCCTGAGCCACCTGCTGTTGCCATGGAGAGTTGCCACATTGCGTTGCCACGGCGATAACATATTTTCCTGCGCTAACAGCCTGTCTGTTTTCCCTACCAACCCCCCCTCTGCCCATCTCATCCCCCCTTCTCTTCTCTCTTTTTTTAAACTCTTTTTTCAAGCTTTTTCTGATTCCCTTCACACTCTCTCTCTCTCATTCTCTCTCTCCATTTCTAACTCTCTTCTCTTTCCTCTTTTTTTCCATCTTTATCTTTCACTACCTTTTTTGTCTCCCGTTCTTACGCTCTTCTCTCTTTCTCCATTACTATCTTTCTCTCTCCCTTTCTTACTCTCCTCTTTCTTTCTTTCTTATTCTCTCTTCCCTTTCTCGTGCTCTCTCTCCCTTTCTTACTCTCCCCTCTGTCTCTCTCTTTCACTCTCTCAACAAATGGCTTCACAGGGCGACAGCACCTGCCTTATACTACATGTGTTGCCATGGCGGCGTTCCCGTTGCCAAGGAGACCCTGTGCATTTAATGTAGTGGGCGAGGGGCTAAACTCGTGGCAGACGCTCGTTCTGCATCTCAAAAGCAGCCCCCACCCCACACCTCCACCCCAACATTTTACCTCAGCTCTTTTTCTCTGAGGGAGGGAGCGGAGCTGGAGGGAGAGAAAGAAAAAGAGGGAGAACGGGCTCCTCCCCAACCCCCTTGAGACACCCTTCCCTCCTTCCATCCATTCTACCCCCCCCCCCCAACCCCCCCGCCCTTCTCATCCAGATGCTGATGGGGTGTGAAGGAATGCACCATGGCGCTGACCTCCTACCCAGCATGCTCTCTCTCTCTCTCCTCCTTCTCTTCTCTCCTGCACAAACACACACGCGCACACACATATGCATATGTCATCCACTCACACATTTGTTAACGCATGCATAGGATACAAACATTCACATACACACACAGTTGTATTGAAACACACAACTGCACTGCCTTTCTCTCACACACACACACACACACACACACACACACACACACACACACACACACACACACACACACACACACACACACACACACACACACACACACACACACACACACACACACACACACACACACACACACACACACACACACACACACATGCAGATACAGTCACACATATGCACACACTCGGCAGGTGGGGGTGGACTGTAGCGCTGTGAGTTATTACGGTCCATGAAAAACCAAGAGGTGTGAGCGACAAAGAGTAGAGGACAAAGAAGCATCGAGGCTCTCTCTCCATCTCTGTCTCTCTCTCGCCCCTCTTTTCTCCATCTCTCCACTCCACCCAATATCTCTCTCCCACCTACATCTCCATCCCCTCATTTTTTCTCCCACTTCCGACTTGTGTGGAGCTGCTCGAGACAGTCCTTGACCTCCACATAATAGACATGCTGTGCAGCCATTCTCAGTCATTACGCTTCATAACATAATATTCTTCAGAGTGAGTGCTCTTGAGAGAGATATTGTGTTATATTGATTGGAGCCCCGGAGTTCATAGATATGTATAAAAGAAACAGTTAATACCTCATCACATATTCTGGAATAGACTAGATTAAATTAATGTTCGCCTGACAAGGTTTAATTAAGATTCATATTCCGAACCTACAACGCACAAAAAACATGCACATCTTCCAACAGTGGCAAAGCTTAAATATTCATGACTTTTTTTTTTTACAATGTTACATTTTTGAACAGGATTTTACAAGATTTATAGAGTACGTCTCACTCTTGCAAAAACCTGAAATTTTCAGGGTGAGTTTTATGTGCGAACGCAAACATCCAAATTATTCCCCCGCTCTTTATCCAGAGTTTCTCCTGCCAGCATCCTCGCAGAAAGTCCCAGCGAGCTGATGTGAGAAGCGACAAGATGTAATCTGAAGAATTTACCTCGGACGAGTTGTAGAGGGTGGTGGCTTTAATTCTCTGTGAGTTCATATGTGAAAACGACTTATTAATATAGTTAAGCTTTCCATGCTAACTCTAATTTAAATGGAGTGTTTCTCCATTAAGATTACAATTACCCCCTAGGGGTACTTAAGGGAACTGCAGGGGATATTTGCCCTGTGAAAATACAATTAAAACAATGACATTTCAATGACATTTAATAAACCATATTTCATTATGACTATTTCTATTTTCAATGTTACTGTTAAAGCTCCTATGAGTGTTGTGTTGACTTTGGCTCCCCCTGTTGACAAAGTGGAGCTTTGCAGATCCTGTCGTATACTGTAGTGTTTTCTGACAAAAAAATCAAATACGTTTTTATTTTTCCCCGTCAAAAATGCAACTCATGATGAATCTCTGACGTAGGAAAAAAATAAAAAAGGCTGCCTTGACAGCGTGCTGTTAATCGATTGGTCTGACACCAGAGTTTCAACTGTGGCAACAAACTGAAACACTTCAGGTGTGTGTTTTTGAGTAACAAGGTATTCGTTTTGTTATTAAGACGTAAAGTCTGCCAACCAGAAGTTTTATGAATATAATAAGCGAGCATAATTGAAAGTGATGAATAATTTCACAACGAGGACAAATGATCAGGAACATGTCCTCTGACAAAGCCGTCCTAACTCAAGGTCCCCCTTACAGTTTTACCCCCGTGTAGTTTTCAGCTGTTTCACATGATCCTCGTTATTCTCTTGACATGGAAATAGTTTTAAATGACATTTTTTCAACATCTGCATTTCAACAGATGTTAATGTGTGACACAGGTAGAAAGCTACGCAAAAAGATGAACAGTGTCAAAGATAAGTGGACACTGAGTTTAGTATGGATCTCTATTCACAGCAGTTCAAAGTGAACACATGTTCCATTCCCTATGCGCATTTTGATTAACTGTGATCTGCAAGCTCCAAGCTGTACAAATCTGTTTTCTGTTCAGTTCTATCTAGCAGCACGATTGTCACAAGTTACTTACTTGACTGAACTTTACATTTGTGCCTTCACTTTAACATTTAAAAGCTGCTGAGGAATTAGAACAGCTCGTGTTTCCCTCCTCCTGCTTCTGTTGGGCTCTAAAAACCCCAAAATAGGATTTCATGAATTATAAACGACTTAGATCAAAGTTTTATTGATATTCCATTATATCAGACGGGGTTTCACAGCATCTCGTGAATTATCTTTTACTTTCTCAGCCTTACATGTTAAATATCTGTGAAAACTTTAAATCTAGCTGCTCCAGTTTGTGACAGAGCAGCCGCTGACTGCTGAAGGAGTTAAAAAAGCATATAAGTGGTGTTCATGTTTTAGAACATTAGCTACAAATTGGGCATACTGTACATGCTGTGCCTGCGCTCTGCATCGCTGCTGGCCAATTTCTAAAGCACACCATAAATTCTTAGATTGATTTTGTACTTTCCAGGCAGCTGCTGGTTTCCATTAATCTATGTATGCCACAGAAACTACAGAGATCTGAAAGAAGCCATGCTGTCCAATCTGAGGTAGCGTTAACGAGCCTTTTCACGTTTTGACAAAGTTGTGGTTGAAAGAAGTGACTTTTTGAAAGCTTTCCTCTTCAAGGATGTTCAAGGATGCTCTTACTGTACATCAGTGAGTGGGATTTTTTTTTCAAAGGGATAAAAAAAGAAGCAAAAAGGCGATGAAAAGGCAAATGTAAATGTTAAAAGTTTCTTGTTCAGTAGCTCACTCTGCTTGTTATTGATTTATTTTTATGTCAAGATCATTTTCAATTTTAAAGAGATAATAAGTCCATGAACAAACTGCTTCAGATGGAGAAAAACATTCATCTGCAACTATTTGAAAGTAAATATTTTCCTTTTTTTATTTAAGCAAACACGATCATGACCATGTTCATGATCTGGTAAAATATTCTTGTTCATGTAGATTTTCTCTGATTCCAAATATTTATATATCTTTGTTTTGGACTTTTGGTCAGAAAACAACTTGTATATGTACTCTAAAAAAAAGTGTCTTGATTTGCAGTCCTGATGGATACAGGTGTCTGCTGGGTCAGGTAAAATAACACACACACACACACACACACACACACACACACACACACACACACACACCACTAGCACCATGCTTGCTCTCTTGCTGCTGCATGGACTCTCCTCAGGAGCGCTCCCATTCCCCACTGTGTGTCACAATGCAAAATGATCACCCTCCCCTACCTCGCTCTCCTCCCCCTCCTCCCATACTCCAACCTTCTCCTCACACCACCCCGCCTCCCCGTCCTCCTCGTGTTCCGAATCCGGCCTCCAATTTGTTCCACTTCCCCATACCTCATTGTTCAAAATGACACTTTTACATTTTATGGTGAACCAATTATTCTGTCTTACACAGTCCGCTGGCTCTGCAAGCCAACCTGCCCGGATCAACTGGGGAGCGTGGTGCGGTGGGTTGGGGTGGCTGGTGGTGGTGGTGGTGGTGGTGGTGATGGTGGTCGGGTATTCGAAAAGGGAGGGAGAAGGAGAACAAGGGAAAAGAGACGACTAATAGTAGCTCTCGCTGACACCTCCACAGGGATGGACAGAAAGAGCTGGAAACTGAGAAGTTAGCAGAGGGAGAGGATGAAGTGTGGAGGAGAGGTCAGGAGAGGAGAGTGGTGGAGGAAACAACATAGGTGGATGCTGTGGAGGTGTGTGTGTGGATGCCGCAAGGGGTCGGAGAATGAAGTGAATGTAGACAAAGGAGGATTTAATTGAATGATAAAGCGCTGGAGAGAGAGTGAAAAGAGAGGATAAATCACAGCAGGGATAAATAAAGAAGACGGAGTACAAGGGGGGGGGCAGTGGTTGTAATGTATGCCTGAGGATGAGCGGGAGGGGGTGTGGGACATTAAAAGAGGAGACAAGAGAGGGAGAAAGGAGCGGAACAGAGGAGCTGCAGGAGAGGCAGAGCAGGGGGATGGACGGAGGGAATGAAAACCAGCACTTTTACCTGCGCTGCGCCTTAGGGAGGAAGGAGGTGGGAGGAGGGATGGGAGTGAAAACAGCGGGCAAAAAGATTCAAGGAAAGGATGGGGCGGGTCAGCTGTAGAATGCCGGGGGCCAGGTGGGCGGAGAGGGAGAGACAGATGGAAAGAGAGAGAGAGAAAAGAGGTGGAGGAGTGTATATGTTTTATGTTGTATGAGCCTCAGGGCTGCAACTACCAATTCTTTTTTATCATTTTATGTATTAATAATCTTTTTCATTAATCGTTTAGTCTATAAAACATCAGAGAGGAGAGCAAAAGGCTTTCCCAGAGCCGAGGGTGACGTCGTCAACCCACTTCTTTGGTCAGAAACAGGCTAAAACCCAAAGATAATTCACTTACAATGGTCTGTAGGATGGGTTAATAGCACTGATTTCTCAAGTTGATTACATTTAGATTCACAAAGACCTGCTTTGATGTGAATTGATTTGATTCTCGTCCACTTAAGTACAGCTATTGCATGAATACAGTACAAAAGCATCTATTCTTGGAACTTCTTTTCTTTTGCTCCACATGTAAACAACACTGTTTTCTTTAAAGTATTAAGTTGCTTCAAGAGCAAAATTATTTCCCTCCTTTTTAACTGTGGACCTAAAAAAGCAAGTCAGAATACACAAAACACCACTCTTAAAAAATAACCACAGGCCTGCACTTTCTGTACAAATGCAGACCAAATGTTTTGTTTTTTTTCTGTGAAAGGATGCAGATTTATAGTGCTTAAACACTTAAACTCCTGATATTTCCAGGAGGAGCTGTGTATGTGAACGCACGCAGCAGACTTTTTCACTCGGACTTCACCCGGAGTTTTTCCTGCCAAGACCTCTAGTATTTTTTCTGCAGGAAGTCCGAGTGGGCTGATCTGAGAACAAAGCAGGATATTCTCCGTAGAATTCACCTCGATCCAATAGGAGGGAGAGTGACGTTTATATACTGTGACTGCTGCACGGTGCATAGAGTGTCTGCACGCGACCACTACGATCTCTGTGCACATAATTAAAAGGCCTATCTTTGCATTAAGAGTTCAGCCATAAATAGAAAGAGAAAATAATTTTCCAATTTTAAAAGCTTTTACTAGAAAAAGAGTCCATGTTTTACTTAACAAGACACATAATATAGATCATGGACATAATTTTTTTTTCAGTGCTAATTAAATGTAAATATCTCAGAATATTTCCATGACACATGTTTGTACTACAACTCCAAGTTTGATCTGCTAAACTGTCGAAGCTGCAAAAACATTCATTTCTACCTGCATCGTACTTGTAGGAAGGTGTGTGTTTTATGGGACCTTAGTAAAATCAACACACTTGAAAAGAAAGAGTGCCTAGTAGGTCAGTTGGAGGAGAACAATTCAATGTAAAGAAACAGAGGCCTCTGTTTATCTGCAGCTCTCCTACACGATGTAACACAGGCCAGTTACAAAAACAAAGAGACAAATCAAGTAGGTCAAAGAAGAGTAAGAAAAACTCCTTTCAATGACAGTCAGCTGATGAAAACAAAACACCTTGAGCCGTGTTAAAGTTGCTAAAGACCATTGACTGTATATCAATATGGACAATGCTTCTCCATCCCTGTCATTTATACAAAATTGAAGCCAAAATAGCTCCACCTCTGTCATATTGCGTTGGTGACACAGTATGGAGCTAATTCATGCGCAGAAGTGAGCTGGCTGGTGGACCCGCTAAAGTGCCTAATCAGAAAAATGAACACCAAACTAGACTAAAATCAGCATGATCATTACTTCTTCTCACAACAGAATCCATGTCCAAAAAATGTATTCAACGTGTGTTTAAACTTTTTAGTTTGACCCATGTCCGCTCTCTTAACATATAGGAGACAGGGTTTATGACCTATACTGCAGTCGGCCAGCAGGAGGAGCTCTACATATTTTGGCTTCAGCCCCCAGGCGGCTGTTGCTCCATCCATCTTAATATAAAGTCTTTGGTACAGCTTACTTGGCATTATCAAAGTAATGATTAGCCAAAGAAAACCGACACTTCAACATTTATTTTAAAACCATCAGGTGCAAAAGAGATGACCCCTGGAGGAAAACAACTGCTTTTACTAAATATAAAGATACATGTTTTTACCTGTTTTACAGTCGCATCAGTACATGACACAGAAGACACATTCAGACCGCTTGTGTATCACGTCTGTGTCTTTAAATATTTTGAGTCCAAAAAGGTGTGAAATCATTTGTATGTACCACGGCTCAATGTTTCAGCTCAGATGTGCCTCATCAGTTGGAGTCAAAACAAATCCGGCCATGTGCTGTAACATCTACAGTATGTGTGAATCAACATACGCCACATATGTGCGTGTCCATCTGTACCCACTTTTAATGAAAATAACAATCCTATCAGGGTTTATAAAGGAATTAACCAATCATTCAAGAGACATGTCACCAGCAATTAATCAGCCAATCAGCTCTTTTCGCTCACCTGTGGTGAAATGTCTGAGGCAGGGTGGGTGGGGAGGTGGAGGGGGTGGCCAAGCCGGGTGAGTAGGGATGGTACGGCGTCTTCTTTAGCGCCTGGATCAGGTTGTGCCGGTACTCCGGATCTATGGACCACAGAGAGCCTTTACCTATGCTCTGAAAAACAAAGAAGAAACAAAGACGTCAGTGAGAAGCACACACAAACACAACACAGCAAACTCACATGAGCCGATCGACAAGTCCAGACCTGGTTCCGGGTTTGTATTTACCAAACCACCTGTGCACACAGAATGACTCCCATATTCCCCCGCGAGGAACACGATTTAAAACATCTTCATTGCCTCCTTGCTCTGAATTGGAAGAAAATTCTTGAGGCTTTTTACTGATTAAGACACAGGGAGACTCTTTAACTTTTTCCACTCCAGAGGCGATGATCGTGTGTATTTTTAGATCAAAGCATTCCCCTCCCCCCCTCACCTAATGAAGCTGTCGGCTCCCAATCTGAGTGAAAGCAGCCTATAGATTATAGAGGAGGGAGGGATCTGGCCATGAAAATACAGAAAACAGTCTCCGTCTTTATCTCTCACCGCCTTCTCCCTGCTTTCATCTTCCTCGTCATCTGAAGGTGGCAAAATCGGGAGTTTGTGTACGACAGACAGAGAACAAGAAGAGGAAAATAAATGTTAAATAAAAAAAAAAAACATCCTGCGCCGTGTTCAGCTCACTTTGTAGTGCTCTGCGATGTGATACAGGTACAGGCTACAGGGAGGGGAGATGTCAAGACTGCGGGCTTCTGATTTCTGCAAATACCACAAGGAATCTATTAAAAAGGGAAATGTCAGATATGCCAGAGCATGTTAGCATTAATTGGAGACAAATTCTAAAACCTGAGGAGCAGTTTGTATTGAAAAAGATAAGAAATACACACTTTATGACTCCACGGGCAAGTTGAATGTTCATCATAACTTCTCTGGATATTACAGCGCCATAGTCTTTGGAGCGTCCTCTTCCAAAAAAAAAACCATCTCTCCAAGAGTGTCAGTATTTCTGGGAGGACAAGTGGCTGTTTTTCTGGTAAATAATTCAGTTATTTATGAATACTTTGCTGCAACTTCTGCAAAAAGAAACTGAAATTATGCTTCCCGTTCGTATCATGTTTATCATCCTGTGACCACTCAGATCTATCTTATTTATATATTTTATACTTTGCAAACTTCTTAGAAATTTAATGAGCAAAAGAGTCAACTCAGGGGTACAAAGTTGTTTTGCTCCTGCACACAGCGAAAAGTAAGAATAACATTGAAGACCTGTTCTGAAGTGATGAAATGATTGATAAAGTATGCTCTAAGAATCAGCCAATCAGAGACAAGGACTTACATCTTACATTTTCTAAGAAAGAGACAGAGCACAGTCTAAATTGAACCAATACATTGGCAACATTTGAAACGTGGGATTTTAGACAATGTGCAGTTTAGACAGTGTGCAGGAGTTCATCTGCAGTTTTTGTTTAGTACAAAACAAGAAATTCCCCAATGCTAGTGCTAAGGACTTCTAATGTTGCTTCTTCTTTATCAAAGAGGGTATGTTGATTGTTTGATTTTGAGTTGTATTTAAGTTCTGCAGTCGGGACAAACCAAGCATAAACCAACAAAACTTAAATATGAAAACCTGTTAAAATATGTTGAGTACATAACTTTAAATGTCACTGCAAAAGTAGGACACATCCTAAACTTCAACTGAAGCATGCACATCTGACGTCCAGAAACATAAATCCAGCTGCTAGTAGAGATGTCACAATATACTCCACTCATGATATATTAACATTTGCGATGCTCGGTTCACAATACGATTTTGTGGCAACTTCTGCATTGATGCAAGTAGCCCAGTTTATGTTCAGGTGGCCTCATTATAACTGTTATTTGTGATGCTTTTACGGAGCCTTTTGTGCTGCCATTCACCTAGGCTGCTTTACTTCTTGTTTTTATCGTTTTGAAAAGACACAAAAGGTCCATCTGCTAATTTCAAAGTTACAGGAGTAATTAAAGACATCCGACAAGGATCAACAGCAGTAGAAAATGTTTGATGCATCTGCACTCTCTGAAGACGCATAAGCTTTTAGGTTGTTGCAACATTGTCTGTTAGGTCTCTTGGTGCGGAGACACTACTAAGAGGAAGCAAGAGAAAGAGTGAGAGGGAGAGAGAGAGAGAGAGAGATGGACAATAGAATTCAAATGCACCATTCATTGCTGTTTACAAATGTGAATCACAATTTATTTTTCATTTTATCATTTTGAATCCTTCCTGAGTTTCAACTGTCCGTCTGTTCGTTATGTCCCTAGCAACAAGCATCAAATCTAGCCTCAAACTCACCCTCACCCTCATGTCTGATTTGTTCAAGAACTTTCTTGATAAACTGTTTAACAATGCAAGCTGTCTTTTCTAATGAGTGAAGACCCTGCAGAGCCTCTTTGGAAGCCCTGTGTGTCTCCTGCTCCCAGCATGTCCAGTGTATCTGTCAGAATCTCTGCTGCCATCACTACACAGTCTGACCTTGTAAGAATGCAAGAAGCTAATAGGATGTGTGTGCACTGTTGATTCCAGTCCCTCCTGACTGGATCTTTGCATCAGTATGGAAGTCGTGTTGAACTCAGGCCATATGTGCCATGTTTTGCTCTGAGTGTGTGTGTGTGTGTTTGGGACTGAGTGTGTGTATGTCGAGTTCCCTGGGGAGTGTGATATTACCCAGCATGGTCTGCTCCTGGGAGTGCTTCTATTACTGCCAGCAACGCCTCTCCTGGAGAGCATGATATTACACACACATACGCTCGCTCCCACAGAGGTGACCCCCCACTGGGCCAAATTTCCCCTTGCACCTCTAGCCCGCCAGCCGTTTGTATATGTGTGTGTGTGTGCGTGTGTGTGTGTGTAAGTGTGCGCCTACTGTCTGCCCGCTTGCCAGCCGATTAAATCAATGCTCCCCACAGAATCTCTGTCTGCCTGGGCTCCTGCTTCTGCCAAGCAGCCAGCCAATCAAAACGCTCAATCTCCAGACCCCCCCGGTCGATAGGCCAATCACAGGGCTCAGCTCACAGGAAGGGTCTGTCACCTGGGTTATAGCGGTCGCCTTGGCAACAGGCATCATCTGAGCTTGGAATCCAGAGGAGGTGAAATGGACTTTTCATTTTCTGACAAATTCAAAAAGTAAAAAAAAAAAAAAAAAAGTCAGCGTGTCTCAAAATCGATTATCACAAAAAGTGTTGCAGGTCAAAGATTGGCTTTAAGTTCTCACTGAGGTTCAACTTTGATAGAGATTTTAAAAATAGCATTCCTTTACACGGCTGGATCTGAAAAAAAAAAGTAAAACAGAGGAGTGTAGCCCTGACATTCACCTGAAACAGTGTTTGTGATCTCCATTTATATTACCTCCTCTCTCCATCCTTTGATCCCACCTGGTCACACAACTCTCAAATGAGCACTATTTTCTGCATGATTATGAGTTTAGTTTTCTGCATGCACAAATATTCACATTACTGAAGTGTTTGCAGGATTACACAACAAATAATCCACAGCTCTAAACGGTTAACCCATGCTTTTGAAAACACCTCATCCAGTGAGGGAAAACAGGCGAGGCTCTGATTTAGATTTTAAAGAGCAACTTTAAGCAACATTACTCTGAGAAGAAACAGATTTAATTATATGTATCTGTGTCACTACTGCAGTTTTCAGTAGTTTTAATAAGGGAAGGCAGCAGCTTTTTTATTTTTTTATTTTTTTTACGCCTCTGTGTTGAAACGCTGCACAGCACTGAGCCGTGCACAGGTATGTTCATGATGGAGAAAACATACGGACTAGAACATGCCTGAAACACGTCATGGTGTGAGTAAAAGACAAAAGGGGAAGAGAGAGGAGACAAAGGCAGGAGAGAAAGAGTGTGTGCGTGAGTGAGAGAGAGAGTGAGAGAGAGAGAGAGAGAGAGAGAGAGAGAGAGATGATTGTGTGTTGCCAACATCTGTTTCCTGTGTTATATAAGCTGTGGGGGCTGGTCTCCTTTGGAAATAGGAGATATTAAAAAGCCGTGCTGCCTATGACCCCGCTAGTAACACTATACCACTGCTACTGCATTCCTATCTGCACTATCATCTCCACACACACACACACACATTCAACTGCAGCACATAACACAAGATTTATAGTGCATACCAGGACCTGAAAAGCACCTAGATTGTTCACTTTCTTTTATACAACAAAATATAAAGAAGACAATCCTTAAAGTTCTACACTTTTCTTTCTTACTTGTGCCTGTTTCCTTCATTTTACATAGTGGTTCTCAACTGGTGGGTCGGGACCCAAAAAGTGGGTCACGGGCCAGTTTTCAGTGGGTCGGGAATGTGTGCCTGGGAAAAAAAAGTCTGTGACGTGCTTATGTTTGATTTGTCCACTTTCTTTGTTCTGTCACATGTTTTTTTTTTACCGTCTGAGGATAAAATTGAACATATTTCTGGATTTTGCATTAAGGAGGAGGTGGTGGGTCCAAAGGCTAAACCAGTTGAGAACCATCGCTATAAACAAGTGTTGCCTGTGTGCATAATGGCCTTATACATTTTTATATCTGATTCCTCTGTCACACAGAGCTCAATAGTTGGCACAAAAAATATTAAAACATATCAATGGGAGTCACTGTTTCGATGTGTGGCATGATCTTCTTTTTACTAAGTTGGTCAATGTAGTTTGTTTTTTTAGTCAACCTGACACACACTGCCGTGGTACTGAAAATACTATTGGACCCACAGCTGGAAATAGTCCCAACAAACACATAACGTCCTTCTGTTTGAACAAGGTCTGCAAAAAAACTAACGCAAAGTCTTGGGAACGAATTTAGCCTCATTTTTAAAAATAACAAACTTCTCATTTGTGACCCTTTCCTTAAAAACTATTTTTACATTTTCAGAAAGAATCATTGGGAGTGGTGTTTTTTCCATCTTTACAGCCGTTTTTTATAAAACATGTTCACCGTGGCAATCTTATACTGTAGGAATGTCTTCCAACAGTGCGTAACGGCTATCACGAGAGGAGAAAGAAGATTTTCTTTTCAACTCAGTTACTGAATTAGATTAAAACAAAGTCGTATGATGGACAGAGAGCACAGAGCTGACACT